AGTTAACACCTGGTTTGCAAGAAATCTTCATTTTAGAATAGGAAATTTCTCCTTTCACGAAGATTCCTGTAGTCATTTGAGATGCACATCAGAAAGAAATATGTGAGGCAGCTGAGGTGAGTTTAGGTAGTTGTTTGTGTGAATGTTAGTGTCTCTTTGAAGGGGAATATAATGTCAGTCAGATCTTTGGGAGCAGCTTTTGTTGGGAAGATGCAGTTATAGCTGTTTGGATTTAAGATTGGAAGGATGGAAGAGATAAAGTGGCAGTAAAGTGTGGGCAAATTAAATACTGACAGATTTAATAGTACACATAGTGTTGGAGGCTTCTCTATAATTTTGTTAAACAAATGTTACTCATTTTTTCTAATTCTGAGCTTGTACTTAATGGCCATTTTAACTGATAATTAAAGTTCTCAGACTTTTTCTCATTACTATGTTTTTGTGCACACTCATGTTATGCAAGCGCTGACTGTTGAAAATTTGCAAAAAAATAGAATGCAGAACATCAGTTATACACATTTAAATTAAGTTGCTGACATTGAAATAAATCACATGAATAAATTCTGTCCATGTGTAAAGGCTTTTAGTGTGTGCATCCATCCAAGTGTTTCGTGTTTCACTCCCAGCCTTCGCATGGAGAGCATGGGTGAAGGTGATGTGATCAAAGGTGCAGGAGGGAGTTTGATATGCAGACGACCAGAAACCTCAGCTGCATCCCTGACATCCCTGGCTTTTTTTTCCCCCCGTCCATCTAACCCCCCAAACCCCCCTGCCTTGTGCTCACGGAGGCATTGTGAGCAGATGAAGGAGCAGACCAGTGGGTGCCAGAGCCCAGAGGCTTAGCACAGGCCTGGTGTGCTGAGAATCTCAATTGAAGATCATTGTAGCAAAGAGCAGAGGGTGGGGGGGGGGATGAAAGGAGCAAGGAGAGAGAGAGAGATCACAGGTGGGAGGGCATGTGGTGGGGGGTTGGGAGGGGTCGTAGTCCAGGGTTCTCTTAGTTTGAAAGAAAATGACAAGCTGGGCTGACCAGAGATTTAGGATCCAGCACAGAAGAACACAGTGGTGTTAGAAGTTCTCTCCAGGTTCATCAGTAAGCCTCAACATTATTGGACTGTTAGCATAAATGGCATAGGTTTATAATCTACAGCAGTGAGTTTTTAAACTGGTGTTGCCTCAGGACCCACATTTGTCCTTTGTTAAGTCACCACCCCAAAAAAATGTTTAGGTAGTGTCATCGATTTTGGTTGAATTTGGTGGACCCGGAGCTCCTTTGTTACTAGTAGGATTAGGAATACATGAGTAATTCTGTTTGAAATGACCTCATGGTAAGGTAGCGACAAAAGCCAGTAAAGCCCTATTTAAGATGGATTAGTATGTCTGAAGTTATTAGTAATCTGCTAAATTGTAACTCAGGCAAAAAATACCTTCTATAATTCGCCAAACCTGGAGCTCCCTCAGTAAAAGATTTAGTTCGAATCAACCTCACAGTAGTGTAACAAGAAAACTGGCTAATTGAAAAAAGCCTGAAGAAAGACTGTTTACGACCTGAAGACTAACTGCTAAAATGTAGCTCAGTTTGACCCAATTATTTAATCCACACGTTGGTGACAACAGATGTCACCCCACACCAAAATGAAAATGTCATTTTTTTTGTTTGTTTTTTTTGTGTCTGTTTTTTTGGTGCCATATTTGCCATTCAGCCGCACAATGGTTGCATCCAAAGCCCCTTATTATTACGAAATTGTATGTTAAAAATAGCTCACCACCTTTAGTATACTACTTATAGTAGCGTGCAGTTCTGGATGCAGCCAGTGTGTTATTTTTCAGAAGAGTGGCACTCGTTGCATAACATTTACATGAATGTCCATGCAGCAATGTTTCGATTAGGGTGATTTAGGGTAATTTGGGGACGGTAAACAGATCCTTTATCCTTTATGAATCGGCCAACTTTAAATCACTCTCACATGACATCGCCGAACCTCAGCAGTTCCTTTATCCTTGGTATTACTGTAGTCTACAACATTTTTGCTGATGGCCTAATTAGGAGAATGAAAATGAAATATCTTTAAAATACTTCTTGCATTGCGATATCTGTCCAGTTTGCGGACATTTGTTAAATTTAATTAACTTACTTTGCTAGCCTAATGCTATTCTATCTGACATGAACTTGAATCTAGTTTTTGTTTGTTTGTTTGGTCCAGTTTAATTTTAATCTCAACACTCAAGTGAATGTGTGGGCTGTGACGTTTTGATTCATACTATCTGGGGTAATTTGGAAAGTGGGTGTGTTGGAGCACAGGAAGCACTAATATGTGTGGAGCACTGGTACTCCAAACGAGAGAACCTGTAAGAGTTCTGTAAGAGACTGGAGTTGACACTGGTAATTACCCGCCTTACAGCCGTGTCTCTGACCTTCCTGACCATGTGTGTTTATCCATGTGCTGTCACGCGTGCATGTGGCATCTCCAGTGCTGACCTGGATTAACCCTCCTACTTCTCAGACACCTTCGACACCTCTCATTACTTTATGTCTGACTGTTTTTCAGTCTTAGCTTGTTAAAACAGATGGAGAAACTCTGTCACATGCAGATTTTAAACTTGAAATCTGTGCCAAATCCGCATGAAAAACCACACATTCATACAGCACAGGACAATTAAAACTTGGGTAACACTAGTCACAACACAACCACAGTATACAGTTAAGCAAGGAAAACACATTGTTTTGTTAGGATCTGATAAAATGTTATTTGGTGAAAAGTTTTTGTTTTGTGACAAAAAATCCCATACATTTTTCCATATTTTTTTTCCAGAAAAAATTAGAAATGATGACTGGAATGTTTCAATACAGGATGTAATTTGAATATAAATGTAAGTGATTAGATGACTAACTCTGTAATTAAAGGGGAATTCCATCAATTTTTCAACATTTCTGCATAGTTCATTTGTTGAGACACAAACAAAGTCATTCAGAGTATTTTTTGGTATGAAAAGGTTCATTGCCGAGAACTTACCAATTCAGATTTCTCTACCATGGTGGTGACTAGAACCAGGTGTCGCAAATATAGCCATTTTATTTACTATTCAAAACCATCAATGACCTCCATGTGTCTTCTGAATTTTTATATGATAAAATAGTGGTAAATCTGATAAAAACACATTTTCTCTAGGGAATACGTTGCCTTGGAATGCCCTGCATATACCTCTCCACCAGGAATGTTTAAAGAAAAAATCACTCATTTCATTCATCAAAATCATTCATAACCATTTGATGTAATAGGAGGTTTTAGAGGTGGATGTCTGGTGTTCATCACCACCAGTGTGGACAGTTCTTACTGGGTAAGTCTCTCTAGAACAAAGTATTTCATCATACCACTCTGAATGACTTCGTTTACATCTTTATGGCTTAATTATGCAGAATTTTAAGTGTAAATAAGCAATTATATATAAATCATCATGCAATGTAAGTTAAATGTATAACAAAACGATGACAGTAATAACAGAACACGTCTAAGGGTTAATAATCAGTATTATTGGAATAGCAGTTACTGGCTTCAGCCTGCTTTCCCTGCACTTGAGAAGAGCAATCATGATGGTTTAATTGTTGCCCATTTTAGCAGCAATGACACAAAGCTAATTAAGCATTAAATCAATGCTAAAGCCAAACAAACAGAGGTAAGTACATTTTCCAGCCTGATATTATTGGCTTGCTTTATCCAATATGTGTTTCAGAGTGACATGGTCTGCTGGGTACAGGCTGCATTGATGTAATGTTATTGGTCTGTACAGAGCCACATTGTTCATGGACAACGATTAGACTAGATCTGAGCTGGGCTGAGATCGAACCTTGCTGGAGGTACTTGGCTATGAATAATCCTTGAAATAAATCAAATCAAAATCAAATCATGTTTATTGTCACATCACACATTTACACAGGTGCAAGGTGAAAATGAAAATCTTAGGTGCATAGCCCCCTTGTAGAACTTAAATACAATATATATATATATAAAAGAAAAAAGAAATATATACACAGACTCTAAATATATTCACATATACACAATATACACTAGTCCTGCACTATTTCCAGTGTACAGTTGTACAGTAATAAGTTATGAAATAAAACTGATATATACTGTTGTACACATTTCCGTATGTGCAGTTAGTGAGTCTGAGGTAGATAATAAAAGAGATGCAGGGTACACAGGGGATGGAATATTGATATAGAAGTCTTCCAGATTACACAAGATATGGATGGAATATCTACAAGATGTCAATCTGTATGTGTAAGTTTAGATTGCTAGATTGAAGATGAACTGTGTGCAATTTACAATTTAAAGTTATATGTAATAATAATCATGCTAAAAAGTTCTAGATAGAACCATTTGCATGATTAAATAGTTCTTTGTTTGGTAAAATGGTTCCTCAGCTTGAAGGAGAATGTTACATATGGTTCTGTACAGAACCTTTTTGAAAAAGGTTTTTAAAAAGGTTCTACATATAACCTGAAACACAAACATATTCGCCATCAATCTCAAGTGCTATTTCACCATATAAACTATTTAAGCATGCAAATATTTCTATGTAGAACTCAAGTTTCTGAATGGAACCATTGTCTTTACTAAAGAACTGTTGAAAGCCATCTTTAAGTGTGTATATAATGGATTTTTAGGATAGGCTGTCTCCAGAGTTGACTGTAAAATGTGTGCATGCAATGAGACAATTTAAAGATCTGAACAATATTATTGTAGAGCATATAGACAAGCCTAAGGCGTAGAATGCTGGCACAAGACAGGCCAAGTAGTCATCACCAGCAAATTAGCTTTCTTACTTTCCTAGTCATTTTGCATTTGAATGGTCTCCTCATTGGACTCCATTGATGGTACGGTATTAGAAATATATTGGTACCAGACTTCCAAGAGCTCTTCAGTTGATTGAATTCATGTCTTGTGACATATTGAATGGTGAGCGATGGCTGTTAACATGTGTTTCTCTCCTTTTAGCTCCTTGCGGTGGTCATTACACGGGATCAGAGGGAGTCGTGCTGTCTCCAAACTATCCTCACAACTACACTACAGGCCAGACCTGCTCTTACTACATCACCGTCTCTGGAGAGTTTGGTGAGAAAATAAGGGCTGCTGAGCTATCTGGTCTTATTTTGGTTTTACCTCACTGGCGGTTTCTTTTCATTAAAGTCGCATTGCATTCTCTTTGAACACATTTCAACACATTTCATTCCTTGTTAGTCACAAATTATTATTGCACTTCACGACAACTGACACAGACCTACATAAACATTTATAAACACTTCCAATTCCAGTGTAATTTGTCAAAGGTTGAGTTTGCCAACTTTGATGTCAACATAACATCTATCTCAGATCACACTGATTTATTTTTTTAACAGGTTGTCATGACACTTTCTGAAGTAAAGTGGTATAGATCTTGTAGCTCAGTGTATGTCAGTGACATGCTGATATGACATACCTTGCCAAATCAGGCTGGTTGAACTAAAGTGAGCATTTTCTGTGGCCCGTAGGTAAGGTGAGTTTAATTGTGTTTATTAGATTTAGTATGGCTAAAATGGCTAAAAGTATGAGGACACCCCTCCAAATTATTGAGTTCAGTCGTTTCAGTCCAACCCTTTAGTAACAGGTGTATAAAATCAAGCACCATCTCCATAGAAAGACCTTGGCAGTAAAATAGGTTGTACCGAAGAGCTCAGTGACGCGGTACTGTTGTAGGAAGCCACAAGTCAGTCTGTGAAATTTATGCCCTGCCAGATCTGGCCAGGTCAACTGTAAGTGCAATTTTTGTGAAATGGTCTAGGAGCAACAACAGCTCAGCAGCAAAGTGGTAGACTGCGCACACTCACAGAGCAGGGGCTGCCAAGTGCTGAAGGGCATAGTGTGTAAAAATTGCCTATTCTCTGTTGCATTACTCACTACAGAGTTCCAAGCTGCCTCTGGAAGCAAAATCAGCATAAGAACTGTGAATTGGGAGCTTCGTGAAATGGGTTTCCATGGCTGAGCAGCTGCACACTAATAGCTAAGGCTATCAGATCACTGTGCAGTGCCAAGCGTCGAGTGGAGTGGTGTAGAGCATGCTGCCACTGGACTCTGTTGCAGTGGAAATGTGTTCTCTGGAGTGATGAATCATGCTCTGCTGTCTGGCAGTCTGATGGATGAATCTGGGTTTGGCAGATGCCTGGAGAACACTACCTCCCAGAATGCACCGTGCCAACAGTAGGGCTGATGGTCTGGGGACGTTTTGCAGGGTTTGGGCTCAGCCTCTTAGTTCCAATGAAGGATATTGTTAATGCCACAGCATATAAAGAGATTTCAGGCAATTACAAACTTCCAATTTTATGGCAACAGTTTGAGGAAGACCCTCTCTTGTTCCAGCATGGCTGAAACCCTGTGCACAAAGCGAGCTCCGTAAAGACATGGTTTGATGAGTTTGGTGTAGAGGAACTCCAGTGGCCTGCACAGAGCCCTGATTTCAACCCCTGTGAACACTTTTCTGGGGAATTGGTACATTGTTTGTGAGCCAGGCTTTCTTATCCAACATCAGTGTCTGACCTCAAATGCTCTTTTGACCGAAAGGGCACAAATTCCCATAGACACACTCCAAAATCTTGTGGAAAGCTACTATGAAGAGTGGAAGTTGTTATTAGAGCTTGACTGATACTGGATTTTAAGACTGATACTGATAAATATATATTTGAGGATTTGAAAATCCGATATATCCGATGTATTAGCCAATATTCTTTTTTTCTTCTTTTTCAGAAATATATAACAAACATGACATAATGCGGTTTAAAAAAATACTGGGCAGAATATCTATGAGAAGGTCCTTTATTTCTCACAAAACATGCAAACTGTGAAACGTGAAACTGTGCGAACGTATAGTTTCTCCACCTCATTTCAGGAGCTAAAACTAAATTCTTAAATTCTTTTGCACATAGCTCGGCTCTCTGTACCTCATTCTTCAAGTGCAAATAAGATCTCATTTGCTCCTTGCACAGTGGGCATACTGTGACCGTGTGCAGGATGCTTTCCACTTAGGAAAAGCAGAAAGAACAGAGAGTTGCTCCACCTCATTTCAGGAGCTAAAACTTTCCCTCACAGGTCTGATCTCCATAACTCAGTCTGCGCTGATTTTGGAGATGCAGCAGCTCCACCTGAGGCGAAGCACAAACAGGCCGAGCGTTTTTAAGTGCAGTAAGATCTCCTTCGTTCCTCACAGACTGAGCAAACAGTGACACAGTTACTGTCCATTTTGGAAACGTGAACATAACGTGAGGCACCAGAATGTTACTGCTGTACCATCTAAGGTGGAATGGGAAAAATCTGGTGAATAAGAAGCTGGCTTCAGCTTTGTCTTGTAGGCAGAATAAGTTAAATGCTATAGTTTAATCGCTCAGTAACGTTAGCTGTTTTCCCCTGATAAACATAGCATTAGCTAGCTTTGTGGCTAACCTAATTGAGCAACGAATAGTGTTAAAAGTTGTGGCAAGCAGCCAGAGTATTTTAGAGCTAGGGAGAAAAGATATTGAATCATAGTTTTTCGCTCCCTAGAAGTGCCACACTGTTTCTTAAATAAATCTACAAAGTTTGTCAGCATCTTAGCTTACACTGCTCAACAAGTGTAATGAATGTAGGCTAATTTTGCTGTTTACCTGACGGGACCAGCCTTCACGTTACTATAGCAAAAGCAGGCATGGCTGACATGAATGTTGCCAGACTTATTTAGGGTAAGAGGAGAAGTGATGGGGATATTTTTATTATTATTTAAGTGATGCATTTCATGTACACTTATCAGATCTTCATCATGCAGTAACATTACTGTGCTTGACTCTGCTTTTGTCAGTTGATTGTGAACATGGTTGAAGCATCTGTCATCCGTCTCTCTGTTATAAGCACCGATATGGATTTATCTGCTGCTAGCTTATATGGGCTGATAACATCGGCACGCCAATTTATCGGTCAGGTTGTTATAACCACAAAAGGGGGACCAACTCCACAGTAGTACCTAGTTTTGGAATGGGATGTCCAACAAGCTCATATAGGTGTGATGGTCAGGTGTCTATGTACGTTTGGCCATATAGTGTATGTCATATCGTCAGCATTATATTATTAAGGTATACATAAGCTACAAAGTCAGTTGTCATAACATGCCAAAAAAGTGTCATGACACAACCCTGTGTAAGGAAAAAAAAATATGTAAATTAACACGTTAGTCTTTCTAAATGTTTATGGATATTGAAGTCAATTGTCTTGGTAAGCTTATGTAGGTGTCATGTAACCTTATGAACTGGCCTACGGTAAAGTGTTATCAAATAATGTATTGTAGACTTAAGACTATATTAATTTTGCCTGGGGAGGTACTATAGTTTCTGTGATAACCACTAGATCCCTAAATCACGTACTGTACAAATCTGCAATGTCCATAATTTGTGTAGTCTGACAGTGATAATTGAGTGAATGACCTTCATCTGTGACTCACTGAATCTGCAGCTCCCTCAGTAAAAGTACTGTTCAAATTGACCTCAGGGTAATGTAATAACAAAACCTGCTAACAGACTTCTGAGGTTCTATTTTGTAGTTGGCAACATGCTGAAAAAGGACTGTCTAAATCATTTTTTCTAGGAAGGAAATTGTTTTTAGCCTGTGCACATTTTCATTCATCATTATTACCAACACTAGCCACTCAAACTGTAGCCTACTACTGACAAGGCCACTTAACTACCACATTTGAGAAAGCTTGTGGGTTTGGGCTGTGTATTTTTGGTGAGGTTGTCAGTCATATGACTTCAGTTCAATGTGCAGAAACTTGTATCTATCACGTTTGTAGCAAAGTTTCTATTTCTCAACTATTTAACGATAGTTCTAATTTATATGGCACAATGATTATTGGAGAGATATTGGAAAATGTACATAGTACAAAACATATAGGCTTTCATTTTTGCCATAAAATACCCAATCATAGACAAATACAGAGCTAGTTGAACTGCTTTATGATGCACCCTCAGAGGTCTATAAACACATTGTGCATTGTGTTGGTTTTTGTTACTGACTATGGCTCCTGAGAGGTAGCAATAAGGTGTATGCCCAGATGAAATTTGATGCTCGAATATTCGTCGCATCCAATGGAAAAATGCACATTTGAATGTACAACATGTTCATTTGAATGTTTAAAGCTCTGCTGCGGCTGCTAGTATGTTCCAGATCAATTAGTTACTAACACTGTCACAAACAACGACTACCAAACAGCAGGAGGAACATGTCTTTGCTGATCATAAATAAACAAAACAGCTATTTAATTTAGCTTAGTTATAATTTCTATATGGATATTTACAAACATAAGACAGTTTGTTAGCAGCTAAGTCACTCTGAAAGAAGTGATGCTTACCTAGCTGAATAACTAATGGGCAGAAATATGTTCGCAAATGGGGTAAGTTAAGTAAATGAACTACTTCAGATGGAAGAGTTTTATTTTGACAAGGCAGCCCTGCAAATGTGGACACTTTGTAGCACAGTAATTACTTATAACAAGGTTTATAAGGTGGAGTAAGAAAGTAATCTGCTAGACTAGCTGCATGGCTAAGCTGCTGCACAACTGTTGTAGCCAGTTTTAGACCTCTCGCTACAATCAGTGTGTTTGCATTTTCAGCACAGCCTACTTACATTTACATTTACGGTATTTAGCAGATGCTCTCACCAGAGCGTCTACAAAAGTGTTCTGTTGTCCACGCAGAAAATGTATCCTAGCTAGTACAAATAGGTTAGAGTCCAAACTAGCCTTGAGCTCAAACATTGCTAGAAACAAAAGCCAGTATTGATACCTAGAAAGAAAGATTCAGAATTAAACACAGTGCAATGCAGTAAATTTCAGTAAGTACTTAGATTAGTGCTCACTTAAGTGCTGTACAAAAAGATGGGTCTTCAGACTGGGACAGAGTCTGCTGTTCAGACAGCCGGTGGAAGTTTGTTCCACTACCTGGGTGCCAGGTGCCAGGACAGAGAATGTGGCCACATAACATTGACATAAACATGTCATAAACATGTCATAGCTGTTATGTTAAATGCCGTTGTCATGACAGATTTTGTTCAGTAATATAATAGTGGCATGTACAAGTCGTTATCATATCAGATGTCATTATATTTGCTTCAGTATAGCGTCAGTGTGCTGGAATTGCTGGTAGTTTAGCCTTCTAGCTAAACTAACATTAGTCTCTGGTTCTAACTGCTAACATGGATATTAATTAGAAGTCTTTATTCTCTAAACTTGCGTAGTGCTTCAGTGAGCCAGAATGAACCTGTATGGTTTTGTGTAAAGCTGTTTAGACCTTCTTGCTAAGCTAATGCTAGCTTCTAGAGCTAACAAAGACATTGAAGTAAAAGTAGCTGAAGCCACCCAGAAGCACAGGTTTACATCCTCAGATTTGAGTGTGTGTTCCCTTAACTTGCGTGAGTTTCATTGAGTCCGATTGAACCTGTGCTGTGGTGGATTGAAGCTGTAGCATGCTAAGCTACTGCTGTAGAATGATACCTGCTACTAAAACAGCTCTACATGCCTTGTTTGACATTGTATTAGATGTGGAATATAAATTTGGCGCCTTCATCAACAGCTTACTGCACACTCCAGACATTTCAAACAAGTAAGCTACAATATAATCCTAATGATACCTGTCCCTGCATAACATTTACTTAAAAATCAGGCATTTACCAAAGTGATGTATTCTCTGCAAAATAATGTAGTTTTATTTAAAATAATTTAAATTTAAAACTGGGGGCAGTTTGTTTTGTATTCTGATCCCATCTGACAGCTTTAATGGCCAGGCTGTGATAGTTCAGTCAAGTCTGTCTATGCAAATTTGGAGAGAATAGCTTAGAAATCAACCTGTCAAATCTCTTGGAAATAACATAATATAATATCTTCTGGTAACACTAATGCAAATAGCACTTTAATTGCAGCTTTAATTTAGTTACAGGCACTCACAGACTTGTATGATGTTCTTTCATGTTCATATTATTAAAATTAAGTGATTTAAGCAAAAAAATTAACCAGTTTGTAAAAGAAAAAAAAAGGCTGAAACATAAAAAGCTCAAAGAGCTCCTGTGTTGTCGCGGAGCTTTACGTATAAAGTAAAGCTCTGGCGGCTGAACTTTGCAGATGGAAAGCCTGAGGGCCATGAGGAAATCCTTTAGCTCTGATATTTACATAGAAGCAGGGCCAGCTCCCCTAGGGCCGTTTTCCGTAGGGCTTACGCTGGAGGCGAGGGCAAATATCTAATTAAAGAAGAGATAATAGAGTCATCTTCACCTCGGATGCGGCACCCTGCTGCCCCGACACACTGCACCCCAGGTTTGTAATTGTCTGCTGCCTCCCTCCCAACAGGTATGTGTGACCTCTGGCATCCCTGAGAGCTTAAGTCACCTTAGCATTGACCAGAGATAAAGGGAGATGCGCAGCGTGGTTTGTACGCATGGAGAACACTTACATTACAGGTGTAATAGTAGTGGTAGAACATGAAGAACATGGGTAGCATGTAACAAACAGTGACATATGGTCACTACACTGTAAGGTATGTGAAGCACTGCCATCTGGAATTTCCCAAGTTTCAAAGACTGTTCTGCACAAAGTCTTATACCAGTGTACTAATCTACATATAAAGCAATGTACAGGATTGTGTCAATGCACATTGTGATCTAATCAGATTTCAAGGCATATTTTGGTAAAGTAGCAAATTTACATCTTAACTCAAATGTAGTTGATCAGCTAAGACATGTTTGCTTCTGTAGCTTTGGCCCTGGAGCTACAAGGGGGTTTGCAGCTAGCCAGTAATGGAAGCTTATAGTGCACTCATTAACATCATCAGACTGCATTTGTAAGTCACTTGCCTCATGAAAAATCAAATTTAGACAATTTTCCACTTTCCCCAGATGTAATTGCTCAGCCAAGGCATGTGTGGTGTCCCAGTTTTCCCAATGTTTTTATTGTAGCTCTACAGTTTGAGGGAGGTCGTCCATATGTTACCAGGATCTTCTGTGTCCGTTGTCCTGTGTTTGCTCTTTGTTACCATGGCCCTGTGTTCATACTTCTGATGTATTTTTAAAAAGTACATATTCTGATATTCTGATTATAGACAAGGTTAATTAATGCTGTGCCCTGACTTATCAAAAAACGGTTTGCCTTACAAAATTTACTTAGATAGCTGATTAGCTTACCAAGGTTAGCATAGCTGAGGCAAGTATACTCCTGCTAAACAAACTACTCCTTGTTGTGCCCTGTATGTCACATCATGTAAAGAATATAGAGCCCTGGAAACGTAGGGCCCTGACAAAGGACTGTTGGAACATATGACAGTGAAAACACAGGGCTCTGGAAACATAGGGCCCTGGGATCACTGGACAATGGGAACATAGGGCCCTGGGAGCATAGAACCCTGGAAATAAAGATGTGCTCCCCTATAATTCTAATGTTGCTATCAGAAGAAGTCAGTAGTCATCCAGTTCCATTAAAAAATGCCCAAAACCCCTGAACCTTCTTAAACCAGATGAAGGTCTTCATTAAGGCCGCACAGACTTGTCGATATGAAATTTCACCAGACTTTGGTCTAGAGTGAGTCACTGAACATGCCACTCAAGTCCTCATGACATACTGTTATTTATAACAATAGACAAAAGTTTATATTAATTTAGATTTAAGTCTGTTTTTAGCTATATAACATACTTTCATCCATATGTTGAACGGCATATCAGATGGTGTCAGAAACAACATTGAAACACACATTTTTGTGAGGTTACATTTTTTTCTTTTTTTTCTTTTTTTTTAACAAAATATCACATTTGTGAGTCACAGTGTGTGACCTTCCTCGACGTGTGGTTCTTGATTCAACCAAAGCATTTTCCTTGTTCATGTCTCCACTGCAAATATATGATCTAAAGAAAGATTGCGCAGTGAGAGAATGCACACTTCAGAGTAGACGGATGATGTGTGCAAGAACACTTTTTATTCACACATAAAGCCATCAGAGAGAATGCATCTGTGGAGAAATTAATAAAATGTTTAGGGACTTTATTTAGCTGCAGGTACGCCCCCATAGCGCATATGATAGTGACACGCTCAACCTGTTCTGCTTTGCCTCCTCAGTTGTCTTTGGGCAATTTGCCTATTTCCAGACAGCCATGAATGACTCTGTCGAGTTGTTTGATGGGCCCAATCAGAACGCCAGGCTTCTGAGCTCCCTGGCTGGCTCTCATTCTGGTAAGTAATAGCTTTACATTGTTCTTACTGTTTGTTGCTGCTTTGTGTTCACTTTGAAATGCGCAAATGTAAAAAAAGATGAACCGGCATATATGGCTTCTGCGGCAAGCAGGAAAGACAATTAAGTGCATTGAGTTTAGCAGCGAAGGAGGTCATGAGCCAGGCTTAATGGCTTCATTCAGGGAGGAAAATATGGTTCCTGTGGGAGCAATACAGTAGCACATCTTTGCTAATCATTTTAACTTATTTTAAACTTAGAGTGCATGGGTCCATTTTCCTGACGAATTCTCGACCAGTCAGCAGCTTGAACAACCTCGAACCAGCACTGAGTTTTTATACATAATTTTCATAATGGCAGGTTTGTTTGTTTATTCATTGCTCTACGGCTTTTGGCGGTTTTACACCCTCGCTCGCTACTTTGTTAATTCCTCACAGATTCCTATTAAAATAAATTTTTATTTTAGACACAGCCTCATGCGGATTTATTGTTGGTGTTACCATTAACGGCGAAAGGTAATAAACCGCCTAAAAGGGAATCGGCCCTTAATTCCACGCTCTTCCTAGGATTGATGAAGGCCATTGGACATAAACTATTTGTACGGCACTTTGATACTTTCTGCTTTTATGGTCTGTCGTGCAACAATATAATCCCCCAAAGATGTGCTGTAAATTCCCAGTGTTTCTGTCTGAGCCGTTGAGCCCAGCAGGCCAGAAATCCCGCCAGGCCCGTCTATTCACGCTAGAGCTTTTAACCCTGCAGGCTCAACCGAGCGCTCTGCTTATCGTCCGTATCGCTGAAATTAATCTGCCTGCTATTGTGGTTCTTGCTGTTTGTGTGGATTTCGTATTTTTAGACTCCTGTCTTCTCTTATTGAGACTAACACAAACGTACGGCTCTCAAAAACACCTTGGGCAGTTGTGGACCGCCTCTGGAATCTGGTCAGCTGTTTGTTATTGAGCTTTTTGATGCACATGTGTATTTCGAAGGCCCACCTAGGCAGGGGTACCCAAGTATGTCATTTTCGAGGACTCAATCAGGGAGCCCATGCAAAGCCACTTGGCAGGCCGATCTGGCCCAAGGCTTGAGCCCTGGGCTTTTCTGAGCAAGAGAAAGCCTCAGTTTTTCTTCGGCTATCAATCTGTAGATGTCCCAGCACTGCTTCTTCTCTCTCCCCTGCCTTTCAGCATGTCCAGCAGGGACACTTTGGTTATTAAGCCATCCGTCTTATATAGTAGCTCAGCACTGCGTTTATTACAGTACATTTGCTGCCACATGCAACTCCAGAGCGGGGAAGGGGTGGGGGTGGTGGTGGGGGTCTCAGGGACTTAAACGTGATTATTTGGCATATTTCTGTGTTGCAGGAGAGACCTTGCCCTTGGCCACTTCAAACCAGATCATGCTGAGGTTCACCACCAAGAGTGGCCCTTCCGCCAGGGGATTCCATTTTGTTTACCAAGGTACGCATACCCTCACCTCTACTGTATTAACAGGTCACCTTAAAGAGACAAAAAGCTCTGCTTTTAATCTTCTAATCTCACACGCAGATCTCTACTCTTCCAGTATAGGAGCCAGTGCTTCAGCAGCCAGTGGCTTTTATTATAATCATGATCCTGTTCTTTCATTACAAACAAAATTATTGTTTGTGGTAATTCAGTATATGCTGCAGATTAGCTAAAAAAATTATTTGTTTCTGTAAAGTCTGATTTATACTTCTGAAAAAGATAAACGTATTTGCCTGGCGATGCAGAGAAGGGGTTTAGGGATAATCGTAGCTCACAGAGGAGCTGATGTGCACAGCTCTGAAATCTCAACTACACGTGTAAATCTGTGAGGCTGTATGTCAATCAAACCCTCTTTGGTTGAGCGTTGATGCTAATCCTTTTGCACTGGGGTTGGAACAACAGCCAATTGGAACTAAACAAAATAATTGACTTTAGATGCTTAAAACCTGCTCTTAAATATTCATTTAAATATCAGTTTTCTTAAAGTTTGACATACACACAACAGTAAAATCAAATATATAAGTAAAGAACTCTAGATAGATGGATAAAAGACAGATGTATGTGCATATGTATATAGATACAGAAAACAGCTGGAAAAATATACAAAAATAATATAAATGCTGCAAATATGTAAGTTACACCTTGTGGCAGACTTTATAGCCAGAACAGTGTATCAAAAATACAACGTGCTTATTTAGCTCACTAATGGAGTAATGTAATGATTTGCATTTTTTAATTACTCCATGTTACTGTCAAGTTGCACGGAAATTATGTTGCAGGCAACTCACAACATACAGGTTGCATGAATGTTTCACCATGTAAATCCAGCCTTATGTATATACTGATTTAGTAAATGCAGCGCTGCCCCCTAGTGCATGTGTTAACATTATGTAGAACTATACACTACACCTACACTTCTTAGATTCACAGGTGCAGAAATGTAATTCAGTCCTAGAAGGGTCATTGGGCCACTCAAAGAGCTTGGCATTGTGGCGGGAGTTTTAGGGGTCTGGTGTGCTCATCAGCATGCTTGAGCCGAGCCTCCGGGGGAAACAGCCCAAACGGTTCAGCCGGAGGAGCCAGCAGCTGCAATCACAGTGTCATAACCAATACACAATAGAGCCAAATGAAAGAGGGGTGCTGGAATGTGATGTAATTTGTAATGCATTTACCTCTAAATGAAGTTGAATGGGGGAATAATTTTTGAGTGGCTCTCGTGAGAGTGGTGGAGGTCGGATCTTTGCGGGTTATCCCCAAAGTAGGAGCTGTTTTAATTTGGTTCCTCCACCTAGGTTCCTACTGGCATATATAAATGACTCTTCTTACATTTTATTTAACTATTTCTCACTTGTAGCTCACTGCACCAAGCACGTGCAGTGTCTAAACTTCAAATTGGTACCAGAGTTCAAATTTTATTCTGATTTGGATTTGATAAAAATGTATTATTATGTGTGCGGTCTTATTTTGCAGCAATACAAGCCTATGTAAAAAAAAATGTAAATATAACCAAATGTAAATCTTATGTAACTAGTAATTAGTAATAATGTAATTTAAATTGAATGTATAGTAACAGTAATAACTCAGTACCTGACTGGAATAGTGTACAGTAGGACATGTCATGCCGTTGCCCTTCCCCCTCCGGTTTAAAAGAAGCCATAAACGAGACGTGTGAATTACATGCGCTTTTAAAACTCTCTTTGTCAGCTGCCTCGTAAAAACGGCTGATCTATTAGGGATCTTTTCATAGGCAGATTTTGCCGCACGCGTATTGCGGGCAGTAGCGTGCACACTTTGTCTCTTTTTATCTCTCCTTGCCATTTTATGGGGCAAGGCATAGGATGGGGGGAAGGAAGGGAGGCCGTGAGAAATATTCCCTGACAGTTAGGACAGTTCATTTGGCACATGGAGGCAGCGGAGCGATGGTGCTGAGTCCTCCCGGCCTGCTTCTGCACATCCACAAGCATCAGATGAAAGTCAGACACAAGCATCGGCGGCATCAAAGATGCTGCAGAGCTCCGCGGGAAAAAAAGTATCAGAATCCAGCTAAAATGTCCATACAGTCCTGCAACTCTGTGATGCAAAGTTCAGAAGGATCCTGCTCATTCAAGCTAAGGGGAACACATTCTCTGTCATTTTTTTTTTTCAATCCTTAGAGAGCCGGAGTTTTTAATGTTTTTATACTATGTAAATATAATTACGTAGTTAAATATTTGATTATGCAGTTAGTTACACAATGAATTACGTTCTGTATGAGGACACTGAACTGAAAATGCTTATTATAATGCACTCTGGGAGACGCCCAGCAGGGACACGGTTCTAGGTGCTACCGTAGCCTAACAGCTTGTTAATGCCCTGTATTTGTCTGTTGTTCTAACAGTAAAATTGAATAAAACATTGCATGTACACATTGTTTAATGTAATGTAACAAGTGGTCTAAAATTAAATTGATCCTCTCTTGTATCATGTATTTAAATTCTACAAGGGGCTACGCACCTAAGATTTTCACTCACCATAGCACCTGTGTAAATTTGATGTGACAATAAACGTGATTTGATTTGATTTGATTACTTTTCTATCAGTACGTTTTCCCAACATGGCAGTTATCATCTTTGAAACATTGCTATTGTCGATCATTGCTGATGTCTGATTGCATTTCCTGGGCCTAGTGTAACTCTGGACACACATGTGATTTTGATTAGAAGTTTCAAATTTCACTTCTGCTTATTTAATTGAGTTACAAGTGAGAAATAATTAGTACTGAATTACACCATGCTTTTGATATTGCTGGCTATAACCGCAGTTAAACCTTATTTAGATTCCTGAGTTAATTTGTGAAAAAACACCACTTTTTCTGAGACGCTTCTACGCATGTTTCCTTTCATACATAAGCTACAGAGCACAAAGGCTGTCAGTAGCCTCGCCACATTTTTTAGTTAGCCACTTGACTGTTTTTACTTCCACGTTCCACAGTACAGAAGCTCTCCTGCTATTCCTTCGAGATGGTATTGTCAAGCGGTAGCCAGCAGCCCACATTCTTACAGTTAAATAAACAGCTGAAGTTCAAACATAAATAATATAACAGCTGTAGCACAAGGAGGAGGATCTCAGAATTCTTAGTTGGTTTCAGTTAATTGGGTCCTTGTTATTTTTTGTCAGTTCTCATCAAACTCCACGTAGAAAGTTTTGTTTTGGATGCATTTTACTAGGCCCGTCATAATTATTACATAATTGCTTGACTGTAGGTTTTTTTGAGCTGATTGCAATCATTTTCGCTGGCCGCAGCTCCACAGTGGTTAGCTTTCACAGTCATATGTTTATGTTGTAACAAACAGAATGTGAATTGGGGGTGTTTTTACCAGCTGGATTACAGAAAAGGCATGTTAATAAAAGAAAACAGAAAATGCATTTAGATTATAATAAAAACAACAAAAGCTTCGGACTGGTGCTATAAGCCTTTCTAGGGCAGCAGAGAGTAATGTTCATTCATTTGATATTTGTAAATAACACCTTTAGAGGACGGCAGTGAGTAATGTTTATTTGACTTTTGTCAAAAACACCTTTAGAGGGCAGCGGTGGGTAATATCTGTTTACTTGATGTTTGTTAATAACACCTTTGGGGGCAGTGGTAAGTGATGAGTGTTTATTTGATGTTTGTTAATTACACCTTTAGAGGGTGGCGGTGAGTAACATTTGTTTATTTAATATTTGTTAATAACATCTTTAGAAGGTGGTGATGAATAGCATTTGTTTATTTGATGTTTGTTAATATCACATATAGAGGGCAGTGGTGAGTAATGTAATGTGAGTAACATTTTAGGGCTGAACTTTAGTTTATTAATAATTGCATACCTTAAAAAAAAGTACTATTAATTGTTAATTGCAGTTATTTATCAGGTTTCATGCCTGTGACGGGCCCAAATTGTACAAGTTGTTGTTACTCTTACAATGATGTGCTCAGATTTTGCAGTTCATCCTGTACCGCTGTAATAAAAGTAATCAGATTAATAAACCAAACAGAAGGATAACAATGTTGCCTGATGTTATTGATGCACCAGTATGTTGGTCAGGTCCTTGAAATTGTTCGTTCTCATGCTGCATGATGCCCCTGGTGTAAAGGCACATTTACATTGGCCATTCGTGTTGGTTCGTTGTGCATGGGGGTTTGCCAGCTCTTACAATCTCTAATTACAATAACGGTGCTTCATTCGAAAAACATGGACAATAAAGGAGACTTGTGTGTTGAAAGTGGACAAGGTGCCATACAACACATCTGCTCTGTTTTGATTACAAATCCATTTGCGCCCATCTAGCCGTGCCACGCACCAGTGATACCCAGTGCAGCTCCATCCCAGAGCCCAGATACGGCAGGCGAATCGGCTCGGAGTTCTCCGCTGGCTCCATTGTCCGCTTTGAGTGCAGCCCAGGATACCTTCTCCAGGGATCTAAAGCTATTAAGTGCCATGCCGTCCCCAACGCTCTGGCACAATGGAACGACACCATCCCCACTTGCATAGGTAAGCATTCGTCTCGATTTCTATGAATAATATTTCCGTTTTGTTTATGCTTTTATTCAAAACACAGACAATCGGAGAGGGCTCAGCAGGGTTGGAAGGCAGTCAGAGGGCTTTTTACTGTTAAGGCATGAGGGTGACATTTCCAGTATGAACACTAACCTAGCACTGCCCAAATGCACAGTGCTTTAGCCCCTGAGCAAGGGACATAACCTGTACGCTCTCTGGAGGAGTGTAGGGCAGCTGACCTTGCGCTCTGACCACAACTGTAATAGCCCACTGGGAAATGCTGAATGAAGGAATTTTATGTTTAAGAAATCCAAGTATTGTAATCAGAATTGGTTTTACATGTCATACATGATATTATTCTTACAAGACTTTGCAGTTGCAAACTTTAATGCAAGCATAGTAACAAGTTGCTTAAAAGTAAAGGTTCCTTAATGGTTCTAAAAAAATCTTTGGTAACACTTTACTTGAAATCTACTGTATAACATTGACATAACCATACCATAAAAGCATCATAGCAAATGTCATATACTGTCTTGAATCGTCATAAGTTTTGTTCAGTAATATAACAGTGTCATGTTACTATTACCATTAATTGTCATGACAGATACCAGAATGTTTGATGTTATGATGAGTAACTGTAGTAGACTTAATTAAGTCATCTAAGCACTGGTCCTATCATCAGGAGGTTGCAAGTTCAATCCCTCAGTGATGCCACACTCTCTTTCTCTGGAGTTACGTTTTTACTCATTGTGTTGTAAACTTCCTCATACCAATATCCTGCTCTCATGCAAATACAACAAATCTGTCTTTTGTTGTATTTACTCTCTCATACTTCAGCTTATGCCTGTCTTTTATTTCTGCTTAGTTAATGTCTATTGTTTATTTCTATTTTTATTGGTGCCTAACATATGTGAATTTATGTACAATTGTATGTCTTGCTACTGTAACACTGCAATTTCCCTTAAGGATCAATACAGATCTAGCATAATTTGATGGTGGAGACTTATTGAGCACAGCTAAATTGAGGGAAAAATGGATAACAAATGTAAATAACAAACATGGGAGTAGTGATTTTGAACCTCCACCGATCTTTACTGTATGTCTAAAATACATGATGTACAGATTGAATGGTATATACAGATTGGACAATAATGCTAAAATGCAGACATTTCAGTGTATACCAATTTAACAGTATATTGTCAATACAAGTATTCTTCTTCTAAAAAAGGTTTAACCAACTTATTAAAGGGTATGATTTTGCAGACCAGAGATCATCACCTTTAAGCTACGAGCCCATTCACTGAAAGCAATTTGAGAATGCTGGCTTTTCTCTGGAAGAAGATTTGGAGGCTTGCCATTGTTCTGGCAACCTTGGAGCAACTGTTTGGGTCAAGTATTTTAGCTTCAGGGCAAAATGGCAGTGTTCACTAGGATTTAGAGTGTCAACCCACTGTGTTAAATTTCTTGGCTTGACAGCATCTCTTAAGAGGCACAAGTTCTGTCCACAAGTTCTGGTTTGTTTTGCCCATAGCCCTGAGCCCTGTTTCTGGACTTCTATTCGGAAACCCATTTGCTGTCAGATTGCGACAACGTGGTTTTTGGAGCCTCTGAAACACTTGCTGATGTGCATTTTTCAGTCACTCGTTTTTTTTTTTTTTTAAATACTCTCACCTCTTGAACTTTCCTGGCAAAGATTTGCCCATCGGCACATTCCAGTAGCTCATGAAATATGCATCATTCCATATTCAGTAGACTTAATGAAACTTGAGTATGCGCTACTTCCACATTCTGCCTAGACTTAGAAAGCCAAAGTCAGGGAAGGAGGGTTCTTCTGCAAGATTATTTTTTCTTCAGTACAGCTGTGAAAGCACAAGTGTCTCTAGAAAGATGATTTTTTTTTTTTTGCTTGGCATGCACCATGCAAGGATGCAGTTTTAGCAGGACGATGATAGGCATAGTTCACGTTGCTTGAGGGCAGCAGCATCCTATGCCAAAAACGATTCGATAGAGTCTTTCCTGCTATTTCTCTAAACCTGCCTCTTCTTTCCTCCTCCTCCACAGTTCCCTGTAGTGGGAATCTTACAGAAAGACGAGGCACCATCCTTTCCCCTGGCTTCCCCGAGCCCTACGGGAACAGCCTGAACTGCGTGTGGAAAATCGCTGTCACTGAAGGAGCCGGTATCCAGGCAAGTACTGCAAAGAGGCACACCAAAACTCATCAGAAGCGGCCGAACGACACGGCAGGCTGGAGCACATTTCATCTCAGAGTCACCCGCCCAACTGCTGAATTACAGTGGCTAATTTTAGAGTTGTGAAATAGGCTCGGTGCAGATGGCGGGAGCAGTAAATAGCATGAGGATATTTTGGATTTTGCAGTTGCATCAAGCGAAGCTTTGGCAGGATCAAACTGTAGAGGCCAAAAAGACATATACAATAACAATGCATCACCACACACTGATGAATATCCAGTACAATCCTAATCCCAGAAGGTGCGAAAAAAGTAATGCTTCCACAACAGTCATCATTTAGAACCTTTTGTACCAGGCAACATTATAAAATGAGAATTGTAATACAGATCGTTCTGTTTCTAAAGTCTGATCCGCGCTGAAAGTCACAATAAATTCTCATATGGCAGCATTAATTGAAAACTGTATTAATGTGCCAAAAAAAACCCACATGCTGTTCACTGAATAATCTTTGACCATTATGTTGCTTGGAAAAAATAGACTCCTGTTAATGAGCTACATTGCTTTACAAAAAAAATGTTTATTGCGATCATTATTAGTAATAAGGTCTTCATTGAACAGTGGTGTATTTCATTATATTACAGTACTGTGCAAAAGTCAGAGTCCATCCTTCATTTATTTAATTTCCAGTCAAAACAACCATTAAGTACAGGTTTCATGTCTCCTCCACCTCCAAAGTTCAGTCTTAGAACTTGGTGACATTTTCTGCTTTTCACAATCCAAGTAATCCCAGTGATGTTGAGGTCTGGACTCTGGTGGTAGTCACTCCATTGTTCTGAGAACACCAGCAGCTTCTTCATTTTCTTTTCTCAGTGAGGCTTCTTGACAACTACACATCTTTTCAGACCCATAGCGCTGAGTTGTCATCTCAAAGTGGAAGCGTGGACAGATTTTGGATTTTTTCAGATCTGAAAATCGCTCAAAGATCTCACAAAGATGAAAGCTTTAAGTGCTGTTTATCGATGACGACAGTTTTGGTGTCTACCAGGTCCTTTTAATAGTTTTTAGAACTCCAGTTTTGGAAACTCCTATTTTCCACTTACGTTCCTTTGACTTTCTCCATCCTTAGGCAGTCAAATTATATCTAATCTCCTCAGAAATATGCCCTGAAAATTAAATAATGTTTCCTAAAGGCCTGTTTTGACTGAAAGTTAAACAAATTAAGGTCTCTGACATTTCTATGTTGTTTTATAAACACAATGCGCCAGGAGAGGCTGTACATTACAGTGATTTTATCATGGTTAAGGGGGGTTTAAGTACTTTGCTTTGCATGCCTAACAACAGCCCATAAAATTGCTGTAATGGATGACCTAACATGTTTTATTGGTTTACTCTAAAGCAGTGGTCACAAACCCTAACCTGATCCATCTTATTATTGCCTTCATTGTGTCAAGTCTGCTGCTTAAGTAGGAGAAACCTTTCCAGCACTTGTATCTAGAAAGTTCCTCTTCAGTGTTTGCTCATGTGAGACATCAAGATGGCCTTAGTAGATTGTACATGCCACAGCTTAATGACCTTCCTCAGCTGCATCCTTAGCTTTCAGGCACATCACTTGGTTTGCTAAATGAGGATTTAGGTTTAAGATCTCCAGGAGGAGGGTTGGTGACCACTGCTTAAGAACTACAACACTGGTAAGTTACATTAGCTCCCCTTGTTTGCAAAATGAACATTTATTTTCCTGATTGCCTCACAGATCCAAGTCATGAGCTTCGCCACAGAGCACAACTGGGACTCCTTAGAGATATACGATGGTGGCGACATGACTGCGCCGAAGCTAGGCAGCTTTTCAGGTGCGTTTGCTCTTCATTAAGCTCTTTTTAATGGCTTGTTCCGGTAGTCAGTCCATTAGGCCGACGCCACTCTGGCAGCACATGGTGACTGTGCTCGTCTCCACATTGTGTCATTCTTTCTGAGCTCATTATTTTTTTATATCACAATAAAAGCTCGTTGCCGGTCTCTTCCACTGGTTTTATGCCCTTGAAATTGTGGAAGTAGTGAAGTTGGGAGCAGGCCAAGGCCGCCCCCGTGCCATCCTCTACACAACAGATGAATGCCCTCATTTAAAAGTTGGACGAATAGCAGTATCAATTCCAGAGACCTTTTGGGATCCAGTTGGCAGCTCACGTTGCTTTCTCTTCGTCCCAATTAATTACAGCAACAAGATTCCTACAACTAAACAGCTGTGTGTGTTTAATTGAAAGACTGGATGTTATGACTGCTGCAGACAATGCCATTAGTATATGTGTCATTAATTTCCTTGTGCGCATAGAGCATTTTAGCGTTAACTGTCCATGCAGGAGTGTAAAGAACACTGAATTGACCAGTACTTGAACCGTTTTGTTAATTAAGGATGCCCGCAGCATTATTTATTTTTAAACATGTTGTCTTTTTAGGATAGGAAAAATCAGATTTTAAAAAAAGAAGGAAACAAGTTATTATTATTATTATTATTATTATTATTATTACTATTATTATTATTATTATTAACAAAAAACACCATTCTGGTTTTTGAATAATAATTTGTTAAAATAATCTTTCTTTTTTCTTTTTTTCATTATTATTATTATTAAATCAAGAAAGAAAGATGCAATCATTAAAAACATCAGGAAGGTGCATCATTTGCTTTTTGTTTATTTGTTTGCTTGGATTGTTAAATTAAGTAATAATTAAATTAGTGAATGATGATGGTAGCAATATTACTACGAATAATAATAGTAATATTTCTAAAGCAACCCAACATGCTTCACATTTTTCCTATTTTGTATTGCAACAAACAAATAATGCACTTGAATTTTCTAAAAGCCTGATTTTTTCTAAAAGACTTTTACTTTTAAATAAATAAATCATATTAGTCATCATCTACATCATCTTTATTTTTAAAGCCAACATTTGAGTGCAACCCAACATGCTTCACATTCTTGTTTACATAAATAAACATTCAGTGGGTCAAATCCAGTCTACAGGAAGTAAGACATTGTCTGCAGTGCATTTTCTTTGTACAATATATTTATGTAGTACAGCAACCAAACAAAGAAAAGCGCTCACAGCAGGAGAGCAGAGACGCTGAGGTCCTCCTAAGAGGGAGGAGGCTTAATCTGTTTCTGCTGCTTCTCCCGGCGGAGAGATTTGTGGCCAGGCCTGCAGCAGCACTTTCAACATGCCTGCGCCGAACTCGGCCCCAGTGCTGCGCTAGTGCACCAGCGAAAGGTCACTCGGCTGGGGAGCATGGGCTGCTTTTGGCTACATTCATCCTGGCATGATCTCACACCAACTCCAGCATAGCTTTCTTTCCCCACTGCCCTAATTCTCCCAGCACACTTGCTAAACGTTGCGACGCCCACTCACTACCCAGCCCAGAAAAAGCTCCGAAAGTTCACCTGATGCATTCCTGTGATCAAGAAAGCTCACATGGTGATGAAACAGGCATTTCTTCTTCATTTTTCACTTACGGTGATGTAGAGCCATTCTCAAACATGGCAACAACATGACGTGACCGGGCTGCGTTTGATGTGGTGTTTGGTGGCCCATTTAAAACACGCTAGCCCCTCGTCCATCGTCTGACTGCTCAGCCTTTTTGTCTTCAGCCTGCTTTCTCGTCACAATCAGCCGTTTCATTCTTCCTCTAGTCACAAATCCATTAGGATAATACCCTTAATTAAACTGTCAGATATGTTTTGTGTTCCTGTCTCCCCTTTCTTTTCATCATACAGGATTAATTGCAGCTCATCACATCCCAATTCAATTACAAATGTGCAAGGTTTTTTTTTTTTTTGTTATCGTTCAAAGATATTTTTATAATTACTTACCTCATTTGGACAGCTTGCTATGATACATTTCAGTATTGTGAGATGTTATTTAAGTCTTTTAGGCAGGTCATACTTTTCATACTTACTTTGAAGAATGAAGGCATTTAATTACATGATTGTATAAAACAACAGTAATTCAAATTTTCCATTAAAACTGATGGATATATTAAAGGGGCATTCCACCCAAAATCTATTACATAATAATGTGATTCCTCACCATGAAGACAGTTTAGAGGAATTCCGCCAAATTTTGCTGCAAAACAAGCTCAGAATGCATTAGCATGTCAGGCGATTTTTATATTTCCCCATCTATTTATTAGAGATGTCCTAGCACTCATAGCATTACTATCATCTCATCATTCCATTATACACAGTGGGTTTTTTTGCAGCTGGGACTTTTATATGGAAATTTAGTCTAGTTTGTTGGCCTTTGGTGGCATTCACTTTCCTATCTCAAACTGCTGAGTCACCCAGCTGCCAATTCATTGCTGTTTTATTTTCCAGCTAGAGCAGATAATTAAGTTGGCTTGGGGAAAAAGTCATCTTACTGTTCTTCAGTTTCTTCTTCTTATCATTCTTATTCTTATTCTACTTTTATTTTTAGAATTCTTCTTCTCCTACATTTTTTTCAGCCTATCATCCACAAACCTTCAAACCTTACATGCCGTTTTTGTCCTTACATGCCCGAGTAAGCCAGAACCACCAGTACTGGTTCAAATACACTGATTGTCCAAATGTTTGTAGACACCTGCTCATGCAGCGTTTATTTTTAAATCAAGAGCATTAATTGGTGATTTGATTATATCTTTGCTGCAGTAATGGCCTCTACTCTTCTGGGATGAGTTTATAGAAGATTTGCTGTGAGGATTTGATGGCAGTCACAAGAGCACTAGTGAGGTCAGGTACTGATGTTGAATGATTAGTTCCGGGTCACTCCGACTCATCCCAAAGGTACTGAATGGAGCTGCATCTGTTCAGAGAATGCAGTTCCACTGACCCACAGTTTAACTAACGATGGGGGACTTTTTTACCTTTCTAGCCGACGTTTGGCACTGAGCATTGTGGTATGCAGTGCAGCTGCTCCAGAGCGTCCTGTTCTATTTTTAGCACTTTTCTAAAGAGATTTTACACACACATATATATATACATATATATAATTTAATTAACTATAATTATATATAATAGTATATATATTATATAAGCTGTGTGTGTAAATGAACGCCTGTGTCGGCGATAAGTGCACCTTATAGTAGCTGAATTTGAGCTGAATTCTAATCAGGATGGCTGTCTGGATACCTTTGGACATACAATATAGTATGCAGATTTTGCACTAAGAAATTGTGCTGCCTGGGAATGACTGAATGACTAAAATTCCTTGCATAGGCTTTTAATTTTAATGTTGCACAAAAACACTCATGTTGCAGGCTATACAAGAATGATCAGGTAAAATGTATTGTAAATGTTTAATGAACAGGTTTTTGCAAAAATTGAGCCATCTTTAAAATTGCTTATTCCTACACATCATGCAAAAACAACAGGCTATGGTTGGTCATTTTGTAAATAAGTAAAAACACCCCTTTCTGTTAAAGTAAGTGGTTCTTGGTGATGCTGCTAGCATTTTATTTTCTCCATGTTTTCATGACTGCTGTTGACCTAAGGTCAAATGTATCTGAAGAGGCTAAGTAGGCTGTCATAGCGGACAGCACCCAATCAGAGCACACTGTATTAACGTAGAAGCAAATCAGCTGCTGGCTACAGGTGCATTTCATTTATTTCCATGTTGTTATTTCCTTTAGTATATAGCCCTGTATTCATTAAAAAGATATGGATTTTTGATAGAAGGGGTCATGGAAGTGTGTGTTGCTTTCATTTCTTTTGGTGAATAATTTGGTCAGACATTGTGTCTGAGTATTTTGTTTGTTTGGTCAAAAACTGTCACCCAGCAGCCAATGAACACCCTAATAGGAAACCTAACTGAAACACACACCCACTTGTTTTTCACCACTCATCTTTGAGCCTTTCTCATTTATCCCTTCATCTTCCCATAGAAACCACTTTCAACGTTTTAGCAATAGCTGTTAGACCTGGTATAAAAATTTAGTTCTTGACCAAAACACAAACTGCACTTCATATGAATAGAACTCACCTGTCTAATCCAGTTATTCATTTATTCGTACCTCATCTCATAGAAACAGTTTGACTTCATTCTCCTTCATTTTTTTGAGGCATCAAACATACAGCTATCAAATATGATCAAACTATTCATAAGTTGACCCAAAAAATGACAATTTCATGCTGACTGCAATATCTCGGCACATTTTTTAATTCTTAAAACCTGCTTTTCTTTCTTTCACTTGTGCATCCTCCTGTAGAAACCCAGTCATTTTCTGCTTTCAGCTACAACTACTACATTTTAGAGAAAGTGTATGGCTCCATAAGCACACGACTGCTTTTATATTGAGAGCACTCATCTATCTAACACTGCTATAGAAATTGAGTGATTTCAAGTTACAACCAATAAATCTTGTAGAAACAATATTTTGCTCTAAAGAACTTGCATTTCACACTGGTAGCTTAATGATAGTCACATTTCTAGTCACATAGTTTCCACGTTTTTCTTATAGGTTTCTGATGGACTTTGGCAAGCCAAGTTCACAAACTTTACTTTGCAGTTTCTTCTAAACTTCATAGTGAATAATCTAACTGAACTGTAGGTTTTGAATGAAATTCTCTTTTTTGGCTGAAGTCTGAGAGTCAGACATGCAGTTTCCTTCTATTTCTGTTTTCATGCCAAGCCATTTGGCCAGGCATAAGATCAGCAGCATGCCAGTTGCGTGATTGACAAGCGCAACACAAAACTGCTATTTATTGCTCCTTTAAGGTCTTCTTTAAGCACACGTGGGCGCGACCTCTTTTTACAGAAATTAACACAGCATAAATGTACCATAAAGCCTTAAAGGAAATGTTTACTTCAGTGTATGCAGGAAGAACATTCCTCACTCTTCCCACGAAAGGACCACCCACTCTAAGGCTGTTCATCACTAATAGAGGTATTTCCTTAGAGGTATTTCCTTGTCATAACAATTGCTGCTGGCATCTAATGTAATGCACTACTCTAAATGTACCATATTCAATCCGGCAAAATCTATTTAGGCTCATCACACGCTCATCTGACAGGTCTAAGAAATGCGGCAGATTGCCGTCTAGCTAATGGAAATGAAGGAGTGCTGAATAGCCGGACACTTGACGAGCTCTATGGGGCTGTCAGACCTCATCCAGAAATTATTAGTCAAGTCATTCAAGCGCAAAGGAGCATTTTTCAGGCTTCAGTCATCAGCGTAATGCACTGGGACTAATACATGCCTACTACTGACTAGAACAGCATGAGTCATACTATCACAAGATCCACACATTACAAAATGCATGTCACGTAGGAATAGCTTGGCCATCATTGGTCGCTGGTTTTGAACACTAGGGTTCAATCATACACTCACTGACCACTTTCCTGTGTGTATTTTCTTAGGGTCCATTTTAGCTAAAAATTGTGAGAAGACAGCTCAACTCTATGGGTCTGAAAGGATGTGTAGCGGTCAAAAAGCCTCACTTAGAAAAGGAAATAAGACACAAAAGAAGTTTCTGGTGTTCTCAGAATAATACCGAATGAGTTTGGGATAAATTGGATTGTGAGAAACAGAAAATGCACATGACTACAAAAACTCAACTTTGGGGGTATGGAAAAATATTGTGCAGATTTTTTTTTGAAAACTAAAAGTGAGTCTCCTGAAAAAATGGAAGCTGTAATAAAGGTAAATACAGAAAAAATGATATTATATTTAGTTGTTAAGACATCTGTGTAATTTTCTGTTTTTATATATATATATATATATATATATATATATATACATATATCTCCTGAGGCTGACAAATAAATAACTTGTACGTAATAGCCATTCTGACTGGAGATTAAATAAATCAAAGGTGGTCTCTGACTTTTGCACAACACTGTAGGTGTAGTTTGAAGTTTAATTACCAGGACCAGCCCTGAGCAGATGTGCGCGTGGTGGATCATTCTTAGCACTGCAGTGGAAGCTGACATGTTGGCGGTGCCAACAGCACCAACAGCATCATGTGGGCTTGTGTGTCCTGTGACCACTGATGAAGGACTGGAGGATGACTTACACACACATACAGTCATGCCACCACCACATCAGTGTCACTGCAGTGCAGTCATGCCACCACCCAAATGATACCTATGGTGGTCCTGTGGGGGTCCTCACCATCAAAGAACAGGGTAAAAAGGAGCTAACAAGGTATGCAGAGCAACAGATGGGCTAGAGTCTGTAGTTGTAGAACTACAAAGTGCACCTATATGGAAAGTTTAGAAAACGGACAAAGAGTGTAGATACAAGGTAGGTGGCCAGTTATTGTTATTTATTTAAATTTGATTGTATTCAAAGATTTTGAGATGTTTTCTTGATTTTCTAAGTGTAAATACGTTATCACACCCTCTGCAGAGAACACATTTCTGCACTTTTTAATCCACAATTACTGTTTAATTGCTGAATGTAATGGATTGGGGAAAAAATAAAACGTTAAATGTGGCCTGTGGAAAAATGATGGCACATTTTATGTTTTCTGTTTTATTTTTATTTTAAACTCAACAAATAAATAGAAAATGTGCACAACAATTTACAGAAAAATGCCATATTTAGTTAAATATGTTAACTTATTTTCACTTCACATCCACAAAACACAGACGTTAGACCAGGTTGTTCAAACTGTGTGTTGCTTTAGTATTTTGTCAACTGAATGGATGACAGACCACATGCTTTATTCAAAGCTTCAAATACTACTGCCAGGAACAGTGAATGAAAACAAGATTGAATTATCTTATTTGTGCCCCATGTTCACATTCTCCATTAGCAACGTTAAGACTGTTTCTGTGTTCTTTTCTATGTTCGTTTCTATGTTAGCAACATAATTTTCATTGAATTTTTGAGTAATGAATTCCTTTAACCTAAAGCAAAGGACCACATTTGTGTGATCCATCTGGATTTCAACATACTGAGCATGTGCAGTCTTTTGTTATTCATTTTTCTTAAACAGATTCGTCTTATTTACGTTAGATACGCAGTGTTTGAAGTCTACCTTAATTCCCATAAGGACATCAGTAAGAGAAATAGGAGGGGGGAACAAATAAAGAAAGGGAACCCTGTGGGGAGACTGATATGTTTGTTTCTGGTGAATGCTAATGATTACTCATGTTCCAGCTAATATAGGCCTGAAGAAGTCTGAATTACAGCTTTCTTTTGAAGAAAGGTTGCCAGGTAATATTATAAATGACAGTATTTGTGCTGTACATGGACTGCTGTGTTAAATAATGCCACAGGCATGCAGATGCCTACATGTGAGGTTTATTAAGGTGTAAAGACACAAAGACAGCTTTACAAATACGAAAGGATTCATCATGACACGGACAAATATACAATTGCTGCTATTTCTATGCAGTCATTCTGTTTGCTGCATTTCAGTCAGTTTTGAGCTATGAACAAACTGTCAATCAGTTCATTCTCGGCATGCGTACATCTGCAGCATGCTATATAAGCGAATGTCCACCTCGCATGTAGTTGAAAGCATTATGAGAAAAGTGAGGCCACTCAAAGCAGAAATAACATCCCTGTTTTCCTTTCTTTTTTGAGTAGGATAATGATTGACTCCCCTAGAGACATGAGATGAAAGTTCTTTCATTATAGCTTGGGTGTTAGAAGGCCAGTGACAAACTTCAATTACAAGGGCCTGTCAAAAAAAAAATATGAATTTTTTGTTCCCCCTTCAGTTCTCTTTTTACTTGTCTTTCGTTTCATTGGATGACCTCCAAACAGAGCTCGCCTTTCATGAGCGAGAAAGATTCCTGCAGCATGATTAACAGCTGCTCACCTTCTCCCGAACCGCCGTCCTTCTGTAAGCGCTCGGCTAATTTGGCCGACCTCGGCTCGAAGGCGCTTTAGAGTTCTGCTTCTCTTCTCTCGCTCACACGGCTCTCATATTGTATTCCAGGTACGACAGCGCCAGCCTTGTTGAACAGCACCTCCAACCAGCTCTACCTTCACTTCCACACCGACATCAGTGTCGTTGCTGCCGGATTTCACCTTGAGTACAAAAGTGAGTACACACACTGACGTATGTCCATACATAGAGAGAAGGAGATGTGTGCACACATAGTACTCGTGCAAAGAAGGAAAAAGAAAAGTGAAAAATAGTATGTTTTAAAGCAAGGGTGCTCAATCCTGGTCCTGGACATCTATCACGCTGGAGATTTCAGATCCAGTACACCTGGCTCTAATATTCAGATGCTCCTGAATTCCTTCAGTATCTGGATCAGGTGTGTTAGATTAAGGGTGGAGCTAAACTCTGCAGGGTGGTGTAAGTAGCATAAGTAGTTTGTAGTGTGTCCAGGAATTCTAGCAAGTCGTATTATGATGTCCATATGTCATGAACAGTAGAGAACAATAGAAAATAAAGATGATAAAAGTATTATTCAGATATCAGTCATTTAATTTTCAATGTCCATTAAATTCAAGTCTTCCATTTTTTCAGAGATATTTCTGAGGAGATTAGGTAGATAATCCATTTGCATAAGGAAGGAGAAAGAAAAAATAAGTGCAAAAACTAGTTTCCAAAACTGTTCAAAATATTATTGAAAGATACAGAGAAAATGGACTGTCTATCTGTCCATCCTTCAACAGTGAGAAGACACCTCAGCACTATGAGTCTGAAAGGATGTGTAGCTGTTAAGCCCTTAATGAGAAACGAAAATAGACAAATCAAAGAAGCTGCTGGAGTTCTCAGAACAATGGCCTGACCACTCCAGAGTCCAAGCTTCAGCATCACTGAATGTGTTTGGAAGTATTAGATCATGAGAAAACTGGACTTTGGAGGTGTGGATTTCTTTGAAAAACTTAATGCGAGTCTCTTGAAAAAAATGGAAGCTGTGATAAGGGTGAAGAGTGGACACACTAAATACTAAAAAAAGTGATATTTAGTTGTTGAGGCTTTGTGATATTTACTGTTAAATATACGCTGTTTTTTTCCTGACACTGAAAAATAAACAACTTGTACTAAATGGCTGTTTTGACAGGAAATGGAATAAGTGAAGGTTGTGTAATACTCCACAACTTGCATAATGTTGTGGTAATGATTCTAATATAATATACACTGTATTATTATATTAATTATAATAGCAACAGTAATAAATATGATAACAACAAGTAAAATGTGAAGTTATTGTTCAGCAAAGCAAAATTAATGATTACAACAATAATTTAAATAAAATGAAAAAGTAACACAAAGTAAAAAATAAATTAAATGCTCCTAAAACAAATGAAGTACCAAAGAAAAGTGAGTTTGACAGATTTTCCACAATTTCAGCACGGTCAACAATTCATGTTTAACTCAAGCACAAAGTTCAGATTCTGTGAAACGTACTGCATGATTCTTACTATTTGAATTCTTTGGAAAGTTGTTGACATAGATCAGTGAAATTCCACTTTAACTTGTTACTAGACCATCAACAAAAGGCAAGATCTGTAAAGCATGTGTCACCTAAAGGTGTTTACTTATTTGCTGATGTAGTGTTTAATTTGTTCACAGTGCTGTGCCTTTCATTCACCCTTTTATGTTGTAATTGCTTAAAATACATTTTGTAGATAAATGACAGCTCTGTAGCCTGCGGCATTTTTACACTTGGCACACTTTGGTCCTAAAAGCTCCTTAAATGCTGGTGACATTTTTGGAGAGAGCAGCGTGATGGAAGTCATTTTCTGGAGGGATGTCTTTAAGTCTCCAAGGCAAGGTGCTGCAGTTTGGGGATGTGCAGTTCTCCTTTGTATTCTGAGATGGGGTCCCGGCCTGTGACCTGAACTCTGATAGCATCAGGGATCCTCCGTCTCCTTAAGTATGTGTGCATGTGGCGTATGGCCTTTTGTCCACTAGGCCCTGATGTACGCCAGCTCTCCTAATTCACTTCCCACATCCCACATCCATTTGTCTATTTCTACCCTTAGTCCACTCAACTGGACAGCCCAATTTGTCTGCCTCTCTGCCTGCATCCATTTAGAAAGCCGGTCAGTAGCTAGTGGCTAAAACAGCATAGCACAGAGTGATGCCCCCGTCCGAAAGAGCATTAAGCACTTCCCTTATCTTAATGCCTGCCATTGTGCCTATCAGGTAGCTCCGAAAATACTGCAGATATCTTTCACTCCTCCAGCCCTCTGCGCTAAATCACCATAAATAAGTGAACTCTAAAGGCGTCCCAGAGTTATGGCACACTCTGTCAAGGGAGAGTCCAATTAGGCTCCCTGAACCGGAGGTGTAATGGCCCATGGTGGTACAATAATAACAATCAGCTCGGCTGTGATAGCGGCTCAGTTGAGCATCTGAACACAGGATAAAATGTCAAGTCTGAATTACTGACCGCAGCGTCCATTATGATTCCCAAACAGAACTGCTATTAGTGCAGAAATAGTTGTACTTTCATATGGACAGCTTGCTCACTTGCTCACCTTTACAATTGGCTGTAATATGGGTGTGACCAGTGTGGCTTTCAAGTTACTAAGGATGCACCAATCGTTCATTTTTATAGTTGATTTCTACATAGCCAATCATTTTTGGGCAATTTTTAAGCAGCAACAGGCTACAAACACAGTAAGATTGCTAACCCAAAATGTGCGCTTTGCAGGTTAAATTAACAAACTAATATAAAACATAGTCTGAAAAGATTTAAAGATATGCTTGCACCTGAGACAAAGCATTTAGAGCATCAATGTGCTATAAAAGTAAAAACCTTATTGTTTTTATAAGGATAAGCTTATAAGTTATTGGACTAAGATACATACACAAATCTAACGGTTTAAAGTTCCTTTTTTATTATTTTTAGTTTATTTTATTAAAATGATGTGCAGTTTCTTTTTTGGGCATTTCTCAGACTTCATACCAGTGACAATAAACACAAAAGACTGACAGCTGTCTAGCAACATCGTAAGTCATTATCCACAAATTTTCAAACCTAGCTATTTATAATCAATTTAGTTGCTTTTTCATGCATTTTGGCAGGTTTCATAGTAGGTAAAAGCTATTAGAATCACAGTCTGTTAAAAGTGACTAACATGCCAGATTCAGACAGGCCTGAAATCACTAAGAAACACCTGTAATAATTACATTATCCAACCTCACCGTGTAAAACTAATCTTATCCAAATAGTACTTAGTTGGGTCCAACCACTTGGCTAACAAAATTACTTTTAAACTTTCAGACAACCAATTTTTCAGGTTTAGTTGTCCAAAGGGGTCTGAAAAGCTGGTGGGATTTGGGTCTTGTGTACTTTAGTCTCTAGTATTATAGTGCTATTTTATTGCACTTGTGTAACGTGCATGTAAACATGACACCCATTGTCTGTGACACTGGGGGAAATTACTGAGCATTTTAAAAGCAGGCTGTTGCAACAGGGCCACCCGCTGAGTGCTGCAATCTAAACAAAGGGAGCATAGAAAGCGTCCTCTCTTACACCCCTAACCAAAAACATTGCTATGGTAACGTCCCCACTCAGCATTCGATATAATATGGAATTCCCTCAAATAGACCTGCATGTTAAATGGAGATGGTTGAAGGACACATTTGGGTTTCCATCCCATGCTCCAGTACTGACCTATTACTACAATAATCTTTTAAAATCTTTTAAAAGCTCTGTAGCTTTTAATCAGTTTTTGAAATAATTAGAAAATAAGACTCCTAACAACCACCTGCAAGGCCTGCTTGACACCAAAACTGCCCCCATCAGATAAACAGCACTTAAAGCTTTCATCTGTGAGAGAGAGGAGAAAATCAAGCTGCTTCAGATCTGAAAACATCCACAGGTGTTGCTGTCCATCCTTCCACTGTGAGAAGACAACTCAGCGCTACGGGTCTGAAAGGACGCGTAGGTGTCAAGAAGCCGTCACTGAGAAAAGGAGACAGACAGAAAACAAAAAGCATTTGCAAAATAAACTCAACACTATCTCCTATTACTGCTGCTGGTGTTCTCAGAACAATGGACTGACCACCTCAGAATCCAGACTGAATGTGTTTGGGATTACTTGAATCATGAGAAGCAGAAAGTGCAACCAACTTCTAAGACTGAACTTTGAAGGTGTGGAAAAATATCCTTGCAGATTTCTTTGAAAAACTGACAGTGAGAGCCCTGAAAAGAATGGAAGCTGTAATAAAGGTGAAATGTGGACACACTCAGTACTGACAAAACAGATATATTTAGTTGTTGAGGCTTCTGTGTAATTTTCTACTGTTAGGCAGGCTTGGATGAACATGAGAGGTTTTGCAGTTGGTCAGTGTATTGACGCTTGTCTCTTGCTTTCTGTGTTTTGTCCAGCTGTGGGTCTGACTACCTGCCCGGAGCCTGTAGTGCCGGCCAATGGCATTAAGAGCGGTGATCGGTACATGGTGAACGAAGTGGTGTCGTTCAGCTGTGAGCCTGGATATGTACTGCAGGTAAACCACTGAGCATCTCTCTGCACAAACACACACTCTTATAATACTGTACAAAAGGAGAACACAAAATCAATATGGTAAGAAGAATTTCTTGTTTTCAAAAAATGTTTTTGACACCTTGTGAGATGGTTGGAAGAACATAAGTACTTTTCAAGGTAGCAATTCCGCTACCAGCACACCTGATTTAACGTAATGACATGTTGACAAATCTAACCAGGTATTGGATGGTAACCACTGCAGGTGTGTAACAAGGTACAAAATAATGCTTTACTGTAATGTAATTACTTTTTCCTGTCAGAAAGTACTGCAGCATTAAAGGTTAAAATCTTTTAATTACATTACCGTTCCTGTCTTTCATTACTTGCTTTACTTGTATGTATCTAGAGCCCGATTCAAGCTGGATTAATTTTACCAGAGGAGTTCCAGTAATGTAATTTGTAGGGAGTTCAACTGGTCCATTAATGTGGGATAAAGCATCTTTGTAATTTTCCCAAATTACCCTAAATAGCCTGGATCAAAGTGCATTCACTTTAATGTTAAGATCGGAATTATAGGGCTCCAAACAAACAACCAACAAATTGAACTACTAGATCAAACAGCATTAGGCTAGTAAAGTGGGTTCATTCAACTTAGCAGATACCACCCAACAGGACAGAAATGCATTGTCGATTTGGAGAGGACTTCTATTGCTGAAGCAGCTCAGAGTTTGACGAATTTTAGAAGGTCATTCGCTCCGGAATTATTACTTAGCAGACTTGTAAAAACTATAGACTTTTTTTTCATAAAAAACCCAGCCTCATCCTAACAGACCACACTTGATTTTCACTTCAATCATTTCAATTAATCAATCTGGCCGCACCTTTTTCAAAGGCAGGGCTACTGACAGGCCTTTTGAATGATGTTTAACAAGATTGGCTATTTCTTTGCTTTCCAGCTGGGTGTGAGTTATAGAAAGTAACATAGAAGTAAATTTATAAGTGGTAAGATTACTTTTTTCTGTAAGTATTGAGTAAAGTAATCCCATTACAGGTTGCGAGAAGTAATCACTAATAGTAATTTGTAATAGATGACTTTTTTGACTAACTATGCTGATAGGAAATATTGGACAAGCCCAACCAGGTTTTGGATAAATACTACAAAAAGTGTCTCCAGGAGAGATTTGGAAATGGTAATATTTTTCTTTCTAGAGATGGCGCAACGCCACTGAAGAATCCTTTTCTAATCCTCCATATTTTCAGCTGATATCGGCCAGATACCAGTATCGCATCAGTCCCATCTCTAACTGTTCCTTTCTTTCTTTTTTAGGGTCATTCTCACATAACGTGTATGCCAGGGACTGTAAGACGATGGAACTATCCGCCTCCTCTGTGTATCGGTATGTCCCCTAATAATCAATTCTGCTTTATTTTAATTATACCAGTACAGCTTACTCATTACTCTCACTGATGCGACATGCATGGTACACCTAATAATACAAAAGTGCAAGACAGAGCACAATAGACACAGTAATAAAGTCCATTACAGTGCTAGACAGTTCACGCAGTGCAGATAGCTGACAGGACAATAAATGCACGCGTGCTCCATGGCACATCATAACTCACTGTAAGTTTAAAAAAATATTATCTCACGCATGATGTCTTGCTTATACTCCCATCGTTTAAAAATTCATGGCATGAAACTGGCGATGGTTCTCTCGATGTTTTTGTATGAATCAGCCAAGTGTGGAGGGACCCTTCACGACATGAGTAATGTGATCCTGAGCCCGGGCTTCCCTGGCAACTACCCCGGCAACCTGGACTGCACCTGGAGGATCCTCCTGCCCATCGGATACGGTGAGCCTGCTGAGAGCAAATGAGCCACTGCCGTGAGTCGATTGGCTGCAGCTGTAGGGCCACAAACACTCTCTCCTTGGGGAAACTGACTTATCTTTCACACATCGCTTCACTAGACCTGGATTAGTAACTGCAGAGCTTGAGGCCCAGTCGCATTTCAGTTCGCACGGTTCCATTCAGCAGGTTGAAAATCAATTCGCTGGACATTCAGTAAGCAGATTTTTTTTCAAATAATTAATGCCTTTCACTTCATGAATGTATCGCCAAAGGCTGATGGGAACTGATGGAATCGACTCTACCTGGACGTATAGGTTTTTCTGTGCTTTATCTATTAATATTGAACATGTTAAAAAAAAAACCCATATGCTACCAAGATTCTGTAATATTCTAAATTGTTATCCTGGTGCTTTTGTGCTTTACCACCTGATATAAAGCATCAGACTTTGGAGGACAGCATTATAAAACGCAGTAATCTGCATTCATTAGTTAGGTGTATACATTTCCAATGCATGAAGTACACTTCTTTGCTGCTGGAGGAGAAGGAGGAAAAAAAAACATCTATGAGACAGCGTCACCGTTTAATAGAAGCCGACTGAAGGCAAGCTGTGAGAAGAATGGCCATGGCATCAGACATCACCCTGCACCATTGGACTCAAGACCACTGATAGCCAAGCACTCAGCTGGGATCAGAGATCGGTAAAATAGCCTAAAATCACACTCAAGTAGAATTATTGTTTCTTCCATAAAGTAATGACTCAAGTAGAACATCACAACTTCAGTAATACACATAGAACAGGTGAAAACATAAGTATATTCTTATAACCTAAGGTGACAAAGACGTTCTTTGGAGCAGTACTACATTAGAGCTGATTTTGGTTACCTGAAGAACCTTTCACTGTTTCATTCTTTAGAAATACCATTGTAGATGAGATGTTCAAATCTAAAGAACCTTTTTCAAAGTTTAAAGTTCTATACAAGTTAACAATTTCTCCTAGATCCCTTATGTGCAAAACAAGAACCATTTGGAGACCTTTATTTTTCAGATTGTACTGACTTCCCTGTAGATTTTAACTGGAACTTTGTAGTATATCCAGCATATATGAGCATAGGAACTGCAAGAAGACTTGTCCATTTAAGGGATATTACCAAATGTTATGGCTCAGAAGTAAGAGATGTGAGTAACAGCAAAGTTGCCATTAAAACAGAATTAGTTTAAAAGAGTGAAAAAAATGAATTAAATGTAAATGACTGTCGCAAGCCGTGTCTCACGGATGCAGCCAGGGAAGACTGCATTTCTCAGCTATTACGTCATGGATGTCGCGATTTGTAGGATCCTTTAAATGCAGCGAAAAAATGTGTCCTTTCTTTGTGAGAAAATGAAGGACTCTTCACTGGTATATCCTTAAAGAGCTTCAGTCACTCACAATACTTCTTGCACAATGTAAACTGTTTGAAAAAGAGCAGAAACAGACGCAAGAGGTGAGATGCTGTACCGCCAGACTCCGTAATGAAAAGTTTAATTTTATGTTTTTAAACGTGTCCTGTTGGCGTGTTAGTTCAGCCTGCTCAGACCACTAGGCTGGTGTACCACTGTTAGGAAGGTCTTTCCTACCCCCACTGCAGCCTTTACTTTATATTAATTTAATTAACTGTCTTAACTTAATTATCATTCTCAACTGTGTATTGTCTCTAAGCCCTTTTCATAATCACGCAATCTACGCAATTCCTGAAGAAAATGTGACATGCTTGCACCGTCTGACAATGCAGGAATTTGAAACTTTATCTCTCACTTGAGCAGTTTTGACAAGAGTTCTTGATCCAACTCTGTCAGATGTGCCTGGCTATAGCTCTAACAGTTCAGAGACACTGGGCAAAGTGGGCAGTGGCCACCAAACTCCTGCAAACGCAACTGGGAAAATCAGTTCTGAGCAGACGATGTGCCAAATAAATGTGACTTTCAGTCACGCTAGTTTTCTCACTTCTCCTTTATCAATTAACTAACTTTTCTACCTCACCCAAGCATAAAAACTTTTTTTTGCAATATTTATAGCTAGATTAAGGGAAACTCCTGACATTCTCGCTCCAGTGAAATGGAAGAAAAACTCACATACTCATAAAAATCCATGGATGAATGCGGAAATGCACCAGCTTAAGAGAAATTATCGTACATCAGAGCACTTAAAGAGGAAAACTAAGCTGCATATTCTCAAAGAGCAGGTCTCCACCTACAATAATGCTATGAAAATATCCAAACAGTCATACCTCTCTAGTGTAATTAATAAACACAAAGATAATACAAATATACATGTGTGTATATATATATTTGTACATATATATATATATATATATATATATATATATATATATATATATATATATATATATATATATATATATAAAAGTTCTTTTTTCAACCTTTGACCGACTAATTAACCCCAACTTTTTTGCTAGTGTGTCTCATGGTGATTTATCTTGTAAAATTTGCAAAGAGTTTGCAATTCATTAAGCCTTAATAAGACAGAGCAGACGTAGCTCAACCAGCTGAAACAAGCTCCTGTAACCTTCCTGGTAAGCCACCTACATCAGTAATGGCATCTTTCTCTGCTATTAATTACCAGGAGCTGACAACTGTCATAAACAAATTAAGTTTTAGGGCCTTTGCTTTTCTCTTTGTACATGTTACCTCTAGGTGATGTTGGGATGTTAGGAAACATAATATGGATTTCCATTCCTTCTGATAATCAAGACTGTTGAGGCTTACTGGCTGTGTGTCAGACATTTCTCAGTAGACATCAGAAAATCTTTCTACAACTAAATCATGAAAAAAAAATGAATACTGATCGTTCATACTAAAACTGCTTTAGAGGAGAAAGCTGCTCTAGGAGAAGCTTGGCTCTTTAGCTTAATTTACAAACCTGAAGTACGAAACCTGGGTGTGATCTGGGTCTAATCTTAGAGCTCTGTTTTATCCCACATGTAAACACAGTCACTAAAGTAGCTTTTTATCCTTTGAGAAATATCGCTAAAGTTTGACCTTTTCTATCTTAGAGCGATGCAGAGAAACTTGTTCATGCATTTATTACTAGCAGAGTTGATCACTGTAATGCTCTTCTTACTGGACTTCCTAAGAAAACAATACATCCTTTACAACTCGTACAAAATGCAGCAGCACAGATCCTAACAAAAACTGAACAGAGACACCACATCACTCCCGTTTTAAATGAACTGCACTGGCTGTCTGTATCGTTCAGGATAGATTTTAAAGTTCTGCCACTAGTTTTTAAGGCTCTAAATGACCTTAAAGCACCGCCTACATCACAGAATGTCTGTCTGTTTATGTTCCAGCACGTGATCATTTTGTACAAAAAAAGAGGTGGATGAAAAACCATAAACTGTCGACTTTCAGTGAACGATACTTGCAAATGCGTCCTGCTTTCTCATCGGTCATGTTACAGTTACTCGAATTGAATCTGAATAGAAGCAAATGTATCATTAAAAAAAAACTAGTTAATTCATCATGTAGCACTGAGTAAATGTAAGTCATTAGAAAGCACATGTGATTGTGATTTATTCCATTTCTAGTCACCCCTGAGCTCTCAGCCTTGTGGTAGCCAACACTTGGGCCTACTTTTAAAGAATTTCTCACTCGCAGGCCTGCTGGAGTAATGATTTATCTTTTGGTGGCTGTAAATGGAAAACATTCAGACCATTTTCTAGTCTAGAGGAAACAAAGCCACTGATTGGCCTTTTCTCATTAACTTGATTGAATTAACAGGGCAGGTTCGTCCATCAGTAGCTTACCCAGATAGACCTGTTTGAAAAATGCTGCTTTGGAAGGCGCTTGTTTGAGGATTTGTTCTTAAAATAAAGATTGCCCTTGTCAACCTCTTGGCTGTGGCTTTGAAAGACACAGTACAGGCCTACTGCTTCCTTTTCTGCTACATTACACTCCACAGTCTGGCCTGCCAGCATCTCCTTGTTACACTGTTTTATTTATCTCAACTTTCGAGATTATACGCGGTCGATTCAGCTCTCCAGCCTCATTGAGCTGGAGTCATTTGGTTGCGCTTGCTTTCTGCGGCCTCGTCATTCAGACGAGAGCCGAACAAAAGGGCCTTTCCAGATGTTAACGAGGCAATTGCTTTTTGATTAAAAGAAAAAATTGTTCACACTTGCCCACACGCTTCTTCTTCCTCTCCAGTGTGACTTAAGAAAAATAATGTAACATAGCGAGCTGTGGGTTTTTGACAAAGAACCAGGAAGAAGATTAAACACAACAGACAAAAGCGATGACTTACTTAAACATCTTTTTAACTGGTTCTTTTCAATAAATTTAAAATGAATTAAACTGTCCTGAATGGATCAAATCAAGCACTACACAGTGGTTATGTCTATGCTGTAGGCTGAAGACTGCTAAAATATGAACGTGATCATTCACAATTTAACCACATTGTAAGACTCAGAGTTGATCCCACAATAATCAATTTCTCAATTCCAAGCATTTGGGAATTGAGAGGCTGACTCCAAACCTTTGGATGTTTAAGTTTGCTTGCACCCATGCACACATGGAGTGTGAGATATTCTGCTGTCACTGTCTGTCTGAATACATCCTTCCACAGCACATACATTGATAGTCCAGAAGTATTCACTTTAGACACAGTGGACAACAGAGTAATGTGTAAAATTTCTAATGAAAAATTGGCTTTCAATGAAACAGTTTTGCCAGTGCCCAAAACCTTCCCACCTGAAGGAGTGGACAGAGGAGAATCAGACACTTTGCAAGCCCCCCATTAGTCAAAAGTTCATTTAGCTAGTTTTAGCTCTCTACATTTCCTAGCCAAGGTCAGTTATAATTAATATTAAAATACCTTTGCTCTTCATTTTTGCTAGATGTCCTTCTATATGTCTTGGTTTTCAGAATCAAAGTTATTGTATGTAATCAACTCCATCAATTCCCATCACTTGGAATCAGAATCAGCTCCAAATTGTATAGAATTTAACAGCATTAATACATCGTAACATATTGCAGCTGTTTGCTGCACTCACAGCCTCTGCTCTTCTGGGAAAGCTTTGCGCTAGATGTTGAGACATTGCTGTGAGGGTTTGATTGAGCATTAGTGAGGTCAGGTGCTGATTTTTTTAATGGTCAGTTCTGGATCAGTCCAACTCAGCACAGAGGTATTGGATGGAGCTCCATCAGAACACAGTTCCACTGCTCCACAACTCAGTGCTGGGCTTTAGTCCCCGTTTAGCTGATGCTTGGCATGGTGGCTTGGCTGGGCAAGGCATTGTGACCTTAGGCTCATGTGTGGCTGCTCTGGAGCATCTTATTTTTCTGACAATGGTTTTCTAACTAGAACACCTGTATCAGTAATGGATGTACCTTAAAGTAGCTGAATCACTAATGAGAAGAGCTGTCTGGATACTTTTGGACATAATTTGTCTCACTACAGAAATATAAAATATTTTTATCCATTTCCAACAGAATCTTTTCATACATTTCTGTGTTTCACAACACTGGTGTCCACCCATTTATAGGTAGTGTGCAGTGCTGTCAAAGGCTCAGATGCCATGACAATAAAAAGCAATATTTCAAGGCCTGTCCAAGCCTTCACTAAAGATCTCACTTTTGGGTTTTCTTTTGTTATTGGATTGTCTGGAGTGTAGCTTTTTTTTTGTTGAATTAATTGTCGAATTGTTGTGCTGTCAGCAGCGACAGAGTGAGTGAACAAAATGGCGAAGGAAGAGCTCAAGAAAGTGTTTTCTTTCGTTGTACAACAGAATCCTGAATGACTAATGGCCACTCTAAAATTGCTTTGGCCTAAATATGTCAAAGATGACGTCACATCTGTTATGTGGAAAAATGCTTTGTCTACAGGAGCCCTAGTGGTCCAAAAATGCATCTGTTTTGAAGATGCTGCTAACTGTGAATAATGATAATGGTGTTTGTCCTGGAGTGACATTTCATAGGGCTTTTTTAGCTTGCTGTCTTTGACAGATGGTCTCTGTTTCTTTTTGATAAATAGGCCCATATATAGAATCAGAAATTATCTGCACAGTAGTTACTATGAAACACAGTCCTGTTACTATAGTTATTGTATCACTACTGTGCGGATACATGTAGTCCTGATGGGTTTGGGTGGTGATGTCCTTTAAAAGAATGAAAGAAGGCCCAAAATAGATCAGTGTAACCTCTTTAAAAAGTCGTTTGTTTAATACGGTGTTTAACAATTTTAAAACCAGAGAAGATTTTAAAAATGAGCCTATAATAACTCTTAAGAAGTAAATTCTGTTTAAAATATTTCCTTTTCTGCAGTTTCCACATAGCTTCACAGTTCATAAGGAGGCACTTAATGAGCAAAAGAGGCTGTGCGAATTTTCCCCGCAGGTGTTAATGTGAGTGAGAAGTGGTTGGAGCTTTGCCCATTAACAGCAGTTCAGCACACCGGCTGCCCTTAGTGTTTTTAGCCACGTCATGCTTTCTTGGCCAGGCTCAATTCCAGCATGAAAAAAAGCATCTGGGCTTTTGCTCAGTTTCCCATGTGTGTTAAGAATTCTAACCTGGCAGTGGTGACGAAAACGACAGCGATACTTATCAGAATCAAGTGCTTTTTTTAGATATCAGTGCTCGTAATGTAGGTTTGAGGTAGGGTGCTGTGCAAAAGTCTTAGGCCATCTAAAAAAAAGGCATGTAAAGCTGTTAATCTGGGCAGCAAATGTTTTATTTGTTAAAAATAAAAATACTAACATTGGTATAAACAGTCCATTACAAGCATAACTATTTCCAGAGCTCCCCTCGAGGAAGCCCAGTTATCATCCAATACCTAGTTTGTCTAATAAGTCTTTCGTTGAATTATATCAGGTGCTTATGAAAAAAAACAAATCCAAAATCAGATATCAAACCTGTGTCCTTGTAACTGCATCATTCAAACTAACATAACTATAACAAAAAAAAAAGAAAAGAAATTCTCGTTATAGCTGCACTATGTAAGATGTTAGAACTCCCGTTTTTAGGCCTCGTCATACGTCTTTTCATATTAACGCCACATGCACAGACTCAAAAAGAATATTCAGCTTGATGTTTATGTTTCAAATGCAGAGTCAGCACTATACTGATGAGGATGTGATTCTGAATCACAATCACAATGTTACAGTGTTCTTCTTGCATGTTGCATGCAATTACACATTTCCACCAGAGAGGTCTCCAAATCCCCAAAACGTGCATACTTTAAGTTTACTGTACTTTTTTGTGTGTTTGTTTTAATGTCATTCAGTGTTTTGTACAGATAGAAACGTACATACTACCTAGATAAATAATTTTTAGCACTTTTCAAGGCTGTCTAAAGGCCATTACACACCAAACGCAACATGAGTGAACAACATAAGAATGTAAAACATTCTGTCGTAATTTTTCTGCATCAAAACTATGCACACCGAGCCACGACGCAATTTGTTTTGCAAGTTTGCACCATGAAAAAAATGAACAAACAGGCGGAATGCCTTCAAGTGACAAAAGGGAGGGTGATAAAGTAGTTCAGCACTTTCATTGTCAAAAAATCACGTTGGGTGTGTAAGATATCCATTTCCATACATGCTCAAATAAATTTGTCATCTGAATAAATTCTGCCTTGGTTTTCTCCACGTTCTGCAGGAGCGCACATCCAGATCCTCAACTTCACGTTGGAAGACAACCACGACTTTCTGGAGGTCCGTAACGGACCCCAGCACAGCAGCTCCCTGATTGGTCAGTACAGTGGCAGTCAGCTCCCGCCTCCTCTACTCAGCACTACACATGAGACGGTCATCCACTTCTACAGTGACCACTCTCAGAACCGCCAGGGCTTCAGGCTCACTTACCAAGGTGAGCTCTGCTCCTTCTTCATTTTCTGGGATGTGCATGGAAGAAGCACTCTCTGATAGACGAGAGCAGATCAATAGTGTAATGATTCTTCAAATCCTGACATTTCCTTGAGAATCAATCTCTACATAGTAATATTGATAGCAAGTAGCAAATATTAATAACCAGTAATGCATCCAGTAGTTTTAACCTTTAGAACTCTGAACCTTTTGTTACATACTAAGACTTATTATTCAGTAATTACATAGAAAACAATGCAAACTAGCCGAGTTATCCTTAAGCCATAGGCGTGAGGAATGCATGTCTGGTACTGTTGATGGTTCAGTATAATTTAAGAGCTTAATGTTTATTTGAAGCTGAAAAAAATGATAGTATCACAATTTTAGGATGAGGTTTACAGCGATAGACACTCATACATCCATAATTTTATGAAATGACTGTTATTTCTTGAGGAGCACAATTTTCAGTAATAGGTTGATCAATAGGCACATACTGGCTTAGAGTGGACAATGTAGTTAAAAGCAATGCAGAGACTTTCAGATATTGTAGTGATGTCTGCATTAACCAACTGTGACTGTATACTGACTTACAAGTATAGTGGCAACAATATGACACACCAAAATTGCAGTATTGATAGAAAAATGAGGAAAGTTCCCTGCAGTGTGTGTAATTTCTAGAGATAAGCCTCCCCCCACATGAATATACCAGAACATAATTGAATATACATCCAATACGATTTTCCTCATCATTTGATCAGGACATAAAATAAGGAGATGCATCTTGCCCTGGGGGGAGCTCCTTCCCCTAAGTTACCTTAAAGTAAAATTAAAAGTACTAGTCTCCTTTAAGGAAGTGTTTTGTGTCTGATTAACATTTACAGTATTCTGGGAACTTCCCTTTAGTGTCATTTTAACAGAAGCAGAACAGAACGATCCAGTCAAAACAAGCTATATCAGGTTTGTAAGACATTCTGCTAATACTTTCCTGAAGGGCAGCATTCGTATGGCTATGTGGCACCTACATAAGACTGACATAAACCTACATAAACGTTCATAAAGGCATCAGCTGTGATGAATGTCTTTTTTGATGTCATTTCACATCTGAAAGTGTTATGACAACTGATGCTTGTTGCAGTAAGCCCTCATAAATGTGTATGTAGGATTATGTGAGCTGCAATGAAAGGCTCAGGTAGGTGTCATGTAGCTCTTCAGTAAAGCATTACCAACATTGTTTTAACATCCACGGGAAACATAGGTTTATGAGTGCCATCTTAAATATCATCGAAAACAGTAGCATGTTTGGAAAATGTAGCGATATTGAGTTTTATCAACATTGCCCAGTACTATTTTGAAAATACTGGTATTGGGATGGTAGCCTTGGTATCGCAAAAGAAAATCACCATCATTCCCCATCCTTACTGTCAGAGCGCCTGGATATCACGTCCACTCGGCATCTGCGCAGGAGTGACAGGCTCTTATCCGAGAGCATCTGGGCTCCTCTGATCATGAGAAGCGTCTCCGGCATCCCTCTGTCTAACATCACTGGAGGGGCTCTCCATTATGACAGCTCGTGCCTAAAAGCATTTGAAATCAATAGGCCGGTGCACGCATACGCCATGCTGCCGGTTCTCGCTTGATAAAAATAACCCGTCATTGTCCGCGCCGTGCACTCACAGGTCAGCTTGTTCGCGCGCCGCCTCTTGTATTTTCTTTTCTTTTCCAGCCTGATGGAGGTTCAGGAGTTGAAAATATCTCGGCCTATCCTTGATCTTCAGCTTTCAGTGCCTGTTTGCCCGGGGAAAGAAATCAATGGGGTGTTTTGATATCCTAGAGACAGACTGCGGATAGATGGATGCATTTGTAATGGACGATAATGAATGAATTGCATGCGAAATAATCTCAGATATCTGAAGGAAGGGATTTCTGTGCAGGGGCGCAAGAGATTTGGCTTAATCTTACTTAATCACTCATAATACTATTGAAATCACACCTTAATTGGATGATCGACATGTTTTCCTATATTGTTGTGCCATATCTGAGAACTCTTGTCTCATTGCAAATGATGAACAACATCTTATTTCTGTTTTTTTCTTTTTTCCAGCATATCAGTTACAGAATTGCCAAGATCCATATCCATTCCACAACGGATATATTGTCAACAATGACTTCAATGCAGGCCAATCCATAACATTCGAGTGCTTCCCTGGATACGTATTGGTCGGTCATCCGGTGTTAACATGCCAGCATGGAACCAACAGAAAATGGAACCATTCATTTCCTCGCTGTGAAGGTAAGCAGCATGAGGGAAAAGTAAAAAGAGAGCATTAATACGATTTTTGAATTTTTGATTCTTTTCTGTTTCTTTTGTTTTTATTGATGTAGAAGTGAGCTCTGACTCCGAATTTAGGTTTGCGTTCGCTCCAAGTTTTTCAAAAGGAGCATTTGCCTGCTTTTGCAGGCTTTAAGAGGTATTATCCATCCATTCTGTGCTCCCAAAGGTCTTTTTAATGATGCTCTTTAAGTGAAGTGTTGCTGCTTTGTGTTACTGGTACAGTACAACAAGGACTGCAGTGTTTTTTTTTTGGTCTTTCAAAGCTGTCTTTTAAATTAAGCACCTTGAAGACTGAACCAGTGGAGACCCAGGCTACAGGGACCTGGTCTGAATTGCAGCCTTGATGATCAGTGAGAGCGGTGTAGTGTGAAAGCTGTCTGGCCTCTAATCAATCAATAACGCTGCACTTTTCCCTCTTCTTCTGTCGATCTCTGAGCATTAGAGACCGCTGCCTTCTTCTGTTCAGCACCATTCTCAGACTGAACCACCCCCCATCTTGTCCCATGATCCTCTGATAATCCTGATAATTCCAGAACAGACGGCCATGGTCCCCCGCCTGACACTGTCGTCATTAGTATTATGATGTCGCATTTCCCGCAGCTGATCGTATGCCGCGAATATCGCTCACAGTAAGATGGATGAGCGTTGCGCCCTTGCTCAAACTGTATTTGTCTTTGTGTGCAGCGCCCTGCGGCTACAACGTGACGGCTCCAAACGGCACCATCTTCTCGCCCGCCTACCCCAACGAGTACCCGGACTCGCAGGATTGCACCTGGCTCATCACCGTGCCACATGGCCACGGCGTCTACATCAACTTCACACTTCTGCAGACTGAGCCCGTCACCGACTACATCGCAGTGTGGTGAGCGCTACCACTGACCTGCAGTAAAGTGATAGATTGGCCAAAATTTTTAAACTGACCAGCTTTCCCCTCACCCCAGGTGTAGTCAGCCAAGACATGTTTGGTGTCTGAAGTTCTCAGACCTTCTTCAGGTTTGCACTGGAGCTACGAGGCTAATGTACAGTCCTATGCAAAAGTGTGGGCACCCCTGGTCAAATTATGTTTTGCTGATTTTTTAAGTGAAAATAAGTTGACATTTCCTCTACAAAGTACACTCTTTTGCACATTGCACATTTACTGTTTATTTGCTGGAAAAAAATAAAAGCATAAGTTGTGGGCCTGGGCTAAACTTATGGCACGTTTTGTATTTTATGTTTTTTTCCAGTATTTTAAACTCAGCAAATAGACGTGCACTAAATTTTTATTTGTTTTTAATTTTTTAAGTGTTCACTTTAGACGATTTGTTAACTTATTTTTACTTAGAAAATCAACAAAGCATGTTATTTGAATGCGGATGCTTAGCTAACAAGTAAGAGAATCATAATGCAAACTACATTCCTAAAGCACACTCTCCTCAAATCAGCTGATAAACAATCTCAACTAGACTTGCCTATGTAATTTCTGAAGCTATATCAATGGTGGACAAAGTACTAGAGTGAAAATACTTGAGTGAAAGTGAAGCTTCCTTGGTGCAATATTATTAGTCAAGTAAAAGTAGAAGTGCTCTATATTTTTACATGAGTTAAAGTACAGAAGTACTTGCATTTAAATGTACTTTAATTCAAAATCATTATTGTCATTTCTTCTCATCTCAGATGTGTTGAGAAAGGGAAAAAAAAATTTAGATTCTCCCGGACACGGTGCTACATTTGACACAGAACAGCAGCAGCAGACAACAGGGCAGAAAGACAATAAATATGATAAATGCATACAAACTATACAGATACACCACAGTAAATTCTTCTGTACAATATACATTAACTATACAACCATTAATTACAAGACGAGAGAAAACAGACCATTCTAACAGTCCAACATTTCTCCTCTTGTGTCTTCAGTTTAGGAATCTTTCCATCTAAACTCCTGGGATATCCAGTATCTGATTTAAAAATACTCCAAACAGTGTCTGAAATCTGAAAGCTTGTCAGAGGTGCCTAGGCCTAGTTACAGTTATTAAGCTGTAATGGGATATTCACTATTGAGGGGTGAGATATAAGGGAAGGTTTAATGTGTCTGCGTTACATATGAAAATTCATTCTTGTGGAGGAGGTAAAAATGATGATATACTGTGAAATGTAGCAAAGTGAAGGTAAGTCTTAATGGAAGTATTTCAAGTACAGATACCTTAAAAAAAAAAAAACTTAAGTACATGTACTTTGTTACTGTTCATCACTGCACTGTCTGACATACCGTTACCTAAAAAAATGGACAAAGGTATGGAAAAAAAGTTCAGACTTCATAATGGCCACTGTCAAGGCCGTTTCTGAACAGTTTGGAAGGGCTCTAGACAGCATTTTATTTGTGGGACCCCCTAACTACCCCAGTCTTGTCTATGCAAGAATGAAAAAAGTAATACTTTATTCTCTTTAATCAAGCAGAATCTATAAAATTCCATATATAAAATCAACAAATGATGAACAAATACTGTGTACACATGGGTGGCTTGGGTGCCCTAAGCTTACTGCATATACTGCTTATTGCAAGAAACGGCCCTATCTGCTAGTGTGGTGCAACTTACTTTTGTCCGTGTCATACAGTGTCAGAAACCACATAAGCAAGCCTGTTCCAGATTTCTCAATGAACTGATGTAATTTCAGTAAAGGGTGTGATGATTTATGCATGCATTTAGCACAGTGCTTATAGGTGGAATATGAGTTTCTATTACAAGAGAGCTAAAGAAGCCAACTTTGGATATTAAACATGTCTTGGATGGTGGACTACATGTGATGTAAGGAGAAAACTCTGTCAGTTTGATCTTTAAAAAAGTAAGAATGTATATTATATACACAGCTGTTTAAAAGATTGAGATCACTTGTTATATTAATAGTTGCTGTTATTTTATTGAATGAATGTAGTAAATATCGCAGCAAACAGCAATGTAGGGGACTAAGCACTACAACTCTAGTAAGGCTAGTGATGAGGTAAAAGAAAACACAAAATGGTGCTATAATGCCAGTCAACCTGATGGGCGGATGACATCACATTTTGCAGGATCCCCATCATGTTTTGCAAGAGAAAAAGAATAATAATATGTACTAATAATAAACATGCTTTGACCCCTGATTATCTATTTACAGTCATTTCTTGATAGACTATCTGCCTTAACATCACCATGTTTCAAACTTGAGGCATTCCAAATGTTAATTTTACTAAAACTTTTATTAGAGCTTTCTCTGTTATTATGGAATCCTCATACTGGCTGCATCTAACATTTCTTGATTTTTACAGCTTCCAACAAGTTAGCTGAAACATAGGAAGGTCTTATAGTTCTAGCATCATAATAGAATCATTTCATACACATATCTACAATAAAATGGTTTGATACTATTAAAAAACTAATTTCAAATATTTCAATGGTGCAAACTTTTAGTAATGTAGTGTAAAACAGTGCTGAGTTGCTGTATAACAGATAGGAGTTCTTCATAGCATGAACTATGAGCTTCACAATGATTTAACTTTGAACCACTTGGTGTATTCATTTTTGCTTCTTTCTAACAATGGCAAAATGTTTTGAACCCATTCCAAGTAAAAAGATTGATCATAGTAATTAAATGTTTCATGTAGTGAGCTAAATATGCATGAAAGTGACAGAAATTACAACTTGTATGACTTGTTCATGACATTATAGAGATTTCCTCTCAAAACTGTTTGGCGCACTTTTGGAACATCATACTAGTAATTTGTATTGCATAATTAGAATTCCTCCTAAGTGGATCAAAAAATGTGTAGCAATGGAGAAAAAGGGCCCTATCTCGGCCCTTTTCTTAGTTATGTAGGCCATTAATCTTCGAAAGCCATTAAAAGAGTGAAGTAGTCTGTTAAGTCATCATTTTTCCTGTTTTCATTCAACACGGCCTGTAATGTAATGGCTTTACATGAAAGTCAGCACAAATCGAGCCATAGATTTGAAAGTAAATCAATTTTCTCAAACCACTCTGAAATGGCGAGGCGTTATTAAACCGTTTAATGCAGGAATCGGGAGTTTGTAATGTATTTCCAATGGTGCGTCTGCTCTCTTTCAGGGACGGCCCTGAGCAAAGCTACCCACAGCTTGGAATCTTCAGCGGCAATACGGCCCTGGAGTCGGCCTACAGTTCTTCCAATCAGGTCCTTATCAAGTTTCACAGCGACTTCTCCACGAGTGGATTCTTTGTCCTCAATTTCCACGGTTAGTTTCTCTTCTAAATGAAAATATTGTTTAAAAAATATTGTCACAGGAGTGAAATACATACCATGCATGGGACGCTCTGATAGTTGAAGCATAAAGCAGCATGACGGCAGCTGCTTCTGATGACATCAGCGTTATTTCTCCATATTACATGAGTCCAAAATAGAAGCCTCTTTTATACATGAGTCCAAAATAGAAGCCTTTTTGATATCAGTGTCAGCATGCAGGCCTGTGTTGACAAAAATGTGCAATCTTTAGTGTAAAAATAAGCCATGCTTTCTTTTTTAACCTCAAATTTGTGAGTCAGTATGAGGCAAACATTAGCATTATACATTTGTTTAGATACAGTGTGACCTGTAACTGTAGTCTGTGAGAACACTTTTGGAAACATGCAGCGCATTTTGTTTTCATACTGTATGACTATGTCATTAATATGATAAAGATGTTATAGAGCTGTAGGCAAAAGTTTGGGCACCCCAAGTCAAATGATAGGTTTTGTTGATTTAAAATTAAGTACACATCCTCTACAGACAATACTTTTATCTATATTATAATGCAAAGTATTGTTTATTTACTGAATTTAACATATTGGAAAAATTAAAACAGAAAATTTTGACTGTGCCATAAACTCAAGAAAATAAGTAGAAAAATGCACTAACATTTGCAGAAAAATGCCATATATAAGTTTGTTCCCTGCAGAAGATGTGTTTACTTATCACTTTGAAAATCACCACAACATGTAATTTGACTGGGGGATTTTAGACCTTTGCCTGTGGCTGTGTATAGCATCTGAGATAAGGCATATAACTTCAGTACATTTCTGTGTTTTTCAGCTTATCGTCTCAAGAAATGCCCCCCTCCCCCCACTGTGGAGGAATCAGAAATACTATTTGAAGATGAAGACTATGAAATAGGTATGTGTGACACTGCTAAGGCCATAAAAACTCGAATATGTGTTTAGCTGAATCACTCATTTTCACAAAAATGTAAAAAAATAAATAAATAAATAAATAAAATAATAATAATAATAAAAGGGAAGATGTGAGAAAATGTGAGACAGAGAAGTTACACTTGGGGTCTTCCTCTCAGGGAAGATGGGGTTTCAGACTGACAGGAAATTATTAAATATGTAGCGCATGTCAGAGGATGAAAAGCCTCGTAACACTCTTTCCGATGACTGCCATGACACTGCAGTGGAGGTTTAATTTTGCACCAGGATTCAGGTGCTGTTGATTTTCAGTTATCAAGGTCACACGGTATAGTGACAGACCAGTGAATGCATGTTTCTTTAATCTACATTTAATAGTAGTATGATGAATTTAAAATGTTGTATATCCATTTATAACAATTTTAGATATGACGAGTTTTTGAACAAAATAACTGGTGTATAATGGAAAATACATTTTTATATCTGTAACTAAAAGTGGTCTATAATGTGTTGTAAAATGAAACCTTTTACATACTAATAACAGTTATAATACAAGAAAAACAATTAAAAGAAATAAAGAAAAAACAGGTAGTACTACTAAAGGTAAGTAAATGTGAAAATAAAGAAATACAGTACTATGCAAAAGTCAGAGACCACCCATTTTTCACTTTTCACTTCATACAGCCATTAAGTTGCTCATTTTTCAGCAGGAAACATAGATTTAACAGATCACACAGCCTCAATAGCTGTGTAAACATAAACGAAAACATAAGAATTTCCAAACCGTGCAAGACCTGGTAGACACCAAAACTGCCTGTCAGATAAACAGCACTTAAGGCTTTCATCTTTGAGAGCTTCCTTTCATCTTACCTCCACTGTGAGAAGACAACTCAGCGCTGTGTGTCTGAAAGGATGTGTAGCTGTCAGGAAGCCCTCACTGACAAAAGAAATAAGACAAAAAAGAAAAACTGGACAGGTCCCAGATCTCAACATCACTGAATGTGTTTGGGATTACTTTGATCGAGAGAAGCAGAAAATGTAACTAACTTTTAAGACTGAACTTTGAATGTGAGATGTGGGAAAAATATTCCTGCGGATTTCTTTTGAAAACCTGAAAATAGGTATTCTGAAAAGAGCAGAAACTGTAAGCAAGGCAAAGAGTTTATTAACCCCTTACATGTCCAGGGTCCACCTGCAGGCCCAAAGTTTTATTACGCACTTCTGCAACCTAAGAATAGCTCAACCAGTTTGCAATGAAGTCCCTGTAGTTACTGAATAATAAGTCTTAGTATGTAAATAAGCCTGGAATTTTAAGGGGCTAAAACTGAAAAAGTTGATATATTTAGCATTTAGTTTTCTGTTAAATATATGTTTTCTGGTTTTGAAAAATGAATAGCTTGTACTTAATGTCGATTTTGACTGGAAATTAAATAAATGAAGGTGTAGTCTCTGACCCTTGCACAGTACTATGTGTTTTTAGTTGTTTTTTTACATCAGTGATAGAGGGAAAAACATATTTATAAGTAGTGAGTTTCAGACTGGATTTGGTATAAAAACAAAAGGCTGTTTCACCACCGCCTTCAAGCTTCATATCAAAATGTGCAGAAGGCTAGCACTGGATAATCTTAAGACACAGCTTGGAGAGATTCTCAAGGAAAGAGGCAGCCAGTGGAGTGATGTTAAAACTGTTAAAAATGTAGTAACAACAAATCTGCATTTGCTAATTGTACATGATCTTCAGAGGAATCTTATAATTTGGTGTAATATAGCTGAAGGTTTTGCAAGTGTAACTCTGTTTCACCCTGCAGGTGATGTTGTGAGATATCACTGCTTTCCTGGGTTCACCTTGGTCGGCAACGACGAGCTCACCTGCAAGCTTAACTCCCACCTGCAGTTCGAGGGCCCTCCCCCGGTGTGCGAAGGTAAATGATAACATGAGGTTCAAAGTCAGGTTTAAAAACACAGCCTTCAGAGATACCTGCTGAGGTGATTACCTTACAAGTAGAAAAAAAGGGAGAAAAGGCAACATGGAGGAGGACAGAAAAGGGTCAGAGATCATCTATTTATCATTGAGTGGTGGCTAGAGTGCTTGTGCAGAGCTTTGCTCAAGACTTTATTCATAGATAGGGGATACAATGCAAGAGCAAAGGAAGGAACTGATAAAAACAACCAGCCAGAAATAGTGCAAGAGAGCCAAGCTAACTGGAGAGCTTTCAGCTATTGGAGTGATTATTCATTTTAGCTGAGCTACACCATACACTGCATGGCCAAAAGCATGTGGACACCTGACCTGTCCATCACACCTATATGAGCTTGTTGGACATTCCATTCCAAATCCATGGATGTTAGTGTGGAATGCCCCCCCACACACACAGCTATAACAGACCCCACTCTTCTGGGAAGCTTTCCACAAGATTTTGCAGTGTGTCTGTGGGAATTTGTGCCCATTTATTTAAAAGAGCATTTGTGAGGTCAAACACTGTTGTTTGATGAAAAGGCCTGGCTCACAGTCAATGTTCAGTTCATCTCAGTGGTGTTCAGTGGGGTTGAGGTCAGGGCTCTGGGCAGGCCACTAAGTTTCAAACCATGTCTTCATGGACCTTGGTTTTTGCAGAGAGGCACAGTCATACTGGAACATGAAAGGGTCGCCCCCAAACTGTTGCCACAAAGTTGGAATTGTCTTAAATATGTTTCTATGCTGTAGATTTGACATCACCCTTCACTGGAACCAATGTGCCTAAACCCTGAAAAACAGCCCCAGCCCATTATTCGTCCTCCACCAAACCTCACTGTTGGCACTATGCATTCCAGTAGGTGATGTTATCCTGTTATCTGCCAAACCCGGATTCATTCATTAGACTGCTAGACCATGAAGCGCGATTCATAGAACACGTTTCCACTGCTCTAGAGACCAGTGGCGGCGTGCTTTACACCGCTCCAGCCAACGCTTGGCATTGCGCCTAGTAATCTTAGGCTTGTATGTAGCTGCTTGGCAATGGAAACCCATTTCATGAAGCTCCTGATGTACAGTTCTTGTGCTGATGTTGCTTCCAGAGGCAGTTCATAATTCTGTTGTGAGTGTTGCAGGAGAGGATGGGCCATTTGTCACTCTATGCACTTCAGCACTTGGTATCTTTACTCTGTGAATTTGCATGGTCTACTGCTTTGCAGCTGAGCTGTTATTGTTCCTAGACACTTCCATTTCACAATAATAGTACTTACAGTTGACTAGGGCAGATCTAGCAGGGCAGACATTTCACAAACTGAGTTGTGGCAAAGGTGGCATCCTATGAAAGTGTCACGTTTAAAGTCATTGAGCTCTTCAGTACAGCCCGTTCTACTGCCAGTGTTTGTCTATGGAGATTGCATGGCTATATGCTTGATTTTGTACACCTGTTAGTAATGGATTTGATTGAAACACCTGAACACAATGTTTCACCATCTGGTGTACAGCCATCCCAGAAAAGTAGAGGCAAAGGGGCACAAACTCTATTAATACCCTTGATTTCAGATGAAATACTGGATGTGCAGGTTTCTCCAAACTTCTGGCCGGATTTACTAAATGGTTACGGTGACACTAATGCAGTTTGCACATGCAAAAGCACTCTCAGCTGATTTGTTTTCACAGCTGCAGGTTTTAGTGCACCTCACTTCATGAATGTGCATTTTAGGGGGTGGCACTGGTGACCTGACAAAATAGGGGAGGAGACCAGTAACCAGCTGGAGCTGTTTTTTAAGCTAAAGAGAGGGAGGTTCAGTTACTTTGATAATGGCCGCTCTACTGAAGGCATGACAGAAGACAAATTTCTTATTAAACACAATCGTGTCTTTTTGTCTCTTTCTTTACAGTGGATAATTCTACTTAATTCTTAGGATTATCTCTGTTGTTAAAGTTTCAAAACCATTAATTCCAAAGTCCATACTGCCCATACATGGAAATTAAACGGTTTAATTAGCCCATTATAAATTCACTGTTTCTGTGATGTCATGAACTTTCAAATCATTTACACATAGTCACTTATTCAGGCTATAGCAGTTTGGCACTGAGTGTTGTTGGTACATAAACCTACACAAGTGTGTAAATGGAAATCGTGGAAGAAAATAAAACGCAAGAAAAGTGGAGGATGTAGGCCCTTTAAAGGTAGAAAATGCAAACAAATCCACAAAAAAATCACCAAAATAATATAAAGTAAATGTTTAAAGGTTTCTTCCTGTAACTGTTGAAATGCAAGTCATTGTTTTGGTTGTGCAAAATATAGGACAGACATTTTTGGGACAGTCCTGTGAAATACAGAACAAATGGTCACCCTAATTTCAAATTGGCCAGTTTGCAGGTGACGTCCTTTACATGACATTACCACAGTAAATCACTTGCAAACTAGCTTGAGCGCTGCAGGTTTTACACACTTCTTAGTAAATCTGGCCCATAGAGTGAATCAGAAGCTGCTGTCCATGGTTCTGGAATGCCCTATGTCTTTCTGGCTGTCCTATAGTGAAGAACAGAAGCCGCTGTCCATGGTGCTGGAATGTATTATGTCTTTCTAAGCAAACCACAGAACAGTAGCCGGTTCTACACTAGTTTCTTGAAACTTTACACATGTTCATGCAGCTTGTATGCAGTCGGGAAAACATGTTAGTTGCTGTTCTTAGACTGAGGATCTTCCTTTGTGTTTTTTTTTTTGTAACCTAAATGTAACAGGTATCGTAGACTGTATGTTTGAAAGCTCTTCAAAATGTCTTGGCATCGAGTTATTATGTCTGCAGTCAAAGCTACTTAAAAGCATTTAATGCCTTTTGGGCCCATATCATAAGAGTAATGCAGCATATAAAGCCCCTCCAAGTGCACAAAGCTGCTAATGTGTTCTCCAGAGGTTTCAGTAGTAAATCTAAACAGTTTGATGTGTCTGCAGTTGTTCTACAGTGCCACAAGGAAACAAGCTTTCTCTCAGTTTGTTTCCATCTCCCTCATGCCCACAAGGCACATTAATGGGAAAAAAAAACAAAACAAGAAAAGGACTTTTTTGTCTTATCAACTCAGGACTCATTCCTCAGGTGAAACCAGGAGAAACAAGTGTGTTAAACATGTTCAACCAAAGTTTCAAACCTCACTCAAGAGGCTCGGCTTAGAGCAGCCGATCACATTGTTCATTGTTCTTTGAGTTAGTCTGATCACAGCAATTCTTTTCAAATCCCTATAATGGTCTCCCTGCTCTTGTCCTGACAGCTCAGTGTCCTGCGAATGAGGAGCGTTCGATGTCTTCTGGGGTGATTCTGAGCCCGGGCTTTCCCAAAAATTACCCCAACTCCCAGACCTGCTCCTGGATCATCAAAGTGCTGCCCTCATTCACCATTTCCATTTACGTGGAGATATTCCAGAGCGAGAAGCAGTTTGACGAGCTAGAGATCTTTGACGGTAAACATTAGGGACGTGCTGGTTCTGGGCTGATACGATAACCAATAATTAATACCTTAATTTGGCCAATACCATATTAGTAACAATAGCAACACTAGTTTTTGACATTTTAAATTAATACTATAACCCATATATATGTACAGTGAACATTAGATACTGTTCAGATGGGTTTAATGTACACACGGAGGTGGTGTATGTCATTTTACTGTAGGACAATCTGTATGTTTATGACCACGGGATGAGAAAAATCAATTCATGCATTGGCGTTATACCAAAAAACGCAATACACAGCTGTGCACAAGAAGAAATCATGTCCAAACATTTAATTTAATTGTAATTACATTTATCGTAACCATTTACCTAGTTGTATGAAGTGAATGCAGTGTGTCGTTAGCGTTACTGTTAGCTTGGGAGTTTGCAGTCAATAGCACAGCATAAAATCAAACTTTGTTCTGTCATTGTACATGTTTTAACATTCCAAGTCAATTTGAGACAGGAGAATACATATTGGCTTGATTTGGGGCACAGAGAACTAGAGAATCATCGCTGTCATGCAAAATCTCCAACTGTTTACTTCACTTTTTTGCATAATTTGCTATCTCCAGTTGCCATTTGCACTGTGTTAAAATTTCATAAATGGACCAAGTGAAATGGTTCAAAATTACTTGGACAAATATCTCATTGCGTTATCTTCCATTGTAAGTTAAGAATATTTTTCTTTCTCCAGTAAAGTTACCACTTTGGACATACAAAGTTTAGTTCCAGCAGTGATAAAAAGCTTCTTGGAGCTCCTTACTTCTATAACATTAAAACTTCTTTTCCACTGGATTTGATGGAATATTTACACTGCAAAAAGAAAAAAAAACATCTCAAGTCTATGAGATTGTTGTAAGAATATTATAAGGTTATTCAACTTGTTGCTGTACAGTATTACTTGTGAAAGTAATCTTATTCCATTGTCAGCAGTAGCATTTTACTTGTTACAAGAAATAATGCAGAAAATGTGTTTGTTTCGAGAAATAAGGTGCTTTAGTTAGATAAAAATTGTTTACAATTCGTTAAAAAAGTGTTTAAAAATATGTGCCCAGAAATTCAATAATCTGAGAATATTCTAACAATGTCAGAATGAGAATTAATAGATATCCTGACTAGATTTAAGATGTTTTTGTTTGCTATCATTTTTTGCAGTGTATATGTCAATCTGCACAGGACCTGCAAATATTTCTACAGTTCATTTTGTAGTGGCTAGGAGCCTTAGAATCTTTACCGACGTGGGAGAAAAATGACTGACACAGCTAATTCTGATAGAACTAAATCACTGAGAAATACTATTTATAATGACATTACCCACCCCATGTAAGCCTAATTCTGTTCCAGAGGTATTAAGCCAGGTTAAAAGTATTAAGATGGATAATTAATTAATGTTACAAAGCTGTGAAACAGCTAAATTAGACATTTTTCAGTTATTGTTTACATATTTAAATCACACACAACAATGTTGAATGTTAGGCTAAAGGAATGGTTTGGCAAAAAATCTAATTTGCTCAATTCTCAATCTCTCCCAGATGTAGTTGATCAACCAAGACATGTTTTGCTGTCTAAATTTTGCTTCTTTAGTTTGGAACTGGGGCTACAAGGCTAACGTTGCACACTAGAACTCAACAGTCACTCAAATAGCCCAAATTGTTTCTTTAAAAATACAGCACCGAACACCTGCTTAAACCACATCCAGGTCTTTATTAAGGTTGTATAGACTTGTTGATTTGGTTTAGGTCATAGTATGACAGTATTCAATTCCAATATTATAGTAATAACAGAATTTCCTCATTAGTGGGGAATAATGTATCAGCCGCTGATATATTGTGCACCCAAAGTAAACATTTCTCATGACCTTTTGCTTCAGCGCCCCCTTGAACTTTCATTCTGTCTCACTGAAAGTAGGTCTTGCCTAAGATATTCAGCTCTGTTTTGTTGTGGTTGTCTTGTTTTGTTTCTCAGGACCATCTGGCCAGAGCCCCTTGCTGGTGGCACTTAGCGGAAACCACTCGACGCAGTTGAATTTCACGAGCAAGACCAACCAGCTTTATCTCAGATGGTCGACTGACCATGCCACCAACAAGAGGGGGTTTAAAATCCGCTACACAGGTTTGTGCTTCGTGTCTGTATTATAACTACAGCATAGCCGCATGATTTCATATTTTGAAAGCCGTTCGGAAGCAGATACGTCTCGCAGCTTTGATATATTGCAGAGACGCTCCCCGTCGTTAGTGTTTGCTGTTTGTTGCACAACACAACAGTCTGGTATTGGGCAGCCAGGGAATGTGAGATACCAGCAGTGGACAACATATTCTGTTTTTCTGCCTTTAGTGTCAGGGTGGATTACTTCCTAAGCTTCTGGCCTCCAAGGCTCTTGCTTTGGATCCAATTTGGGTCAAAGAGGGAGAGGAAGTCAGCTTTTTCTAAGTTAGCCCTCATTAGACTAGGACCAGACGTTTCGTACCTTCAGGGAGCCGTTGCATGGGCCTGACATAATGGAGGTCAAAGATTCCGTAATGAATTTCAATGAATAGCTGCCGCATCCCATGCATCGAACCTACATTTCCACCAATGGCCAAACTTGATATATTGTGGACAACAGCCCTGTGGCTATGATTATTCTCCATCTCTCTCCCTTCCATCTCTTCTGTCAGTTTGTCACATGCACACACATAAAGACACATTCATGAGGGACCGATATGGAAATTTTTAGGCGCAGTTGTTTTTCACGTACATATCTACTGATAGTGATACACAAATATTGATAAAATATAGACACTGGGACATAATAAAAACAATAATAGTCATTCGCTGCTATGGAGGTTAGCTCATTGTCAACTGAGAGAAAGTTTCTCAATCCGAAAGAGATTTTCGGTTGCTGCTATGCAGGTTAGCTGGTTGTCGGCTAAGGGAAAGTTTCTCGGTCACAAAGACGTGTTTGCTTGATGCTACTTAAATTGGCATGTTGCCAGATGAGAAAAAGTTTCTCAGTCCGAAGGAAATCTTCACTCGCCACTACAGAGTTAGCTTGTTGCCAGATGAGAAAAAGTTTCTCAGATGGAAGGACATGTTCCTTCGCTACTTAGATTAGCTTGTTGTCGGCTAAGAGAAAATTTTCTCAGTCAGAAGTAGATTTTCACTGGCCACTACGCTTTTAGAAATAAAGGTACTATACAGGTAGGTTTTTAAACCGTGGTTTTAGGGTCCAATTGTGTACCTTAAATATGATTTTCCAGGTGAAAACTACGTACTGGTACCTTTTCATGACCTGATGTTTTAAAACAGAACTATAAAATAAAAAGCCTGGAGACGAGACGGGGTGTGTGGAGTCGGTACAGCTTAGAAAATATCATTTCAGTGGATTATGGTTCAGTTATGTTCCCTGACTAAAGGTACTGAGATGTACCCTTGAGGGTCCCACCCCAGTGACAAGAGTGGTACTGCCCCAGTGACAGTTTCATACGTTTTTTCTGAGAATGTAGAGAGGCTAGCTTGTTGTCAGCTAAGGGAAAGTTTTGCAGTCCGAAGACATTTTCACTTGCTGCTATAGAGGTTAGCTCGTTGTCAGCTGAAAGAAAGTTTCTCAATCTGAAGGAGATTTTCAGTTGCTGCTATGCAGGTTAGCTCGTTGTTGGCTGAGGCAAAGTTTCTCAGTCAGATGGAGATTTTTACTCGCCGCTAGAGAGGCTAACTTGTTGTCAGCTAAGAGAAAGTTTAGCAATCCAAAGACATTTTCACTTGCTGCTATGGAGGTTAGCTCATTCTCAACTGAGAGACAGTTTCACAGTCGGAAGGAGATTTTCGCTCATCGCTGTAGAGTTTGCATTACAGAGAAACCTACCATTTATTTTCATGGGGTTGCAAATGCAGTAACATCAGTAAAATACAAGTAATTTACTGCAGCATACCAAATGATGTGTTTTTTTCAGATGATAATAATTGTTGTCACTCAGATCTGAACTTCAGTCTGATACCATTTTTTTAATGCAGTGATCTGATACCGATATGATTTCGATATCATGGTGCATCACTAACAATTATTCTCTCTCACTCTCTCTATGTCTCTGTCTGTTCAGTTCCATGCCCTGTTATTATTCCAGTTTATTTCCGCATTTCCCTGCTTCCTCAGTCCTCCTTTGAAAGAGTGAGCAGTGTGTGATTTTACCCTAGGAAGCCACTTCTCTCACATGGAAGCTCAGCATGCCCGACAAATAATCATTCGGGAAGGCCTCTGAGCAGCTGCACAGTTTGTAAACACTTTGAACAATGAAGGAGCGTCGAGCAGAGCGCCGTAATGCACCTCCATCTCGTTTTATCTTTGAAAATGGCGCTGAGAGTGAAGACTCGGCCCTTTCCGCGGGGCTTTTCTTTCCTTTCTTTAAACACTCCATTGGGTTTTCATTAAACTAAATTAGAAAGCTGTGTTGCATGGGATTTTTTTTAATGAGGTCTAGACACTCTCTACCAAGACTGAGCAAACGTCTTCAGCTCAGTTAGTGTGATGCTGCACTTGATTTTATTTGTCTAAAGTGAGATTAGCTCTAAGCTCCCCAGAGCCTCTGTTTTTGCACGCAGATAAATCAGCTTGTATCATTTTGAAATGAGTTCGCTCATATTGACTAAGTTGCCTTGCTCAGCTGTAGTTATCTGTTGATTAATCAAAGCTTGACAGATAGTAATTTTTATTTTTGTTGTTTATATATTATTTATTTACCTGTATTATTAATTGTATTCCATCTTACTGTACTTTTGATTGTGTTTTGCCTTTTCTTGCTTATTATGGTTTCTAAGATGCTCATGGTTACTTGTGTTCACTACATATATATTTTTTACTTTATTAATTTTATTTATGAAGATTAGTACTCTTGCGATATTACTGCTATATTGCTATTACTGTATTACTGTTGGTATGTCCGTCAGACTCTCAGTTGAGGCTACCTGGTAGCATCTGTAAGAACTTGTGCTAAGAGACTAAAAAGTTCAGCAGTGCAAAAAGAAAATATAAAAGCACAGATAGAAGCACTTGAAAGACTTAAGAAGTATTTGCAAATGTTTTCCATTAAAAAATAAGGTGGCTCCACAGGATATTTAATACAGACACACATTGAAAACTGACAAAATATGAAAATAGGCCAATATAAAGCACAATAAAGGATTTTGTAATTCTGTAGCTGCCCCTTCAGATGAGCTAACACTAGGGCTAAGGCTAAAGCTAACACTGGAGCTAAGAAAACTCATCTTAACATTGCTGTTTTAGATATGACATTAAAAGAAGCGCTGGTAAATATTGTAACAGATGACATTTAGAGCCTGTTGACGTTCACAACATTTTCAGTTTCAGGAATTTAAAAAATCATCACCGCTCTCCCCATTAAAGAGGAGTTCCACTGATATTTCTGAATAAATCATTAATATAGAAATAATTTCATTCAGAGTGGTGTGAAATCCTCTGTTTTAGAGAAAGACAGAATTGTTCACAGTGGTGGTGATAGGAACCAGACATCTAGAGAGTTTAATGCCTCTAAAGGCTCCCTCACAGAAATTTATATGAAATGGTTACGTAAATATTTTCTGATTTCTGAAATATTCAGAATAGTTTGGAAGTAAGCTTTTAGTCTGAAAATGTATTAATTTGTTAAGAGGTACTGTAAGGCAAATAGTCCCCGAAATCGGGGCCTTAAAATTCTCTACAACAAAGCATTTTGAACCACACCACTCTGAATGAGTTTTGTTTACATCTTAATGACTGAATTATACAGAAATTTTGAAAATCAGTGGAATTCCCCTTTAATACCTTTCTCACCTCTCTCAGCCCAATAATTCTGACTAATGTACTACCAGTGTCATTCTCACAGCAGGTTTGTTCTGAGGAGTTTTGTTGGAATTTTTCCTTCACTGATGATTCTGATATCCATACCACTGTTGGCTCTGTTGCTTTGACAATGCTTAATTTTCCACATTCTCCACAGCATGGCTGTATGAGCATTGCTCGCTGTGTATCTGTCTTGTGTTTTGTTGTCTTATTAAATGTGATCCAGGTTATTTGTGTCTGCTATACAGTGCTTTGGGTATTTGAAAATACGTTAGAAGTAATAGTCAATATTAGGGTTTAAATAATGTTAATGATAATACTTATTTGCGTAAATTGACCTTTATACTCTCTGCAGTTTCTTCCCGCTTTACCGTTGTCACATTGCCGTCATTCAAAGTTTTTATGACCAGTAATTTCTTCCTTTATGGTTCAAGTAAACAGTACCATATCACCCCCTATGCTTCCTGAAGTGTTATGCCATCTGTAGGAAGGACTGTGTGTATCGTGTGAACATTACAGAGCATTATAGAGCACTGTTTTCAAATAAACAATGCAGCAGAGTTATTCCATAATTAACAGCATAGACAACAAACTGAGCTTGTAGGTCAGGGGTTCTCAAACTGGGGGCCGCAGGGGGCAGTAAGATGTTGTACATTCCTAGCTAGCAGTTTTTAGTTGTCAGTTTATTTATATTTAAAAATAAATGTATTTATTTTTAAAAAGTGGTATTTGTTTAAAACATGGTAGCCGTAATTGTTTACACAGTTTTCATTTTTTGTCCAATCTCCACAGCGGCTTATTGCAGTGTCAACAGCGCGCCCAAGAACGGTGGGGTGATTAACAGGACGAGAGAGCGACCCGGCAGCAGGATCCAGTACTACTGCAACACAGGCTACAGGCTAGTGGGGCAGCGCAATGCCACCTGCAGACTCCATCCCAATGGCCTGTACCAGTGGGACGCCCCAGCACCACTTTGTCAAGGTAAACTCCACCCCTCCCCTCCTTCTCCCCACTAGCATCTAATATTACATGTTTCTTAGACTACTTATTTGGATTTCTATATATTATTTGTCAGTGAAGTTATTTATTATGTAGGTTGGAGGAATACAGTTAGAAGAACACAGGTTTGGTTCTTGACTTCTTGGTGCACTCCAGCAATCGCATGAATTCCATCAGCAGCACAACTGTATCAATTGAATGAAGGATTGGTTAGATAAACTAGGCATTGGATGGTAACTAAATACTAGACTTCCTTGAGGAGAGATTTTGGAGATGTTTTAAATACTTAGATATGTGAACTTAAAGCTCAGTGATACCTTTTATCACCCTGACCAAAAACTGCAAATGTAAGTGTATGTACATAGTATGCATGGACTATTCTGTTGGGTTCTATTTGCGATCAGTTATAAGATGGGTATGCTAGGAAGCAGAACCTGGGCTATTTTTGTAAGCGAGTGCTAAATGTGCCAGTGTTAATGAACTGTTAGGCAGAGTTTGAAAAACAGGAACTGAGATCATTTCGGTCAGTGGTGGATTAATTTGACAGAGAGAAGCAGCCCTACAGCTGTAGCAGCTAGCTAGAGAGATCAGATGAGTAGAGGAGGTCAAAGAGTGACATGTTGCTCTCTTGATGAACTAGTTATTCTGAACACACCCTTTTCTTCCCCCTTACCTTCATCCTTCTCTCCCCATCGTATCCATTTTGCAAAGCTGTGCAGTCCAACCACGACGCTTTAGGCTAGGACTAAATAAGCTGGCTCGCCAGCTAGTTCAGCTACACATCTCGGATTTTAAGTCCAAATTGGGGGGGCTGGTCGCTGCATGCTCGCCCTCCACTATGGGCCCTAGTGCAGCTGTCCCCCTTATCCAATGAGATTTGACTGTACGCACATTGAACAAGGGCCAGTATGTCCAGAATTGTCCAGGCACCGCCTTGTTCAGCATTTCATCTGAAATGAAGAGTATTAATAGGGAGTTTATCCCCCTTTCCTACAGTAACAGCCACTACTCTTCTAGGAAGGCTTTACACTCAATGTTGGAACATTGCTGTGGGAGTTTGATTTCATTCAGCCACAAGAGCATTAGTGAGGTCAGGTAGTGACGTTAGCTGATGGCCTGCAAATGGTGCTTCAGTTCATCCCAACAGCATGTGATGGTGCTTCATCACTCTAAAGGACATGATTCCACTGGTCCATAGTCCAATAGCAGGGAGCTTTACAGCACTCCAGCCAATGCTTGGTACTGCATATGATGGTCTTAGGCTTGTGCACAGATACCAGAAAACTGCAGCAAATTTAATGGCTGTAGTTTTGTATATTTGTGTAAGGGCTGTAGTTTTGTGTTTGTAGTCATGTGTGTCAAAGGTTTATTTGTATAATTCTATCGTCATTGCTATTATAAGTGTATTTCGAGTCAGTATGTTTTCTGTTTTTTTCTAAGTGAAATGTGTTAAAATTATTGTTTGTGGTAATTGACAGTATGATACAGGTGTGGCAGATTAGATTGAAAGACACTTCCTTTAATTAGAAGGGGTGTCTGGGCACTTTTGGTCATAGCGTATGACAGTATCTGTCACCGTGCCGATTCCATTACATCTTTCTGATGAGTAGTGCTTTAGAACACGTCCTTTGTCCCAATGTCTTTGGAGCGTTCAGTCACGGCGAGACAGATCCGTAATCGAATGTGTTTGATGTGTCTCGACCTCCTTTAATTTCATTGTTCATGCTTCTCTACTCTGTTCATTGGACAGCTAATTTTATCCTTCGCCCTGCGTGCCACTGCGTCCCCCCGTCTGTGCTCCTTTGCTCCCTACCCATCGTCCTCCCACTGTCGCCACAGAGAGAATCCTCTCTGTATGTTCATTAGCAAGGAAAGTTGCCGAGAAAAGGCAGTGCATTAGCATAAAGGTGGGAGCGGGCTGAAATTTATGCAGGGCTAATTGTTTTGGGGGACTGTTATCTGTGCATGCTTGTTTGAGGGAGTTTATGTGAGACAATTACCTGTTTAGAGAGATTGGAGAGAGGAAATGTGGCTCATGTGGAAGTGCATGCCCCCCTCCACCTCCCCCCACACAGCTGTTTTCTGGCTACAAGGAGTTATAATGGTAGCGTTGATCCTCCCATTATCTAGTTTGGTTCCGACATGGTTGTAATCCATATGAGTCTGAAGATGGTTATTATCATCAATCAACATGCAATCATGCACTGGCATGTTTGTGAGAAAATGTCATCTTTTGTTAGCAACTGGTGTGATTTCCACAGCGCTCCGCTGGCAATCTGCAAGATGGTTTATGCAATCACACAGTTAATCCGAAGCTTTTAGGCTGTTAAGATGGCGCCCGAGGCTTCACTGTTTTAGGACGTTTCAATCAGCCGTCCCCTGCCAAAAATGTCTCACCTAAAAAAGAAACCCACCAACATTTCAAACGAGGAGTCTCATTACGGGTAATCATGGAGAGCTAGATGACACCTCACCAAGGACTGGAGGTTACAGCATTAATATTCTTCCCTCATCTCGAAGCAAGTGGAACAGGCTTGGCTCTGCCCCATCTGCGGAGCCAAGCCAGCCAGAATGTGAGCTAATTAAGGCCAATCATTTCTTTAAATGGTGGGAACAATCCAAGCAGTCAGTCTAGAGGTCAGCTCGGGGCAGGCCAGGGCTCGGGGCGTGCTTTTTTTATGTCCTCTCTACAGTGACCGGCCCTTGATCCATTCTGACACAAAAGCGCTTTAATTGGTCCCATTGCATTTCCCTGAGCGGAGGAAACATCTGTTTGCTTGCATGTGTCTTTAATTTTTATTACAGATCCAGCCATGCTCCCAATTTAACTCCCATTAAGCAGAGGAAAAGATAAAGTGGCTCGCACTGGGCTTTGTGTTTCTTGCTCCACTTTGCTTGCCATTTCTTGTAACAACTAAATGTGATCAGAGACACTGCAGTATGTATTTAGATTAGATACAAACCAAACGTTGGTGTGTTTAAACCACATGGGTATGAGATGTTGGAAGTGGGTTTTAACTATTTCCTGTAAAATGAAGTAATAAAAATAGTAATAATATGTTTATTCCATTTTGCCTTAAAATGCAAATAATACACTTTTTCAAACTGAAATTCTTTAAGCTTAATCATCAAAAATGATGGGCCTAGCTTTGGGATATCACAAGTTCGATCCCAGCGATGCCACAGTTATCCATTACAAAGAGTCTAAGCGAGCGTAACTAGCCTCGCTCTCTCTGAGTGTGTATTATGGACCACGCTGTCCCCTCATCACTCAGCTGGGGTTGGCAGTTGCAAGGTTTTGGGTTTTAGTCTCTGAATGTATCCATTTATTGAAGCAAAAAAGGGTTGTAGTTCACCCCCCTCCCCCCACATTGTTTGGATAGTCATTAATAATTTGATCATCCTAATAATCTTAGGGTGGGAATAATAATCACGATTACATTTTCTTTTCTTAAAATTAAATGGTTCTACGCCTTTATGGCTAACAGCTAGTGAGCTGACTAACATTAACTTAAGCTAAGCTAATCTTAGGTAGCAGTAATACAATATTATCTAAATATTAGTTATTTGGTGATTTATCAACATGAATCTGACATATCTGTTTTTTCTGTATTGAACATTACTGCTTCTGACCACTGCTCTGAATATGGAGCTGTAAACGTGCATGATTAGCATTAGCTATTTTAACTAATTGCATAAATACCAAAATATAGTAAGACATTCATATTAAGATTAATGTAGTTAACTAAGATAACCTCTGCTGACAGATTTTAAGTAATAAAAAGGAACCTTGTAATATATGGATATTGTTAAAATCGCTCACTATCTTTCAATATCTGTGGTCTCTTTTTAGCACATGTGTCAAGGGAGCTGTGAGAATGGTGGGGATTGAGAATGGTGCCTTGCAGCCATATCTCACTCTCCCTAGAGTCACTCACTCTCCTGCTCTTCTGTGTGTATTATTTCTGCTCCTGGCTAGCTGTAACCTGATGTAACACCCAAACCCTGCCCTATGCCTCCCTGCTGAAGTAAGAGGAAGAGCACAGAGAAGCAGAAATTTGCAAAACTAAAGTTGCGAAAATGATGAAAGATACTTTAAACACAAACGTTGGTAGGTTGCCAGAACTGTCACCATCAAATAAACTGTGCTCAAATTACTTGTACATCATCACTGAATATAATTTTGATTGCTTGGACTGTGAGAAGCAGAAAATGCAACCAATTTTTAAGACTGAAAATATCCATGGAGATTTCTTTGAAAAACTGAAAGCAGGCATATTGAAAAGAGTGGAAGCTGTAATGAAGGCAAAGTGTGGACAAAAACTACTGAACCTTTTGATATTATAATGATAACTTGCTGTTAAATTTGTTTTCTGCTTTTTCGTGATGCTGAAAATGAATAATTTGTTCCTAATGGCCTTTTTGAATGGAAATAAAGTGACTTTTGCACAGTACTGTACTGTTTTGTTGTCACAGTCTGTCAACCACCCTCTACCCTTTTCACCAATGGTCAGTTTCTGATCATAGGACCACAGCTGACCAGATAATACTTGTGTGGTGGTCTATTCTCAGTGCAGCAGTGAATGAAAATTGCGAGTATGTATGTACAGATAAGACAAATATTTAAATCAACCCTTTGTTTGTGCCTCTCCAAATAAAGTATTTGTACTCAGGAGCGTCCCTAATAATGACTGTTGTGTTTCCATCGGCAGCTATCTCCTGCAGCGTTCCAGAGAATCTAGCCAACGGCTCCTTCCATGGCCTGCAGTACACCGTGGGCAGCAAGGTCCAGTACCAGTGTGATGAGGGCTACCAGGCGGAGAGCGCCGCCCTGCTGTCCGCCATCTGCCTGGAGGACGGCACCTGGAGCAATGCGGCCCACCCTCCTCGCTGCTTACGTGAGCCCCTCCCTGCTTTTCTGTTTCCATACCAACAGCATGTTCAAATGTCTTCTGCTTTAATTGAGCCCATTGCAGCCAGGACCCTCTGTCGACTCACATCCACCCACTGAGAACAGTGTAGGCCAGGTAATTGGCCAAATGAACGATAATGGCTTGATTTTTTTCTCACGGTTTGGTACTCAAACGAGACAAATGCTATGGTGTGGCATGTCCTCCCCCCTCCCTTTGCACTGACCTGAATTACCAGTGGCCCCTGAAGCAGTCTGGGGGTAATATATGCCCGTGGTGCCGTCAGCATAATGGCTGCATATTATGCGTCCCCAGGTCAGTGTCCGAGATGTTCATTACAATTGATGGTCATGGAAAACGAAATGCAGCTTCTGTTTTCTTTAGACTCCTATGAAAGGACACATGAAAAGCCATGTGATGTCAATAAGTTTTATTCTAAACTATTTTTTTTACTTACTAGAACCTTTTGAAAGGCCACATATTTATTTATACTCCACTTTCAGAAATTCCTACTTCAACCTTAATATATTCTTTTCTTGAAAAAGCATGCAGAACATTGCAATTCTGCCTATTATGACAAGAACAGAGCAAAATATGAAGAAGAAATATGAAAAATATGGCATTTATGGTCTGTGTATCAAACTGAATATGTGCAAGCCTGTTATGTAACTGGAGCAAAATACAACCAGTAGCCGCAACAACAGCATCCAGCCTTAATATATATATATATATATATATATGTGTGTGTGTGTGTGTGTGTGTGTGTGTGTGTGTGTGTTTGTGTGTGTGTGTGTGTGTGTGTTTCTTTTTGCTTGTGCCTGTTGCCACAAAGTTGGGAGCATGTAATTAGTAATTCTCTAAAATGTCTTTGTATGCTGTAGCATTAACATTACCCTTCCCTGGAACTAAGGAGCCTAAACCCTGAAAAACAGCCCCAGACCATTATACATCCTCCACCAAACTTTACTGCTGGCATTATACATTTCGGTTGGTAGCGTTGTCTGTCAGACTACTAGATAGTAAAGCATGATTCATCACTCCAGAGAACATGTGTCCACTGCTCTGGAGTCAAGTGGCGGCATGCTTTACACCACTCTAGCTGACACTTGACACTGCGTATAGTGATCTTAGGCTTGTGTGCACCTGCTCAGCCATGGAAACCTATTTCATGAAGCTCCCAGCGCACAATGCTTGTGCTAACGCTGTGTGCTTCAGCACTTGGCAGCCACACTCTGCGAGTTTGTGTGGTGTACTGCCTCGTGGCTGAGCTGTTGTTGCTCCTGGATGTGTTTGTTTCACAATAATTGCACTTACAGTTGACCGGGGGAGATCTAGCAAATTTCACAAACAGGCTAGTGGCAAGGGTAGCAGTGCCACATTTAAAGTTACTGAGCAGAATGTCCCATTCTACTGCCAATGTCTGTAAATGTAGATGACTGTGCCATGGCTATGTGCTTGATTTTATTCACCTGTTAGCAATGGATGTGGCTGAAACACCTGAACTTGGAGAACATTGTAAGGTAAAATAGTACCCACTGAAAATTAATTGTTACCACTATTTTACCATTGTCAACATTATATATAAAAAAAATACATACATACATACACACACACACATATATATATATATATTTGTACATATAAAAAATGAAGGCATATTTGTCTCATCTGTACATATATACTTTCAACTTACTCAAAAATTCAGATAAAAATTTGTGTAGTTCTCTTTTAATGCATCAAAGCCGAAGAATGAATGCCCTGATGGTACATCTCAAACTTTGCCTAACAGCTAAATTGCAACTGAATGGGTGAATGTAATTACATTGTTTGAAAGGAATCTAAAGAAAACCAACTAGACTGAACGTCAGGCTGCTGAAGAATGGCGTGCACTTTTGTTACTTTCTCTGGCCCAGGCCTGCTTACCTCACTTCACATGGGCTTTTTCCATTAATGCTTTCTTGGCTTTGTGTCCCACAGCGGTTCAGTGCCCCAACATTGAGAGCATGCTCTCGGAACACATGGTGTGGCGTCTAATCTCAGGCTCGCTGAACGAGCTGGGGGCGCAGATAATGCTAAGCTGCACTCCTGGCTACTACCTGGAGGGCCGGAGGACTATCAAGTGCTTAGCCAATGCAACCTGGGGAGGACTGGAGGAGAAGTCAACCTGCAAGAGTAAGCCTGCACTCTAAGACCCAGACGCACATGCACATATTTGTTTTTATGCATACCGTACTGAGCAAAAGTCTCAGGCATTTAAGTACATTGTTTAAAACCATTTATCTGGGCAATAATGTGTTTGTGCTTGTAAAAAAATTAATTTCACATTAGAATAAATGCTAATAAACATCAATACAGTAATACAATACTATATATATATAGTACAGCTGATTCTGGGCACATCTAAAATCTCTTTCTTTCCCTGTTAACAGCTGTTTTATATACTAACAGCTAACAGGATTTTATATACCTCGATGTAACACGTACATATTACCTATAGCACTGTGAAAAAGTCAGAGATCACTCTTCATTTTATTAATTTCCACTCAAAACAGCCATTAAGTACAAGTGATTCATTTTTTTATTGTCAGGGGGAAAAAAAAAGCAGAAAATGTATATTTCACAGAAAATTACATAGAAGCATCAAAAGCTAAATATGATATAATTTTTCAGTATTTAGTCCATCACTCTTTACCTTTATTACAGCTTCCATTCTTTTCTGGAGACTTACTTTCAGTCTGTAGGGCTATTTTTCACACCTCCAAAGTTTAGTCTCAGAAGGAAGTTGGGCACATGTTCTGCTTCTCATGATCCAATTAATCCTAACTTTAGATTTTCTAAATTTAGACTGACTCCAAACCCTTAACCTAACCTTAACCTCCTTAACCAAAGAGGATTTTGCTCTTTCAGTTGTAAAAATGTAATGTAGAGCTTTGTAAAAAAAAAAAAAGGCACTTTAAGACATTAGGAGTTGTGTTGATCCTAAAATTGCAGGGATAGTGCTGTGTTTCTCTGGTTTTACTACAGATTCAGGACATTTAAGTCCCTTTTAAAAAACAAGCGCACACACAGACCACCTTCCACACTCTGAGAAATTCATTTGAAAGCCAGACAAAAAAGAAAATACCACATTGTTTGACTAATTTGCCTGTAAGGCTCTTGACGTTTTTTAAGACCACATTTCTAATTACTGAGCGCCGTCCATTGTGTATTTATGAATCTAATTTATTAGAATGGTTAATATGTCAGAAATCCGGCCCTTCTTTATACCATGCCCGCTTTATTTCTGTACTGATCCCGCTTTATTTCTGAAGCCTAATCCCCCAGATTTGGTTTGCAGGCGTAAGATGGGGGCTTGCACTGCCCGAGCTAGCTCTCTCTGACCACGCTCCTGTTTCATCCTCTCAGACAGGCTGAGTAAACAGCACTCTGATGATTAAGCCATCAGCTGGAATGTGTTTTATCTAATTAGGGGTCACGGAGCGAATGTAAATATTCTAATCAGAGAAAGCTTAAGTTTTGTAATGTGTTTACCCACTCTGATGAGTTTAACAGAAAAACCGGTGCTGTTCCACGTTACTGAGCTTTTGGACGTCTTTTTGATCCAGACAAGCCAATGAGGGATCCATGTGTGATCGCCCTCTCTAATGTTTGAGGAAAAATATGAGTGAGTGTTTCACTGTTTAAATTGGGAGCGCTGTGGTGTGGAGTGCTGCTAACCACTGCAGAGTTCAGCTGGAGTTCACATGAACAGTAGCTGCTGATTCACCTGGGCTCGAACGTGATCCGACTGCAGAGCATATGCTTACAGGGTTAGCACTTCTTCCCTGATAAATTTGGAACATAATTCTTTTCTTTGCCATTCGTAACAAAAACACACAACTTGGTCTTTCATGAAAATCAGATTTTAGCTGATGATTACTTCTCATTTTGCATAATTGCAGTTGTAACTGTTAATTCTCGTCCTACCTAGCTGTCAATACATAGTAGCTCCAAACTGACCATAGACACAGGTCAAGCTCAAATATATAAACAATACTCACTGCCACCCTCTAAAGATTTTTATTAACTAACATGAAATAAACAAACATTACTCACTGCTGCCCTCTAAAGGTGTCCTTAACAAACATTAGTTAAACAAACGGTACTCACTGCTGCCCTCTAAAGGTGTCCTTAACAAACATTAGTTAAACAAACGGCACTCACTGCTGCCCTCTAAAGGGTCCTTACAAACATTAGTTAAACAAACGGCACTCACTGCTGCCCTCTAAAGGTGTCCTTAACAAACATTAGTTAAACAAACGGTACTCACTGCTGCCCTCTAAAGGTGTCCTTAACAAACATTAGTTAAACAAACGGTACTCACTGTTGCCCTCTAAAGGTGTCCTTAACAAACATCAAATAAACAAATGCTACTCACTGCTGCCCTCTAAAGGTGTTATTAACAAACATTAAATAAACAAACTTTACTTACCACTGTCCTCTGAAAGTGTTTTTCACAAATATCATATAATTGCGCTCGGCTCAAGTAATTGCTATCAGGCACAAACAGGCTTTGTGCTAATTGTATTCAGTGGCAGAGCAAAAGATCAGAAACAATGGTATGAAAGCCTATCAGTATCAGAATGAACATGTAATATGTAAAAATGCAGTGTATTTGTGTGTTTGCATTTAAATCTCCTTCTTATATTGGCAATGTTGTGCTCAGAATGAAAATTCAAATTGAGTTCTGCAGTTTTAATTTGCAATTTGATATAATCATATTGATCATATAGATGCTTTATGTGTAGCTTTATTTAAATTCAAATCTACTTCCACGTAGATTCACACGCTCGATTAAACGCTTTCTCTTGGGGTTGTGTGTAAAGACATTATGCATCACATGTGGCTATATTTCTCTTCTTTACCTCATCTGTTAATGTAAGAATAGCTATAAACTGTTTGGCCGCCTTATCCACTGGGAGTGCTGCTGGCTCCGCCCTGATGGGATAATTGACAGGTCGAATGCATTTTCAGAATCATTTTAGTTCAGAATGAGTGCAGTAGGTGAGAATATGTAATTACAAACATAAGCGGCACTGTTTCCCATTTACATCTGAATTTTGCTGTCTTTCTAGCTTGGTGCTTTAATAATGTAATTTAAATGCATTTACTAGAGAGTGAAAATGCATAAGATAAATTACATTTTAATTATCATGATGCCATTATTGTGTAATCACAATAAACATAAATATACAGTTCTGGAAATACATTTTAATTTAAATAAAGGTACTCATAAAGCATCCAAATCTTTGTGTAAATGAAATGTCCATGCGAGTATAGCCATGGTAATGAAAAAAAGTACTGAATTTGAATTTTGAGCTCAACGTTGCATATATGAGGGGAAATTTAAATGCAGATATACAGATACGTTGCCATTTTACACATTTCATTTTCATTTATTTTGATACTGATATGCTTCCATATAATGATGGATTTGTTTCCTTCAAGATGTAAAAAATGCACCAATCCCAGTCTTTCCTCACGCTGCTCTCTACATGTAGGCAGTTGTCACAGTTGGCAAGAACAGCCAGTTCTAATAATTAAGAAACTTCCTGCCTTTTTGTAACATGTTGGATTTCCTGTGTTGTTTGCAGTTATCTCCTGTGGGGAGCTCCCTTCACCTCCCAATGGCAAGAAGATGGGCACCCTGACCACCTTTGGTGCAACAGCCATTTTCATGTGCAACACGGGCTACACATTAGTAGGTTCTCACGTGAGGGAGTGTCAGGCTAATGGCCTCTGGAGTGGAGTGGACACTAAATGTCTGGGTAAGTGAACTTCAAACTTCTACATGTCTCTAGGCTTTTAAAGGCACACTAAAGATGTTCAACACCAGGAATGCCCTGAGACTCAGACAGAAGAGGTCAGGGACCTGAGGGATCTCTCTGAATCAGCAACCTATTTAAACAGACGACATGTACAGGTACTCCAGGACTCGGTTAACCGTTCCGGGTACCAGGTACCAGTACCTTAATGTTTTCTCTTTTTTGGATTTACACATTATCATGCCTTTTATAAATACAAAATAAACCTGAATGATGTAATTGATTTTTAAATTGATTTTTTCTCCACACAATAAGACCAAAGTTAAATAAATATGTAAAAAGTAACAAGAATTTCTTATTTTGAAAAAAAAATTTGTGTGTGCTATTTTGAGGAACATAATTTGGTTCTAGATCTCCTGGATACTTCTGGATTATAACTACAAATAACGCTTGGCTTCCTCAAGGTTTGGAAATAGTTAAATGAACACAGTGATATATGTAAAATTACTATTTATTGTTGTAAGTAGCTCTATTGTTAGATCTGTAGATCTCTTAGCTCATCCAAAGATGTGCAAGTTACTATGTGACACAAAGACATACTGCTTTAACCTACAGCAACTAAAATATAAACTTTTTAAAATAATAAATCATGTTTTTTAAAAGGTACTCATCTGTGTGGTGCCGAATGTAACTCTTTAAATTAATACTGTCAGGTAATTTACCACAGCTTAAGTGAACTTAGAAGCAAATAGCTAAAGTGAAAAAGCACTCAGTTATAAGATGTGTAGGAAGATGAACCCAAAAAGCCCAATTAAAGACCAGGAGTCAGGATTTAAAATGGAAAGATCTGAAGTCTCAGATAGATAATTTTGAAAAGTGAAACCAGAATTAAAGCACCATAAAATCCAATAACAGCTGTAGTCTCTCCCCTCTACTCTTACTCCACATATAGAATGCTCATACTTTAATGCAGATCAACTGTAAATCAAATTAAATGAATTGTAATAACTAAACAAAATAAATCATCGGTCAACATTAATCACTGTAGGTGGCATCATATTCACATCTTCTTGTCCAGTTTCGATGACCATAGTCTACCATCTTCTCCTGGGCACAACAGGGTCTTTTCATCTCAACAGCAGCCTTCAGCAGGGACACTCAAAACGTCTTGCCCCTGGAATAATACAAAATACAAAAACAGCAGCTTACAAAACAACAACCTTCAAGGCCTAACAAGCGATCACACACCACAAAAACAGCAGAAAGAAAAATCTGATGTTCTCTGCCTCAATGTGAGCAAGCCAAAAGGGTGACAGCGGTGGGGAAAATCCCAAAATTTCGCTTTCAGGAAGAAACATAGAGAGGATTTCAATGAATGAAAACTTTTATTAATTGAAAAATGTATTTTATTCCGAACAGAATTCCATTCTAATGAAATCTAAATAATTTGCACTGAAATGTTTTGATTTTGGTCCAATAACATTTGAACTTTGTTAAGATAAAAAAAAAGTTTGTGTAAACAGATAGATTGAATGCAAGTGTGCGTTGCTTGGGAATTGAGCTGTCCCCAAACTTTTGAAGGACCGTGTATCTAAAAAGTCCTTTTGAAAAGCAGTGGCAATATGCAGTTTGATGCAAACAGCGGGCTTTTCAAACAGCAGATTGTGGCTTTGAGCGATTTATTATTAGATTATGCCATAAGACAAAGCAGACATCTAATGCACCTTCTGCAGTACATAATCCATCGCCCTCTTCTCCTGCTTCGCCATAACGCGGGGGCTATAAACACGCCAGAATCCTTAAGCAAGCAGCAGAGGCAGATGAACTGAAACACGTCGCTGTTAGAAGAGCGCACTCCCTGACCCTTAGCCGCATCGCCCGCTGCTTGACCAAACAGTACTGAGGGCGTTTCATCAAAATGTCAGCCACTGACTGCTGCAGAACAGAAAGCAGGACTGCTGTCTCTCTCACTCAGCCACTGTTTAACATGGCTTTCGGTTGCCGTCTCGATTCATATTAGCTTGTCACGCATGCTTTGGTTTCTTGCGGATGGGCGTTAATGATGCAGCCTTGTAACTGTTTGTTGTTTGTCGCACTTTTGTCATAGCTGGCCACTGTGACTCGCCCGATCCCATTACTAATGGCCACATCAGCGGCGATGGCTCCAGCTACAGAGACACAGTGGTCTATCAGTGCAACCTGGGATTTCGCCTCATCGGAACCTCGGTGCGCATCTGCCAGCAGGACCACAGGTGGTCGGGGCAAGCACCTGTCTGTGTTCGTAAGTGTCTACAGGTTTAAAAATAACCTGCTTTACTGCTTTAAAAGGAAGGTTTGCAGATTTTTTTTTTTTTTTTTCTTGAAATTTTCCAACATGGCTTTAGCCTGTGTGTGTGAGAGGGGTGGGTGCTGAGTTGATTGCTAGGCTTTACCTTGAGTTTCAACATGTCGATTTATTCAGCTCATAATGGGGTTGAAACTGGGGTTTGGCCTAATGCACATCCATTATGTTAACTTCTTAAAACTCAGGAGATGTGCGAGGGCTCCCAGGTGGTGCAGTTGGCTAAGAAGGCGGCACAAGTTAAGTTTTCAAGCGAAATCACAGAAATTAGTAACCAGCAGTGCGAGAGGGCTTTGTTCCTCTCTCACTGTCAATGCAAAGCAGGGGCTGAATTACAGGGTAGGTTGAGAGGAGGGGTCTGATCCCCTTTAAGTAAGACTTCACCCCTCAGAAGCTAAGTAAAAGAAAAGTCGGGGGGTCTTTTGCTACCATGTTATTTGAAAGCGTTCTGCATACACTCACTTCAGAACACATGCATAAGCATTGAATGCTTACCCAGCCATCACCATGTCTTGGAATATCTTAAGACACACTTATGAAGACATATTAAGACATCTTAAAGCATTTCCTAAGAAACCAACTATTAGCTGGTTTTAAGATGAGAAAATATTTATTGTTGACAAAAAACCTCACATCTCCAAATTGGCAACTTTGCAGTAGAAGGACTTTCATTGGAAGTTTTATTTGATGCACCTGGTGTTTCCAAATTATGTCAAAAAATAAAAAAATCGCAAAATTGAGATGCTCCTGTTGCTCCAACAGCGTCAGCATGGATGAAAAATCAGTGGAAATCTCCCTTTCCAGTTATCACCATTTGATTGGAACAATTTGACTCCTCACTGGATCCTAGGGTATCTCATTATCTTGTGTTTTTTCTCAGCCATTACCTGTGGGCACCCTGGAAACCCAGCCAACGGGCGGACAAATGGCAGCGAGTTTAATCTAAACGACGTGGTGAACTTTACTTGCAACACAGGCTACGTCCTGCACGGCACGTCACGGGCCCAGTGCCGCATGAACGGCCAGTGGAGCAACCCTCTGCCTGTTTGCAAGGGTAAGAAGCTTCTGCACTCACAACTTCTTCTGAACCCTGGAGCACACTTCCAAAACTCCAAACAGACATGAGCTGGAACATCATCTCATTAACCACAGTAACTTCTAAAGAGGCTGTTTGACAGACACACTGCACTGGCTGGGTGTTAACCAGGCCAAAGCAACATTTGCGATCAGGTCCAATCTGTAGCTGAATGACAACAAGCAACTTTCTATAATTTCCATGATTACAAACATGTTGGTTTGAAATTTGAACAGACATTCTGGCATGATGTAGGACTAATCATCAAACGCATCTTGCCTCAACAGTTAATTACAACAGAAAGGTGTGTATGAAATTATAGATGGCTGTCAGGTGGATTTGAGTCATGACAACAAACAGGGACGTATCTGCATACCTGGTGTGGTGAGATATGCCTAGCTGTGCTTTACAACTCTGTGGAACCAATGCAACATGTAGCCAGGTACACTTCACAGCATGTATAAAACGAAACATCAACCAGGGACTGCTAAACTGAAACCTTGCCTGTAGGTTTAGACTGTGAAGTGTGTCTTACTTGCTAGATGAAAGGGTTGACGTTTGCATTTGGCACCAAATGCGACTCTTTGGCACTGCCGTGCAGATGCTCCACCCTGTGCGGAACACCCTGTTCCTGGATTCAGTCCAGAAAAATGTGTGAATTTGAATAAAATAACTCGATTTGTCGTTGTCATTCCCATCAAAACCGAACCCTCTTTGGAACTCTTTGTTATGCCAAGAGTCACAGTCAGTACTGAGATAGCAAAAAACATTCCACCCTTGTTTTTGTAATATTATCGTTCTGCTCTCATAGAATTACATTGTCGGTCTCATATTTTTCTCATAATATTATGACTTTATTTATGTGAAGCTTTGACTTTTAATCCCATAATATTTTGCCTTTTTTACCAGAATGGATGAGAATATTAAATATTCATATTAATCTGTCTGCTACAATAAAAAGTTTATTGCTTCTTTGTTCTGCAGTAGCCCTAAAAAGCTGCTCCAGCCACTAATTGTGCAGCTTCTTGAAAGACGCAGACTTTGGTTTCACCAAAAAAAAAGTCGCAATTGATTCCCCTTGCTTTTCAGACTTGCACTCTTTTAGCCACTCCCAGCAGGCTTTTACTTTCAGAAGGGACCCCAGGAGCACACAATTTCACTTTGCAAAAACATGGCCAGAGCTGCATATCCCATGAGAATTAGCTAGGTGTCAACATGCTGTATTTAAGATACACATATTCCCTCCTGGCTGTGGAGTATAGCAGGGCTAAAAGCTGTGACCTTCAATATCACAATGTGAGCACAAACATTGCAGTAACTGTGCCTTATTTGGCTCTTTTCACCCCAAATGAATGTGCTAACCCTTTGAGACTTATTACTTTTGATTTACTGTTCAAATATAGTTATGTAATTTAATACAACAGTGGCAAACCATGACTATTAAAGCTAGGCCTTTAGTTTTGTGCTATAAATGTACAAAATTCAGTATGTAATGAAGATAACGCTAATCTTTTAATAACACCCCTATGGGATTCTAGTAGTATATCACTGACAGCGATTCATATGATCGTTTTTGGCCATTCTAGATTAAAATCTTTTTCTGTGCCAAGGAGTGTGTCGAGACAGCAGGGTTTTCAGGAATTATATCTTTCATTCAAAGTGTGCTCTGTCTGTCTGTCAACCCAGTCTGACAACAGTTCAAGCAGACAGACTTTTCTACCTTGTATTTCCCCTGCAGCTATCTGTACATAGTCAATAGATATTCCGTTGTAAACGCAAACAAGCATCTTTTTATGCAATTACTAAGAATAATAGCCATTTTGTTGTAAATCAGGAAAACACCTATGATTAAAAGTTGAGCTAGACACCTGCTAGCCGTGTGAGCAGTAAGCTCTGCGATTTTAAATAAGTAAATACAGAAAGGAAATAATTTTCTTTCTAAAGAAAGAAAGTAAAATAAACCACGCACAGACATTTGTAAAAGATATTCTATGTTGTATTTCAAGTTAGTGACATTATTATATGTTTTACCTTGTGGCAGTTTAACAGTGACTCCTTCAGTAAAGAGGCATAAAGCAGCATAACACAGCCATTTTTCTGATTTTTTCTAACTGAAAAGCATTCACACTGAGATGTATTTGTCAGGTTAACGCTCAAACTCACTGTCAGTGGTGTTTTTAGAGTTTCCAGAACGCCTGAAGTGGTGTTTTTTCTCATGGTGTTGCCAATTGTAATTTAAATCATGATTGTTAATTACGCTGCCAGTTCCTAATTAGCTTCACAAAAAAGAGCACTACAAGCTCTATGGTTATATAAAATAAAAATGAACCAAAAATTACAGACATTCTCTGAAGGCCTAGAAGGCCCTGGGCTTTTCCCATTAAATTACAAAGTTACTCATATTTGTGCTACACAGTGAAGTACGTTTACATTAGATTTACATTCTCAGCTCTGAGCCTGCAGTTGTGACTTTGCTGTTCGTTTCAGGGCCAGGAACTTACAAACATGGCAGAATGTAAAGAATGTTTTTCTCTCTGTACATAAAATAACTTTCCAGTTCCAGTCTCCTGTTCTACATATGAACACTCGTGGCATAGATTGAAAATTTTGAATCTGCACTTTTGACAAGATGCCTCTTTCAGTGAGCTATAACTAAGAAATAATTAATATTGCATTGCACCATACTTTGGTTGGGTTAATATTTTATGTTTCTGCTTCAGTGTTTTTTTTTACAGTTTTTAAATTATTTACGTCTCCTTATATCCAATTTATTGAGACAATCATAAGGCACGCCGTCACTCCACTTAAATACTGCATGACTACTGGTGCTTATATGCTGTAGATCCAGTTCAGATTTCACACTCTCTTTCTCTCTCTCACACTGTCAGTCTCTAATTGATAATCTCTGTTGCAAAAAAACAGGATTCCAGTAACCGTTGTCCATTTATACACTTTTAGTACCCCTCTGTTCTCCTTTCCGAAGGGCCTTAATTGATCACCAGGACACTGGCAGCTGTCAGCGAGGCAGTTACAATCTGTTTTGTTTCGCTTGGGCGTTCAGTCCTCCACTTGTTTTTCCTGGTGAAAGGACAGTGACTGAAGACAGTATTGAGCCAACTTGGCATGGCAGGAACAGCAACTTCTAGTCGCCTTGGTTCATTGTCAACACAAGTTGTCACGCTTGATTTCAAGGCAACAGGGTTTGCAGGAAGTCTGGCAAGTATTGTCTAGGAATCCCAAGGGTTGCAACTGGTGAAGGAGGTTGCGTCCTGTTGCATCGTCATTGTTTACTTATGGCGGATAAGTTAGCATGTTAAAACTAACCCCACTTGAGGAGGCATTCCTGACTCTGTTTTACAGCCACACCAGAGGGAGAAAAAATAATATAGGAGTGAATTCGGTGACTTATACACAACTAAGCGAAAAACAGTTACGATGAAAAAAGTGTTACTTTTATGGTGCAAAAACAGTAACACTTCACTGAAGGACAGCTTTCTTAAGGCTACATGACACCTACAAAAGCCCTTCATGACAACTGATGTAAACCTATATAGACATTTATAAACGCAGATTACAACAACTGTTTAATATCATAAGGTAAAATGATATCAAAATTGACAAAAGCATCTGTTATGACAACTGACGCCTGTTGAAAACCTTTATGTTTATGTAGGTTTATGTCAGTTTCTATCAAAGGCCTATGTAGGTGTCACATAGCCTCATGAAAACTACGCTATAGTAATGTGTTACCCTTGTCTTAGGGGTGAATCTGGAGAAATGTCTGTCAAATAGCTGTCAAAATTGAGTGATAATGTTGCTATGGGAATATGCAGTGGTGACCACAAGCATGTTACATTTTACCATGTGTTATTGCTAGAAAGCTGAGACTTTTCATCTTTACACCCATGTTTGAAACTCAAAATATGCTTAAGCGTCAAAAGTGACTCAAAATGATGGAGCAGGTCACAATTCACCCCACTCTTCAGTCCTGAGTGTCTCCCAGCTTACATCCACAACTGAGGGGACAGCTCCGTCCTCCAAACAAACTGTAGGGTGGTTTTTGGTTCTGTCCTCAATGACCTGTATTTAAAGGACTCCACAGAATCCCCCTGTCCAAGGTCTCATTCCACTCTCTCTGCCCCTGTAACCTCTGACCAAACTCAGTTAGTTCCTCCTCTTTTGTATCATGACCAAACTGTTAAGAACTGTCCACTTAGGTGAGGGTAGGGCAGCACCTCAAAAAGGCCTAGTAGAAAATGAGTTGCCCACATGAGCCGTGGTTCTCAAAGATGCACTGACAGCTTAACGTGACTCAGAAAAAGCATGTGCTTGCCTTTATTCTGCCAGATTGGTGCCGTCAGATAGGGGAAGTAACATTTGGGGAGAAAATTGAACAAGAGTTAAAAAAAAAAGCTTAAGAGAAAGTAAATATTCTCTTCTGCTGTGCCTTAATTCTGCTATGTTTTGCAGTTGTCAGCAAAATTACTCGCAGGGCCAGCTGTGCGTGTTTAAGTTTTAGTTAGTTCTGACAATTTGGCCAGCTGTACGTGCTTTACTTTTAGTTAATTCTGACACTGTTGTGAAAGCATTTGTATTTATATGCCTTTAAGCCTTTATGCTCACAGGGTCCTGCTGGCCTTTGTGTTCTTCCATGCTAATAATAAAATAACATGTAGGAACTGTAACGAAGACAAAATAGCATGAAAAGTTTTGCCATATCAAATGTAATGTGTTTCTGCCCATAAAATGAAAGTGCATGTGCAAAAGTCAGAGACAAACTTTAATTTATTTAATCTCCAGTAAAAACGACCATTAAGTACGAGTTATTCATTTTTCAGGAGGTGTTTCTGAGGAGATTACATATAAGATAGTCCGCTTGCATGAGGTAGGAGAAAGTCAAAGGGAAAAACAGGAGCTTTCAAAACTGCAGCTAATGATTAAAACAAATGATTAAAAGATACAGAGACAATTGGGCTCCTAAAAACCACCTGAAAGACCTGGTAGACAAAACTGCCCCCATCAGATAAACAGTACTTAAAGCTTTCATCTTGAAGAGAGAGGAGAAAATCAAGCTGCTTCAGATCTGAAAACATCCACAGGTGTTTCTGTCCATCCTTCCACTGTGAGAAGACGACTCAGCACTATGGGTCTGAAAGGATGTGTAGCTGTCAGGAGAAGGAAACAGACAAAAAGAAAAACATTTGTAAATCAAACAAAGAAGGTACTGGTGTTTTTAGAGCAACAGACTGGCTACTCCAGACCTTAACATCACTGAATGTGTTTGATTTTATTTGGATGGTGAGAAGAAGAAAATGCAAAACCAACTTCTAATTGTTAATTTCTTTCTTCTAAAAAAAAGGGAATGACTTCTACATAATGGCTGTTTTGCCTGTAAATCAAATACATGACATTTGCTCAGAAGTTAAGTTCATGATTGCTGCATATTTTTTTGGATTTGCTAAATGAGAGCCAAACTATATTGCGAGCAGGTGAGTGATACGAAAAGAGACAGAGAGAATCACTTTCCTTTGCTCATATTTTCAAAAACAATGTCAAGAATGAGGTTCATTGAAATTGCTCTTTTTCCTCCTGTTTAGTGTCTTCGTCTTTCTCCCTTACAGACATTAAACATCAGCTTTGTTTGTGCTCCTTGTCCCCCCTGCCCCCTTTTCTCTTCACCTGGTAGTGGTAAACTGCTCTGATCCTGGCTTCGTGGAGAACGCTGTTCGTCATTCTCCTCAGCGCTATCCCGAGAGTTTCAGCTACACACACAGCGTGATGTATCACTGCAAGAGGGGCTTCTATCTGCTCGGCTCGTCTGTGCTCACCTGTCAGTCAAACGGCTTGTGGGACAGATCGCTTCCTAAGTGCCTTTGTGAGTAACGCCTCCGCCACCGTCTCCCCTCCACCCCTCTCTCTCCTCTGGGTTGATGCAGCCACAGAAACAGAGCACAAATCAGGACTGACGGGAGATTACTTGACTTTATGTGACAGAGTGAAGGTTGTGTTTAAAATGCTTCGATGGTAATTGTAAAATCAGAATCAGCATTGGTTTTGTTTGGCCGAGAAAGATAGCACTTGGAAGGAATTTATCTTGGCAGTAGCTAAAAAGACTGAAAAGATTAAAAAGCTTAAAAGAAATGTAATAGCAAGTAAGCAAACTTAACAGAGGAACAATAACTGAATACGTAAATTTAATAATTAGAACTTCCATGCAAATGAAGACAGGCGCAATTTCATTATTTACATATGAGCAGTGTAGTGTAAGACCCCATTTGGCTCGCATGCTTTTTGTATGGAAGCCTGTTTTCACCAGGTAGGAGAAAAAAAAGACTTTTTTTGTTTCAGGTTCGAACGTTGACTCATTAGGTTGAAATAATGACTTATTTTCTCTTTTTTTTTGCTTAGTGAGTGATTACTTGTTGAGAAAATATGTAATGTTTTAAGCATTACTTTAATAAAATAAGTATAATAATAAGTTCGGCATTATAAGTGAAATTAGCAATTATTTTGACTTTTAGTGTTGAAACGCCTATTTTAGGTCGGAGGAAGGAGCTGTAGTTGAGTTTGTTGGGAACTTTTAAACATCTGAAAAAACCTTTTGGTGAATAGTTTGTCATATTTAAATCAATATTGTATATAGTGTTATTGTATATAATAGAAAAATGGAACCAAAAATTGGAACCGGGTGATTCCAAACTTTTGAACCATGCATCACTTCAACACAGAGGATTTTGTTGTGTTTAGAATGTCTATTGATTTTTTTTTGTATGTACCTACTAAACAGTATGCATAGATACACTGAGGAACAGTAGTGCAGGAACAAATATATGTAATTCTACAAAGTTCACATACTTAGTAGGTATGTCTGATAAAATGGCCAATGAGTGTAAATTGGGTATACCCAATAAACACAAATCTCAATATATACAGAATACAGTGTAATGATTTAATTGAATTTCCGTTTTAGTGACAGGAGCTGTGTAGATCTGTGCTCCACTGTGCACACTTTTACAGCCATTAAAAGAAATTTAATTAGATGTTTGGTAAAGTGGTCAGTGCAGTGAGATTATGCAGTAAAACCTATAAACTTTGTTTTCTGTTTTTCCTTCTCTCTCTGTCTCATTCTCTCCTATCTTCCATGTCTCCTGTAGCCATATCCTGCGGTGATCCGGGCACGCCGCCCTTTGCTGTCCTGTCGGGCAGGAATTTCACGAACGGGGCACTGGTGCACTACTCCTGCAGCCAGGGCCGGATGCTGGTGGGCAATGCCACACGCCAATGCCAGGAGGATGGCCGCTGGAATGGCTCTCCGCCCTACTGCTCTGGTACGCCACCTAACAGTCAGAGGCGAGGGGATTAATTCACAAAGCAGGATTTCTCACTTAGCCTCAGAATTTAAAGCGCCTATTTCACAGGAAAACACCTTTTCCTTGCTGTTTTGAAATCAGTGTTTTATTTGAGTTTATATATGTTGTTAAACGTTTCAAAATATCATTCACACACCAGTCAATATGTCCCATGTGATGTCACAACCATGAACATGTTTACATATGACCATCCATTCATCCTACAGCAGTTTCGCCTCACTCATTCATATTAAAGTGGTAAAGACTCTTTTAGCCAAGACTGAAAGAGACACAATACAAAGCAATCAGAACAGACATCTTTTACATGGATAAATGTTAAAGGCACAGCAAGAAATACAGCTTGTTTAAATCTAGGGGAAAAAGGGGTTGGAACATGCTCATGTAAATATGAATTATGACTGTTTTAGTACATGAAGCCACACAAAGGCAAAAATGGGGAACACAGGGAAAAATAGAAGACTAAATAGTAGGATATGGGCCTAACAAAGTTATTGGACAATTCTCACTTTTGAACTATGTAGCTCACTGAGAAATCCTGGTTGGTGAAACAATCACAAGGACACTGATGATGATTGTGACTCTTGAGTTCAGTCCCAAATGTGTCACTCACATGCCTTTGACTCATGCAGTCCCAGACAATAGCTATTGTTGAAACCTGAGCAGTCAGCATTATCTCAGCTGTTAATGATCTGCAGAGCAGGTGCACAACCCTGCTACTGGTGATCTACTCTAATGCAGATTGTAGGTCCAACCCAAATCTGTCACACCTCATCTAGTTCATCGGAGTCTTCCACAGCCTCTGCATGTTAGAGCCAGGTATGTAAAGGTTAGATACATGAAGGTTAGAACTAAACCATGCTGTGGGCAAATCTCCAGTGGCCGCTTTGGGCATCCCCGACCTACATGTGTTGAAACGGTGAAACATAAATGCATCTTTTAGGATGTGCTGCTGCATATGTATTCATAGTCTCGGGCTATACACTGCCTGTCATTTTCAGAATGTTTTAATAGTAAAAAGCCTGCTTTCTTTGCATGAAAAAAAAATGCAGAACTTGAGGGAACATTTGACAGAAGTCCTAAGTTGCAGTAAATGGCTTTTCCTGCACATTTTTCTCCATGTTGTAATGTTATTAGCACTTATACCTTTCAGATGTTTAAAACATTTAGAATTTAAAATTATTCTTGTTTTGCTGTACTACTTGAATGTAATTACACAGTTCTATAAGTGATTACATAGTTACATTAGAAATCACATTTACACTCTTTGACAGGTTCCCCAGAGTTTCAATATTAAAAGCATGGCAAAATATGAAAATGTTTTTTTTTCCTTTCTGCAAATTGCACAACAGTAACTTTCTATCAAATTCAAATCATAATAAAATATAGCTTTTACTACTTACAAACACGAGTGTGTTGTTACTTGAAGGTATTCATTGTGCACTTCTCACAAAATTTCTCTGCTCATTTCAGTGAACTAAAAGTGAGAAATAATTCGTATGAAATCACAACCTGCTTGTTGAGTATTATCTCTCATTGCTTTAGAACTGGTAAGGGTTGAACTACCTCAGGGACAAATTAAAGGGAAATTCCACCAATTTTTTTTCACCAATTTTCCAAAATGTTTTGCATAATTAAATGGTTAAGATGTAAGCAAAGTTGTTCAGAGTGCTTTGGTGTGAAATGCTCTAGAGAAACTTAATCAGTCAGAATTAATCTCAGTGGTGGTGATAGGAACCAGACATCTGAAGAATTTGATGTTGGTAAAAGCATTAAATGCTAATGAATATACTGCCTGATGTATTGTTTTATGATAGTTTTGAGGTAGGTTTTGCCTGAAATAATATTTTTTTTAAAAATCAGTTTATGGTAGAAAGGCACATGCAGGGCATTCTGAGAGAAAATAGTTCCCAAAGAAAATGTAGTTTCTTTCAAATTTACCACTACTTTGTGATTATAACCTTTACATTATAAACTTAGAACACCAGAGTGGGTTCACTGTTTTTTCTTTCTTTTGCCATAATAAATATAAAATGGCTGTATTTGCATTGTAAACTCTAAGTCTGGTTCCTTTCGTAAGTGTTGTAAAAATTCTGAGTATGTAAATTTTTCTACGGTGAACCATTTTACATCATATCACAAGTGACTTTGTCTCAATCTTTATGTTTAAACCTAGAATAAATGGCAGAATTCCCCCTTTAAGATGTGCTTTTAATGGAAAAGAAAGCTATCAAGTCATTATGTAAGCATAATGATGAACATGAGGCTGACCCAATTAGTCAATAGTTTCTTTGTGCTAATAAAACTTATACAGAAGTTACAGCCAAAAGCAGGCGTCCCCAAACTTCTGTATATGAGTCAGCATCTTTTCTAATTAATTGGATGGTTCATGCATGAGAGCTGTCTTTGATTTCCAGGTGGTAGTCCTGGCTTTTGCGGAGACCCCGGAATCCCCCCTCATGGCTCTCGTCTGGGTGAAGAGTTCCAGGCGAGGAGTCTCCTGCGCTTCACCTGCGAGGCAGGATACATGCTGATCGGCTCGTCGGAGCGCACCTGCCTGCAGAATGGCTCGTGGAGCGGCACCCAGCCCGTGTGTGAGGGTAAGGGTCACAGATGGCTGGCTGGGAGGGAGGACGTAGGCACGCAAGCACACATACACATAGTGCTCACACACCACCAGAGCAGCACTGCGTTTTCGTGCTTAATTCGTTTGGAACTGGCAAATGCTGTTGCCTCCCGGCAAACAGCAGGGTGCACACCCAGTTGCAGAGTCGAGAAAGAGGTAAACTTCTTAGGAGGCACAATAAATCATTATGAGTTGTCTTTGCTTTTGAATCAGATCTGCAGATACCCAACCATGCTTGTACTCTCAATCGTAGATCCTGACATTCTAAGACCCTGTTTACACCTCATGATTTCAGGTGATTAGGATCTGGATTGTATCCTGATTTGATTTTAGCCACATGCATGTACACTTGGTAGTCAGGTGCATCTACGTTTAATCGGACTGAGATCTGATTGCTGTGTGTGATGGAATATGCAAATCTGCTCAATACATGGCAACTAATTACCAGTTGTTTATCCATTCAGCCTCTTCATTTGCAATTTGTTTTGCACAGTAGTGTCTGTCCATATTCCTATTAAGCATTTTGTTTCATCAGGTCCTAGACCATGTGCGTCCTCCGTGATTATCTTTCTCTCAGACACAGATTATGTGCCCAGTGACGTACTGCATGGGGAGGGGTATTGGTTGTACTGGGAGGGGTTTTGGATGTTCTTGCAGAGATGGATATGTTTACACTGCTGTAACATGTGGCTCAAATGCATCTCAGACCACATCCTGAAGTGGTTTGAGCGATTCAATTGGTGTCTGTTCTAAATGCATCTTGGGTGTGTTTACACTTGCATTTTTACATAGCTTGGCCTTGTCCAGATATAATCCTGATACTAAAGACACATGAAGTGACCAGATGTAAACAGGGTCTAAGTGAACAAACTTTGGCATTTGTTCTGCAAATTTTATAATTTCTGTTTATTTGCTGAGTTTAAAATATAAGTAGAAAAGATGCCAAAACATGTCATTTGACCAGGGTTGCACAAACGTTTTGAATATGATTGTAGACCTGTGGTTGTCTGTTATCCAGAATCAAGTTCTGTTAGTACTCTAAAATAGATTTTTTGCTAGAGCGCCTAGCAGGCCCGACTACAACAGTCCCTGTCTCTTAATGAGTCACTGGCTGACTGAGTGACAGACTTGCACCCATTGTTGCAACACACATGCACAGTCATCACATGAGACAAACAGTAGGTGAACGCTACACACTTAACTAAATGAAGCACTGTTGTCTCCCCATTACTCATCCTTATGATATGTAAGGCTTACTCATCCTCTATATTTCGGCAGTACATGATCACCTACTGCACCAGAATGTAAACTGGAATAGCAGTTCGAGCTGTTTTATAATTATCACATTATAAAGAGTTTATCATTAGCTAGTTCGGAAGCTATAATGATATAATGGTATGATAGCAACTAGAGAATTTTATCTGTGCATACATTTACAATCTTCATAGAAAATGGTAAACTTGCTTGACTTTATGCATGTTCCTGTTTAACTGTAGACAATTGTGTGAGTGTAAGTGCATGTAGAAATCATCTTTAAGTCTGTTAGTTAGTTCTTTGGTATAGCTATGCTGATAACTCTTAGACTGTTATTAGCATAATAACATAATCGCATGTGCTTGGTATATAATAGTGTTGAAGTGTATATAATAGTGTTGAAGTGAAACCAACTACAGAGAGACTAATGCCTTCAGAGGTCTGTTATTAGTAGCAGTAGTAGTAGTCTGTGTGCGAAATACCCCTTGGTATTTGGAGGGTCCCATGTTGGCTGCCTTCTCCAGCATTGGCTGGCTGCTAACTCACTCACCGGCACTGATGCTAGGTTTAGTGGCAGCAAAATGTTTGGTTTAACAATTCCTCTTTTGGAAATGCTCTTTTCTAGTTTTGTAATGTGCTCTTCCACACCTTAACTGAGATCTTACACATCTCAGTTAAGTCATAAGTCTCTTGGAAAATTGGGCAAGTTCTCAGATTTAGAAATATGCTGTATATTGTAGGCATATTGTAATTTTTTTCAGAGGTATCCCAGCCATAGTTACAGTTGCTAGGCTGTGAATGACCAACTGGGTGAGCCAGTTTTCCATAGCACCACCCTGAGGCAGACCAGTGCTGCATCACTAGTTAGTTAAGAATACTAACGACAGAAGCCGCTGACTGTAGGTGAAGAAGTCTTCTGTATTTAGCACATTGGTAGTAGTAGTGTGATAGAAAACTTGTATTTTTTGACAAAAAGTGGCTAGTATAAATTTAAGTGGGCCTTCACCAGACACTGCAGGCAAGTGGACTGCAATGTTATTTTTAGCACATAAGGCAAAGGTATATCCTATACCACAGGCACATGAATAGTACAAAAGCCACACAGCCAATCGCGGTCCTGGAAAAAAAAACAGGCTTCCCTAGTCTTGTTTATATGCCGACAGGCCTAAAATCAGTAATTGCCTGTTAATTCAATGACACTAGTTGATGGGGATACACAAAAGCCCCCATAATTACTGCAGAGTGTAATGATACATTAAAATAATGAGGGTTTGTGAAAAGATTGCTCTAACCAATGCGTGTTAGCACACAAACACCAATTATTTAGTTACTGGACAGTTGGCACTGTTTTAAAAATGAATGCCAAGGACTATGCTGCAGTGTTCCAGACAAAACCAACATTCATTGCAAATAAGCAAACTAAATATAAGCATTATGTATTGTCTTTGTGATAGTTTATGAAGCAAACCTGCCATAATTTCATGCCTAAAATATGTATGTTGGTGCAGTATTATACAAACAAACTGCAATAATTGTGCCACAGTATATGATGAAAGTCAAGTTTTCTTGTAAATAGGCTTTGCAAATCAAAAATAAGCTTCAAATGGTGTGCTTTATCACCACTTGCAAGCATTTCATACTAAAATATGCAAACAGGTCTAAAAGGTAGATGAGAAAAATGCCCCATGATAAATGTTAGTGGTCTTTTGTCAAACGTAGAACATTGTGCCAACGAGCACGGCGAGTAGATGCTAGTATGCAGTGCGATTGTAGTGTTTATTAAAAACAAATCTGTCCGGCAACACCTCCTCTCGTCTCACCGCTGATTTATTCCTTTGTTTGTTTTCGCTGCCAGACTGAGTACAATAAGCCCATGGATTGTGTACACGAGATCAATAAGATGCATTATTTAGAGGCCATTCATAATTGAGTAAAGGGCTTTAACGGCTGTTTTAAGGCAGTAGAGATGGATAAGCGCGAGGGGGAGTGCAGTTGGGGGCTGCTGCACTGTCCTGGGGATACAAATAACAATGGCCAGGTACTAAATGTAAATTCTAGGACACAGGGGAACACTAACCTGCTGCCACTTGGAGAAAAAAATGACTTCAAGTTTGGAAATATATCTGCCTATTGCAGCAGCTCAACTACACCTTCTACTGAGATCTTATTAACTCTTTATTGAACTCCTTTTTTCTCTATTTATTAAAGCTGCTGTGTATATGGTGACTGATTACATGAGGTAGAGTTAAATCTGCTTTCAGTAAGGCCTGTGAAGTGAAATGATACACTTGCGCTGATTACAGTAACGATTATCCTGATAAAGATTAACCATCTTGAGGGGTTAAAGCTGAAGACGTTAACACTGTGCAGGATTGTTATGTGTTGGGCTGTGCATTATGTTAAAAGGGGCTGCCTCAGTTACAAGCTTGTGATTTAACTTGGAAACCATCATTTATCTTATATACAGGATGTGTAAATCTGTGTTTGCTTAAGGTAGTATTAACCTTTTATACAATTACTCAGCACCTGTGTGATAATTAAGAACGTTAATTAGGGACTTTTGGATTTTTGCCACTGAAGATTTTTGCCCAAAATTGTCAGAATTGGCACTTTGGGTTTTCAGCCAAAAGATAAAAGAGGTCAGAAATTTTGGTCAAACAAAAGATTGAATAGTTCTTCAATTAAATGTCAAAATCTAACACTTAACAAATCTGAAAAGGGATTAAAAACACAATTTTCTTCGCTCTCCTGTGCCGGTTGCCGCAGATGTTTTCAAACAGTTTGAGCAGCAGTAGATTAACAGTCACACACTCAAACATGCTGCAGCTGCGTTCTGTATGGTCTTTAGCTTGGTTTTTTAGCTTTAGCTCTGATTTAATTTATTGAATTTAATGGAAATTCCACAATGCTGAGTAACTCAGTGTCTTTTGGTAATAAACTTTTTCACCTCTTGTTTTGAAAGTTGTTATCGCAAACACTTGCATTTTTTAGATCCTGCTGGTGTGGGGCTTCTGGCTGTTTCTCCTCTAAATGACGAACACTGAAGCAACTTGTGTGCCAATAGTGCTGCCAGACTGCTAGATGGCAGTTCCAAAGACACATCCAAGCTCTTTACATATTAAAAAAATGAGGTGTCTTACATCATTATAGGTGCTCTGGTATTCATCTATAGATGCCTTTATATATTTTTTATATGATATTTTCATAATTTTACAGCATAATCTTATTTAGCAAGATGTTTCAAAGTAAAATTAGCCATCGTTTTCTCAGTTCTCCTTGCTAACATGACAACAATCGCATTTGAAGCATCATTAGTATTATTACATTAATTTAAAAGCAGAATTAAAAGAAGCAAATTATATACAAAATAATTTTCTTTCTGTTTTTGGTTTCCGAAGGTGTCCTGAATTTGGAGTTTCAGTTGAGCATTTTCATTTCGATGCATCACTGATGTTAATGCATTTAGTCAGATTTGCTTAAAAATCATTAGAAACCTCTGTAAAAACGTGTGCACAGCGAGCCCCACTCACAGCACGGATACACACTTCAGAGATGTTGAAATAAGGTCTCTATTTAAGGGATAGACTCTAATAAGCTCGCAGATCTAATGTGGTTAATTACAGTTACAGCCCTTATCCCAAAATGCCACTCTAAATTACTCTCCAAAAGTCTCTAATTAGACTAAATCTTAATGTATTTGATTTTAATGGCCTTCTTTTATCAGGTACTTGACCTGCCCTACTCTCTTAAAAAAGTGTACTTAATGGGCTTTTGATGGGGTTATGAGGTTCGTGATGTGACCATTTGTGACCAAACAGGGCTCTTTTTTGTAAGATTTAACTTGCCTCTTTGCGGTCTCAATGACTGTAGCAGCATAGAAAGATTCAAAGAATATTGTAGGCAGCTGAATGAACTGCGGCAGTGGTGCATGTCCCACAAGGTCACTGGTTGGGACCACTTTATGATACGCCAAAAAAAAAGGATTAAAATATCAGAGACTTGGCTTCTAATATTCATGGTACTGTGTTACAGCACCCTTGAACAAGGAGCATCCACAAGTCGTTCTGAAGGCAGTGATTTAAGTGGTTCATTAACTCTTTAACGTTCTGGCTGGTGCTGTATAGGGACGAGCGGAAAGCCCCTTAAGGTTTCGACAGCAGTGTTGCTACATTTGAAAAAAATGACAATGTTCTGAGGGTAATTGGAGGTGTTTTGCATAATTGTGCCAGTCCTTGGCGAGAGGTTTTCTGCTGCTCTCCTGCTTCTTTGTGACAGTTATATGAAGCGTTCTCTTCTAATATGCTGCTTCCATTGCTTTCCCAGCTGTGTCCTGTGGAAATCCTGGAACTCCAGCATTCGCCAGAATCGTCTTCAGTGACGGCATGCTCTTCTCCAGCTCAGTAACATATGCCTGCTGGGAGGGCTACAAAACGTCTGGCCTCACCACCCGCCACTGCACCACCAACGGCACCTGGACCGGCTCGGCCCCGGACTGTACAGGTCAGTGCCACGCTCTTCTCTTTAAATAATAGCATATTTTTATGTAACCATTATTGTAAGCATTTTGTGTACAGTCACAAGAACAAATCACATGCCATGTAATTAGAACACATGTTTGTGTTAAAATGTGAATAAATCTGGCACTGATATTGCTATGTTGTCTTTAATTGGATTAAAAAAATGTGTTGTTTTTCTAATGCATGTTTTCAGAGCATAAAACCTCATTTCTAAACCAAAGCACAGAACCAACCATTAGCATCACGCCAGTGACATTGTGCTAAGTGGTGGCTACTAGCTTTCCCTAATTGAACTGTTGTGTGAGGAGAGGTCATTGCGATAAATGGATGGAATGTGTGTGGCCACCATGCTTTTATTCCTGCTGGTCCTGTTCACTCTGCACCTCCATCAATGGAACATGTCATCTTCATTTCAGTTATCAGCTGTGGAGATCCCGGCCCTATTGCCAACGGAATTTATATGGGGAATGAGTTCACCTTCAATAAGACTGTTCGCTATCGTTGTAACCCTGGCTATGTTATGGACCCTCCGGGGCTGGACACTCTCCGCTGCTCTAAAGACGGCTCTTGGAACCAGACCAAACCGAGCTGCAGAGGTAAAAAAAAACAGTCATTATCAGAGACGTTATATTACTGAGATACCCAGAACAGAGAAATAGAGAGAGAGAATTTATCATGGCAACAAGGAGCAAAAAAGTGGGAGCGTACAGCTGTGCGTTGCCATGGCAATCAAGTCTTGCATTAGCAAAGATAACCACAGAGCTAGCTCACTTAGCCGGCCGCACGTGTGTGATGCGCACGTCTCCTAGATAAAGCTGTTTGTGACGAACGTAGCAATTTAACAGATGTATGATTTCCATGCAGGCATTTCCTACACAAGTGCTGCTTGTGGATGCTTTGTGAATATTGGCCAAATTAGCTTTAGTGTGCATGAAAAGAGAACGTGGAGTGGTGGTTTAATGGCTGGACCATCAGTACCCATTCATTCTCAGTTAGGCTGAGAAGGTGGGTAGGCACATCTGGTCAGTGCTCCACATCTGGAGCTCTGTGGGCACTTGCATGAAACATCTCAAATATTTGTCTTCAATTAAATACTTTAAAGATAAATTTACCCAGGCTAAGAGATGTACTTAAAGGTGAATTCCACCGATTTTGCAAAATTTCTCCATAGTTCAGTGTCTGAAATATTAACAAACTCATTCAGAGTGATTTGATGTGAAACAGTTCATTGTAGAGAAACTTACTTCTTTACAGTGGTGGTGATAGGAACCAGGGGTCACAATGTCTACAGCAAAGACATAGTCATTTTATTTACCATCCAAAACAACCAGTGAACCTACGCGTGTCTTCTGAGATTTTATATGTAACATAGTTAATGATAAAATAGTGGCAAGTTTTCTTTGGGGCTGTGTTGTCTTACAGTCCCTTTTTGGATGAATGCATTAAAGAATAGGTTCCTAACTTTGGTCCTAGAGTACGAGCTGCCCTGCACGAGTTGGATCAGGTGTTTTGGGAGCAAACACTAAAATGTGCAGGGCAGGGGCTGTTGCAGGAAATTTGAAAACTATCATTAAACACTGTCTCAGGCATCAGGCAGTATATTCATAACCATTTCATGTAATAACTTTCTATAAAGGAGCTTTTAGAGGCATTAAATGCTACAGACGTCTGGTTCCTATCACCACCACTGTAAACAACTTTAACTCGGACAGTTTCTCTAGAACAGAGCGTTTCACATCAAACCACTCTGAATGACATCTTAACCATTCAGTTATACAGAATTTTTTAAAAAATTGTTGGAATTCCCCTTTAAGGGACAAGTGAAAACCTAAAGGGCCATCTCACAAGCATGTTTAGTGAGAGCAGTGCTGTAGGTCACTAATCTAGTGAATGTTTTTACGGCAGTTATGTTTTTATTTCCTGGGTTTTTTTTAAATAGAAATAAGTGTAGGTTTATTTAACTTATCAATATATAATTATCGCATGACCATTTTTCCAACCTGTCTTTAACTTTAATCAGGCTGTGCTTTTAAGACCTGTATTTTTACATAAGCTCTGTTCTGATTGGATGTCCTGTATTGTGCCTTGTTCAAAATGCATTTGAAACACTCCTTATAACGTCAGTGCGATTGGGTGGGAGTTAAACTGCTGTAATTTTAAAAAGTGGATATATGCAAATACATTGGTTTTATATAAATGCATGACAAAAATAATTTATTCAAAATAGGCTGTTTTTGCAGCTTAATTTCCACATGTGGACCATATTGACTGAGAAGTGAACAGTGTTTGCGCATTGCATTAAATTCTTTTATAGTATCTCAAAGAAGAAGCAGCAAGGAAAATACATTTTTCCAGGTTATTGGCCCTTTAAGGCCAAAAAAGATGTTTAATGCAAACAGCCACTGGTTGTAAGCCCTGTGTGACATCATCCAGCGTTCCTGCTGTTTCTGCTTGTGTTCGGGTGTAGGGCGTGACGATGCAATCAGAAAAAAAAGTGCCAGGAGAACCGTTTAAAGTCTAAATATCACAATGGCATACCGGAGTCGCTGGCATCCCCACATCAAAAGCCTTTCTGATGTTTTGATCTTGTTTTGAGTTCTGTCTGCGGCGTTTCAGCCCCCCTTTCCTGCAGCGAGCGGGATTATTCACTTACAAACACTGAAGGGATGTTACCTGTGAAACGTAAGATCTCCGCTATCAGATGTCAGCCTCGAATCGCATCAAGCGGCCAGCATGCGCAGCTAGCAAGCACAATCTGGTCTCTTAAGAACCTGGCATAGACTATTTTGGAACTTTTTTTTTGCAGTGCAGCATGAGAAATACAGTGCATGCTCTGTGCGAGCGGTGGATTGAGGCAGTAATTCCAGCTAATCATCTCTTTCTATCCCCTTTTGATTCAAAAGCACACATGCCCTCCCTCCTTGCAAATGGAGCGTAATGATCAAGGAAGAAAATGGCAAATAAATAGCTCTAAGGCTCTTACGTTAGCAGAGCGTTTCTATTTAGACCCGTTGCTCTCAGAATCTGAGAGGAGGTCTGAGGTTGCTGTTGGAATTATATCTTCAGGTCGTGATGATAATGACAGTGATGACGATGATGATGATGATTATGTATTTATGCCTGCAGTCATCATGTGCGGCCAGCCCCCCGCCATTCGCTATGGAAAAGTGGAGGGTTCTGATCTACAGTGGGGCTCCAGTGTGGCCTACAGCTGCTTCGATGGCTATCAGCTCTCCTCTCCAGGAATAGCCACATGCGAGGGGAATGGGACGTGGCGTGGCGACATCCCTCAGTGTCTGCGTGAGTTTAATGGATTAATGCTTTACCACAAGCAAGCACAAACACAACAAACACAATGGTGGTGTTGTTTTTTTGCGTGTTTTAGAAATTGAGAACAAGGCATCCTCTTAAATTGTAAGAGCTGTAAGTCGTTCTTTGATTTCAAACAGTGGGATTTCAGCAAAGCTTTAGAAGTAGCAACAAAGCTTGTAGACAGAGTACTTTCATTGTATGCTTCAGTAGCTAAACTTCCATTCAAAGGGTTTTTAGGAAAATTGTTTTTTTTTTTAGTGCTTTGAATCGTTTTTTTGCCGACGAGATGTTTGCTATGGAAACAGAAATTGTCAGTAATATTTCATAAATGTAGACAAATTTAGTGTGATGCGTACAGATTTCCTTCATGTGCCTCTTACAGCAAACCTGTGGCGTAAGTTTCATTTCATTTTTGGGGCGACCCTTTGCTTAGCCTTTGATGCTCAAAAAAGTTCTAAAATTAGCTTCTTTTAATGCAATTCCATATACACACACAGATCTCTGATCTCTCTAACACAGATTAGTGTAGCCCTTTGAGGGCAGAGAGAGAGAGAAGCATGATGATGAGACTAGAATGTTCTTTATCTGAAGACTAGACACTATGGTCCAAAGCCGGACTCCTGGCAACCCTAGTTAGGCATAAAGTTGTTTGTAAAAGTTTGAACACCCTATTTAAATCACATTTGTGAAAATTTAAATATAAATCTGAAACATTTGAAATTCCTAGGTGAAAATAAGGTGAACACATAAGTTAAGTTATAGTTAAGTTGGTTAACACATTCTTTACAGGGAATAAACTTAAACATAGCATTTTTCTGCTAATTTAGTGCACAATTTCTATTTATTTGAGTTTAACATATTGGAAAAAGTAAAACATAAAATGTAAAATATGCCATTACTTTTGCACAGGCAACAGTTTTTTTTTTTTTTTTTCTGCAGTATGTTAAATTCAGCAAATAAAGTATGTTCTCTGTAGAGGATGTGTTGTCTTACTTTCACTTTCAGAAAATAAGCATCATGTCATTCGGCCAAGGACTCCCAAACATTTACATATGACTGTATATTACAGCCATGAAGAACAAGATTAAAATAATATAGAAGTCAATTCTGTGACCTCGAAATGCTCAAACTTTTGCATATGGGTGTACGTCGGTTTCATGCTAACACAGGGCTACATCTTCAGATGTAGAAGCGTTGTTCTAGGTGTGAAGAAGCAAATCAATCAGTAGGACTTACTAGAGTAGTTAGCTAGCTGTCACTAACAAGCAAGTCCAGAAGCAATGAAAATGACAAACTATCATGTTGGCACATACCTCATGTAGAAGATGACGAGTCCTTGTCAGTATCCAACTTGACATTTGTGAGCTCTTATTCACTCATCTGAAGAGGCAGCTTAAGTGGCTAATAGCTAATCCCACACGAAAACCTACTTGGCTGTTTGTGAATGATAAAACACGTTTCTCTGCCTGACGCTGTATTTTTGTGCAACATCGGTGCTGCCATCTAGAAATGTGAGCATACAGCCATACATTTTCTTTACTATGTATTTATTTATTTATTGTGTTTTTGTTTTTGTTTTTGGTTTTTTTTTTGGCCGTTGTTTTCTTTCTCTGTGATTAACCGGATATATGTTCATCTCCTACATATTGCTGCTGTTGGAACAAAACCTTGTATCTCTAAAAAGGTAACTTTACAGGGCAAGGAAAAACATTCTTAAGTTTTAATGGAAGAAAATGGGAAAATAGTTTTTTCCAAGTAATTTTGGACCATTTCTATTGGTCTGTTCATCATGAAATTTTGATACAACATAAAGGGCAACTGCCTTTTTCAAATAATTTAAAAAAATTAAAAAAACAACAAGAATGGAGATACAAGGTTTTGTCCTGACAGCAGTGATATATTAGAGTATGAAAATTGGTCTGAATGCTCATCTCTAGTGACTACATGGAAATAGTTTGCACGTTTTGTTGTATTTTTGGACCTGTTCAGAGGGATGTTGGTTGTGTTATAGGGTTGCAGCCTGTGACAAGTCACAAAACTGTTTTGACGTTTTCGATACTAGGGTTGACATAACACAAATATATCCTTTAGCCAGCTCTTACTGTCTACATGTTCCACAAGGTATACAAGGCATACAGCCCAAATCTGTTGCTAAAGCCCGCAGGTTTTGATTGTAAGTCTTTGACACAGTGTCAGAGGTAATATTAAAAATCCATGTTAAAAGTGCGGAGGAAACTTCAAGCCCTGAAACTGTTGTTGTTTGCTGCCTTCAGGAGCGAGCAGCAGCCAAACCTCCAATAGTTCCTACAGCAGTAACAACCCAGCAAGCAATTCTGCCTCCATAAAAACAAGTGGGCAACACAGCAACATGACAGACAGCACAAGAATAAGAGTTGAGCCTGTACTGGGCTATTTCTACTTATTTTGCGATGTTTGTGATTGACACCGCATATATACAGTGCTTTCCAGAAATATTGACCCCTGGTAAGACTGAGAAATAAAAGGCTCTGATGAAATAGCAGCTGAGGTAAAATTATTCAAAGAAAAAAAACAAATTGCTATACATTTTTTTTTTTCCAAAAACACATATGCCATTGTGTGGACAGTTCGAGTACACTACCATTCACAAGTTTGGAATGACTGTGTTCAACAATTTGTAACTGGGTTTGTTGCAGGTACATGTGAATATAAAACTATAAAAATGTTAGATGTGTCCAGAATGATAAACTGAGCTGCATGATGAAACTGCAAAACATTGAGGAAAAACGTCCAGAATGCCTCATATTTGTGGTGATCAGATCTCAAGGCAGATAACATGTTGAAGAATTACTGTAGACAATAACAGTATGAATATTTTAACATTTAATTGCTTATTCATGCCCCTCATTACAAAAAAATGGACCAATAAAATAGTCTAAAATTATTTGGAAAAAATCTTCCATTACAATTTAAGAATGTTTTTCTTTCCCCTGTAAAGTAACCATTTGTATAAGGTGTTGTTCAGCCTGTGATCATCGCTGTACAAAAAGAAATGTATTTCCATTTTTATCACACACACAGCAGCTGTCCTTCACATTGTGTGCAAATGTTATGATGAATGGACTGAATGGAATGAAAAATTGCTTGGAATAAAACGCTTTTACATTACATTACTTAATTATCTCATGCACTGAGTGTCCTTCACGTTGTGTCCTGTACAGCTGTGTTATGTGGGGACCCCGGCACCCCTGCAGAGGGCTACAGAGAGGGGATCCAGTTTACATACAAGTCGGAGGTGGCGTTCTACTGCCGCTCACCTTTCCTGCTGGTGGGCTCCCCCAGGCGAGTTTGTCAGGAGGACGGCTCCTGGACCGGAATCCAGCCCTCCTGCATCGGTGCGTATATATCAGCGTTCCGACAGTGGTAAACAGATTACCAACCCTTTAATCACCTGAGGCTTGTAGTTCTAGGATAGTGATTAACATGTAACGTGTAATTGTAGATCCAGCATATAATGCGTGTAAAGATCCCGGAACCCCTGCGTATGGAATCCCACTGCAGGCTCAGGGATTTGAGGTAAAGAGTTTGAGTTTTTGAAAAGTTTTATTAAAAATTTGAACCAGAGGGGTCTAAACTCACAGTTATAGTTTATATGTGTTTGTATTTGTTTCTAATGTCCCTCAATGTTTTTTATGTTTTTTTAGGTGGGGAGCAAAGTTTTCTTCAGATGCCGAAAAAATTATCACATTCTAGGGTCAACTACAAGGACGTGCCTGGAAAATCTGACCTGGAGTGGCATGCAGCCTGAGTGTGTTGGTAAGAAAGCATTCAGAACACACCAAGTGACTGTTATGTGGTTAGTCTGTGTAGGGCCATGCTCAGGAGGTCAGTTTAAAAAAGGGCAACCTGAACATGAATTAAACTTACAAGTACAATATACAGCATATTGCAAACATTATCAAGATGAGTCTAATCAGAGCAATCATAGTGCTGAGATTTTCTGAAGACAGCCTGAAATATCAACATTACTGCCTGAGCAGGGATGTGAACCCTCGTCACCTTTGACGAGCTTTGTTACCCACTATGCTGTCTAATTTCCATGAACCAATGAGTTCTAACTTTTTTTAAGAGCTCCATGGAGCCTCACATAAATCTTTTTTACAAAATAATGTTTAGCAAGTTATTAATGCCCCTCACTGCCAAAATTATTTTTGTTTTTTGTTCTAAATAACCACATTATTTCCACAACATGCAGGATTTTCAGCACTGTAGTGATGGGGTTGGTGTAACTGAGGGGGCTGGTACTGCACCAAGACAGCTGAAGTTTGTGGGACTCAAGCCAATCCACTAGCTTTAATCCCAGGCCTGCTATGCTAACTGACTACTATGAACCAGAAATAAAGAATGACCATATTAAAACACAGTCAGTGACAGATATGAAGCAAGGGAGGGAGAGATGGAGAAAGTGTTGCGAGTTCGTGTTCATTTTTGGGTTCAAGACACACTGGCCAGCCCAAAGGCATGTCATCACATTTTTCATAGAGCATGAGAAAAAGCATCTCTGAGTGTAGAGGACGTCTAGAGGAAAAGACAGCCTGGATGGCAGTAGCTGGGTCAGTTGCTAATGCAATTTTTTGATTTATTCTAATCCTTTGTTTGTAAATGTTCTCCGAAGGGGTGTCATGTACTTGAGCTGAAACCCCTTTACGTCTTTCCAAGTGATTATGTCCTAAAGCTCTACATATAGACTTAACTGCAGAAAAAACACAGAAACAGAAACAGCAAGGGCCCGTTTCAGATGGAAATGATCGCTTGCAGTGGCTGATTTCCAAAAGGACAAAAGTGGGGATTGCTGGCCTCAGCAGAAAGAATTAAAGTTAGGCAAGTTTAAGCCGCTTGTACTTGGGTTGTAAATCTGTGGGCGAGTTTGACAGCCCACTCCGTGAAATCCTCGGGGCTCCTCACTCATATAAAGCGCCTTCACTGTCTGAGCCCAAGAGCGTGAAGACACAAGTCGACTAACGGCGAGGTGTGAAGACCCGGTTCATATATTATGTAAGGTAGCAGCACTTAAGGCATGTTCCAGAACTTTTCCCTACAATGGCGCAGCTCCGTTCGCGGCCCGTGAAGTATTACTTTGTGTGGGAGTCGGCCGGCTGTGCGTCGATCAGAAAGCCTCAGTGTCGTGCCCTTCCCCAGCTTATTCTCTCTATATTCTTTTCTTGTTCCTCCTTCTGCATAGCACACGCCTGCCGGCAGCCCGAGACACCATCTCATGTGGATGTGAGGGCCATTGACCTGCCGACGCTGGGCTACACCCTCATGTACACGTGCCAGGATGGCTTCTTTCTGGCCGGTGGATCCGAGCACCGGACGTGCAGGCCAGATGGCAGGTGGTCAGGCAAACCTCCCGTCTGCAAAGGTACTGACCTTTACCTGTGCCGTGAGAATCGGCTGGATGTTCAGTGTAATAGAAACGTTAACCCATGAACTACAGCTGAAAAGAGTATCCAGTGATTTACTGGGTGCTCAAATGGCTTTCTGACAGTGTGCTTCAGTGCCCATGCCTACTTAACCTTTAGAAGTCTTAAGGTATTATCACTGTTTTACTGTACTATTTAAATGTATAATCTAATTGCTATACTATTTCAGTGTAATTTACGTAAGTAATTACCTAGTTAATTACGCAGTGAATTATACTTACAGTCAATTTATATATAGTATATATATATAGTGAAGAAAAAATGGCCTTTTTATCCGCTTATCTGTTTTTGGCAACAGTATGTAAAAATATTATCTGGGTCTCTAAAAAAAATGATATATTTTCTCAAAATATTGTCTTAGTATCTCTTATTTTCTCAAAATTTGACTTTATATGTCAAAATAATGAGCTGTTAAATTTCAGATAGAAAGATTTTGATATATCAAGACAATAAACTATTTCAAGATACTAAGCCTATATCTTTAGAAAATTTGTCAACATTTTGAGGAAATAAGTGATTATTTTGAGATACTATGTAAATGTTCAGAGAGAATGTTTTTTTGAAAAAATAAGTCAGTATTTTGAGGTACTAAATCAATATTTTGAGAAAATATGTCATTATTTTTAGATACTACTATAATGTTTTGACAAAATAACACATTTTTTCAAGATACAAAGTCAACATTGTGAGAAAAAAAAGTTTTTATTTTAAGTTACTTCGTCGACATTTAGACATACTGCTGCCAGAAATTATGGTCAGAGAGGCCATTAGGTAGTTATAATTTTCTGGATTGTTATTTTAGGATAACGAGTTAATTATCTTGTAATCTTAAGTTATCAAAGTTGTTATCTTGAAGTTAATTATCTTATAATCTCAAGATAATTATCTCAAGAAGTTATAATTAACTTGATAACTGTCCAGAAAATTATAGCAATAGCTCATGGCCTCTTTCTGACTTTTGTAAGAAACAGAGAAGGAGATTTTTTTTTTCTCATCTACATGGTGGTTATGGGCTTCCATAACAAATGGCAAAATTTTAAAGGATATGTTTTTCTGTTTGTTTAACAAGACAAGTGCACACAACATTTTGTTTAATTTAAATCATAATACCTACTACTACTACAGTACTACATAATACTACTACTACTACACTATGATCTGAGTTAATATCTAAAGTAGACTGGAATAGAGTTCTGGACCCACTGACAGGTCCTCAGGGTTAAAGAGGTTAAAACTGACTTTGCTTTTAAGCATTGCTTGCATTAGGAATACATTACATATAAACTTCATCCAGTAGGCTGACGAAACCCTATACGGTCTTGACCGCTGCAGCAGCATATGATATGACACATTCAGGAATGCTAATGAATCATTCTATGAGGAAAAAATATGAATTTAACAAGGAAGCTTTAAATAATAGTCATTATCCATGTTCATGCATGTAAGGAGTGTCAGAGCGCACCTGCAAAATGTCAACTTATCAATTATTTGTCCTGTCTCCTAGTTGGACCCAAAATAAACAGCAAGTCAAAGGGAGACTCAGACGTACAGAAAAACAAGATTCGGGGTACGTAACCTTTTCTGAGCCGTTGCTGTGGCCGCTGTGCCTTCGTTTTCAATTTGCCAAGAAGCTTCCATGTTGAGGTCACCTGACAGACAGTTCTAAAACAGTAGTTCTAAATTAGGCTGAAAAATAGCATAGAATAAATGATAATGCTCATAGCTTGTGATTGTTTGGGGAAACAGTTTGCTCTCTAGTCGTGTACTTACAGCATTGATAAACTGCGCACTAATTCCCACATCATGCATGCTAATGTGCAGTGTTATGTTTGTATTCTAAATTTTATTCACGTCTGTTCAGTTCCCGCGGACGTTTTCTCTTTAAACTCCGGCTGGGCGGGCTTCTATGAGTACCTTGGCAAGAGGCAGGCTGCCACAATAACCGTCAATGCATTCAATGCCACAACAAGCCGAGTCAATGTCACTCTACTGGAGCAAAGCGGAGTGCAGATCAAGCTCTCAGGTAAGTTATTAAACATTTAATAAAGTCTCATCACCTCATATTAAATGCAGTATTGAATGCATAAGCAGTAAACATGACAAATCAGCATTGATGGCTGAGGGCAAATGACAGAGATATGTAAATACCACAGTGTACGTTACACCACCTTTTTAGAGAAGCTATCATTTTTAGAAATGTAACGGAATTCACAGAACCACAGACCAAATATTTAAAAAAATTAACGCAACACATGACTTCTGTATAATAAAACAGTATTTTGTCTTTGACCACAAGAAGAAGCATTGTTTTGGATGCCTTCTATAATAAAGAATGGAAAGAAAGTGACAATAATAATTGTTATTCATCACCAGTTTCTACTGTGATATTTGACTGATTCTGAACCCATTAATTTTACAACAAAATGATTCCAGTTGAGCGTGTTTCCTGCCAAACATGTTTCTTTACATTTTTCTTGTCTTGTTTATTGAGCCGGGCTTCATTTGAATTTAGACCGTTTTAATTTTGGCGTCGAGATAAGTGTTAAAATTGCATTTAGTAGTGAAAATTGAGAGTCTTATTGTTCACTTTGCACAGGAACGTACAAGAAAGAGGAAAATCATCTGTTACTGAAGGTCTACCAGATAAGAGGCCCAACAGAGCAGTATTTCAGTAAATTCAAAAATGACAACTGGGCAATGGATGGATATGTGAGTACCACACAGTTATGCTAGCTTTTTTGCAGAAGCTGTTATTTTTAAAACAGTACTGGGCCTCACAACACCTACACAAAAAAAACGTGACTGATAGAAAAAAATCCTGTGAACATTCTTGTGACGGGCCTTGAATCTTGAAACAGAATAGTCACTCATCCATGGGCTTGCATAAATAAAGGTTGTTGTATTTGATTACTATTTTCTGCCTTTTCTCTTTTTTAAATCCAGGTGACAGCAGAGTCTGAGAAGAAAATGTTTGTTTACCAAGGTCATATCCACAGTAAAGATTTTGGGAAGTTTCAGCTGACAAGACAAGGTACAATGATACCTGCATGCACTTTTGTTTTTGTTTTATTTAATGAAAATTGCCCATATTTATCAAACCCAAGTCTCTTACGGGTCAAAAGAGCTGATCTGTGTGAGCTATCAGGCCTTGTCCCCTGAAATGTTTCTTAAATATATTTCAAATAGTGTAAAATTGTTGCTGTTGTAACAAAATTTTGTCTTTTGAAAAAAGAATTTATGAGAGAAGAAAAGAGCACTCATACCTCATGCCAGATCATTTCTATTGATCTATGCATTGTACAAAGGGTGGTTTACAATAGAAAGGAATTTGAGTATTTAAAGGGCCCACATCATAGAAAACTGAACTTTCTCACCCTTTTAGAAAAAAAGTATGTGCACATTAACAATGTTTTAATCTGTACTGTTTACTCCATAAATAGAAACTATTTTTTTTATGATGTCACATTGACATATAACCACCTATTCAGTCTACAGCAGCTTACCCCACCCATTCACACTGAAGTTACAAGTTGCAATGAGGTGCAATACAGGACAGTCAATCAGAACAGAGCTCATTTACATACATCAATCATAAAGACACAGTAACAAAAACTGCCTGTTTAATTCTAAGGGATAGATATAGGTTGGAAAATAGTCATGTAAAAATGAATAAAATTAATTGCTTTTGATACATAAAAGCACATAAGAATAAAATACAATAAAATTGCAGGATATAGGTCTTTAATTTAGAACTTTGGATCTAGCTGGTATAGTTATGTTTAACTTTGTGCTAATTGCTCACACATTTTCTCCCATTACAATTACAGGTCTTATCACAACAGATTTGGATTCTTCCAATCCTTACTATGGCACAAACAGCAGCTCAGTGGCGGCTGCTATACTGGTGCCGTTCTTTGCTCTCATTCTGTCAGGATTTGCTTTTTACCTCTACAAACACAGGTAAGCCCCTCAGAGAGCACACCCTGCTTTAGCCATGACGTTCTGTCCATTGTTGGATGTTGATTTGCATTTGTCTCGCTGCAGTTATGGGGAAACTCCTGTGCCCACTCAGTAAATGTGGCTGATTAGCAGCAAGATTGATTAGAAGTAAAGTTGATACATTTCACATTTTAAACTGTGGCATTGTTTGTGTAAAAATTTTCAAAAAAAGGAAAAAAGTATGAAGAGCATTGGAGTTTTCCTAAGTTTACCAAAGCAAGCAACAGACGAATGTGACATGCAGTTAAAAAAAATCTGTCATGATGGGTGACAATTGCCCAATTATTAAAACAAATAAAAAAATTGGCAGGGTACTATCACAAGAGACAGATGACAATGAGAGACCCAAAGACGTAATCAGGGCCGGCTCCAGGTAAGACCCCAGAAGCTAAATCACTAGGCAACGAGCCCTCTGCTGCCACATCACCATCGTCTCCTTTTCTTTTTGCTCATCTCGTCAGAGTGAGAGGAGGATGCACGATGTGTGTGGGGAGGGGGGTTTGGGTGGTGTTAGGCCTGTCACAGTTATTACATAACCAGCTGTTGTTTGAGATAATCGCAGTTATTTAAGCTGATCACAGTCATTTTCCTCTGTCGTTAGATTCAACAATCACACGTTTACATCAACAAACAGAATATGAGTTGGATGCACCTTCAGGCAAATAAATGTAAAAATAAAACACTTTTATTGATACACATCATTGGTCTAACACAAACAACAAAAGCTCTTCTGTAACACTGTACTGTAGGGCAGTGTTTATAAGGCTACATGACACTTGCATTAGCTCTTCATGATAACTGACATAAACCTACATAAACATTTATCAAAGCATATTCCAGCTGTTGTTGCCTGTTATTGAAGGCTGCTTTTGTCCACTTTGATCTGTTCATCTTTTATTGGTAACACTTTACCGTAGGGTACTGTTCATAAGGCTACATGACAACTGCATAAGCTTGTCATGACAACTGACATAACCCTACATAAATGTTGATGAATGCTTATTCTAGTAGGTGTCATCTGTCGTAAAAGCTAATTTAGCTAACTTTGATCAAAATTGGCACGTTGCGTTTAGTGTTTATAAATATTTCTGTAGGTTTATGTCAGTTGTCATTAAAGACTTGTTTTAACGGTCCATCTACCTTGGTAATGTTTGTTTATTTGAGCTCCAGCTAAGTCGATCCTCAGCTGGACGTTCTCCTCTACCTTCGGTAAAAACCCACAGTCTTACAGAAAGACGGTTTAGCTTAGGGGGTGGGTGATATGGCAAAAAAATAATATAGCAATACTGGGAAAAGTACGTGTTATTATGTTCAGTTTGTCTGAGGTTTGGTGATTTGGAACAGACAAAAATGACCTGAAGTGGCACATTTAAAAACTACAAAGTACAAAGATGTTTAAACATTTCACATACTGCACTGCGCTAAATCCAGTCAAACAGGACTAGATATTCACTCTTTATAACGAAAGCAGTTGGTCAGTGTTCTCTAAGTACTGACTATATCCACAATAAAATTTTGTAACAGTGATGATAAAATATTATTTTGCTCACCTTTTAGCTAGTTTAACTAGTTCTTAGCTACTCTAAATGATCACCCTGCACTGTTAGATGACCACTAAGTGCCCCAGAATGCAAACTAGAATGGTGTGTTTGAGTTAATTACTGAAGGTCTACAGGTCTAAATAATTAAAAATTATTATTTTTTTTTAATATATTGTAACTTTGTTAAAGTAACCCTAGATAGTTAAAATCAACATCATAATTGCTAACTGCAATTATTTATGATAATTGTAAGATAAAAGTTTCTGATCGTGACAGGCCTGGGTGGGGATGGTAATGGGGGGAGCCATGCTACGTTTGTGGTCTTCATCTCTGTCTCTAATTCTACCAACTAAAAGCCATCTTGTTTATTTTCCGTTTATGTAAATGTGCCACCAAAATGTCATGAGTCGTTTTCTTTTTCTTTTTTTTCTTTTTTTTTATTTGGAGTTGAGGGTCTTTGAAGTGTGATACAGCCCTCGCGCTCCAGAGGGGAGGGATTTTGAATTTGGTTCGAGATGCAGGTCATTTATTTAGATTATCGTACAATTTGTGTGTGACCATAAATCATGGCTGCGGCGGGGCAGCTGGGGAAGGGGCTATCAGTTACACTTCTCTAACTTCTACGGATTGGGGAAAGCAGTGACCTTTCCAGAGCGGGATTATTTTAGGCCTTAATTATTAGAGCCGAGAAGAAGAAATTTCTCCCCATCAGGCCTTATGGAGAGAGGCATTATGTCTCTAGCTTGTTTCCTGGCATTTTTTTTAGCTTGTGGTCATGATGGTCATGATGTGTTTTTTTTTGTTTGTTTGTTTGTTTTTTCTGCATGCAGTACATAATAAATGTGCAGTTTTTGGCCAGCAGGCATAATAGCCTCCCACTCACATTGATTCATGCTCCAAAACAGGTTGGCAGTAGTTTGAAAATGGGGTTTGGATGTATATGTTGTTTTTATATGTTAATGGCAACCTGCTCAAACACAGGGGGCTTTCTGCAGTCGCTCAGTTTTACACGGCTTCCTTTATTGGAGGAAGTTCAGCAGGGTCCAGGCTCCCAGTCATCTTTAACATTTAACCTTACCTCATTGCTGTGGAAAGGCTTGGCTGGGCAGTGCAGCATGTTAAATATCTGCTTCAAAAATGCTTGAAATGAGTGCATGCGCGGTCAGCTGGGGCAAAATACTGAAAGAGAAAGAAAGTGAGATAATGAGGTTGGGAGGTTTTTTCTTTTATTTTTTAACTTGGATAGCACACATCTGTCTCTCCCCATCTCTGGACGAGGGCATCATGTCTTTTTATTTATTTTATTTCTTTTTTGTAAGGCTCGATCTAACATTTCTAATGTCTATGTTACTCTTTAAATCATGCAAATATATAAATATATATATATACTTTGGAATGCACTGCTATTTTTGTGAATGTCCTACTTTGGAAGTTGAACTCTTACAGTGTTAAAAAGAGAGAGATAAGCCTCAAGCTTTGGCTTGTTTCCAGTGGTAACATGATCGATCTCTTCCTTTGGCAGAACAAGACCAAAAGTACAGTACAATGGCTACGCAGGGCATGAGAACACAAATGGTCAAGCGTCGTTCGAAAACCCGATGTACGACACCAATATGAAGCCGACGGAGGCCAAAGCCGTGAGGTTCGATACTACGCTCAACACGGTGTGCACAGTAGTATAGCCTTCGTTAGCAGCTCCGGACTGCACCAGCGTGCTCTATTTCTTTTTCACTGAGCGCATTTTGGGAAGTGGGCGTGAACTTTACTCCTCCGCAAGCTCACTCTGATCATTTCCGAACACGGACGGCTATTTCTGTTTTTTTAAAACAACCACAAAAGACAAAAAAGGGTCAAAGATACAAAACTGAACCTTTTTTTATCTGAAACTAAGCTCGCGTGCTGTCTGTGGTCATAACAAGTGACCGGAGCAAGGAACAACACCACTAACAGCACACATAGGATGAAAAGGATTTTTTTTCTATCCTCTCTTTTTTCATGTCGTTCTTCCCCTCCCTTCCAAAAAAAACAAAAAAAAAAACAAAAAAAAACAAAAAACGAACAATCGGGAAGATGTTGAAGTGTCTTTAAAAGCTGCAAAGTTGCTCTGGCCCAGTGTATTTTCTTCAGTGAAGACGAAGGGACAATGAACAGAGCAACTGGACTGTTGTGGCTCAACCACACGTCTCCGACAGAACTGGGGATGTTAGGATTAGCGCAAGACTCTGATCTCTGTGCTGTGGACGAAACGGTCAGCCGCTGTGTTGGAGGGGGAGGAAAAAAAAGAATAAAAAAACTTTATCGCACAAATTTTGCACTAGTATGAGAAGGACATGAACTCAAATGAACACAGAAAAAAAGAAATAATATACAGGGTTTCCGACCATATGTATATAAACATATAATTCCATATCCATAAAGAGCATGATGTCATGCTATGTCTATCAAGAGAGAGTCTGATTATATTTTCGAAATTAGCTCTGCAAATAAAGTTCTGTTTATGTTTACATGAGACCTATCTGAAAGGTTATAAGGACACACTTTAAAGCTTTGAAACTGTTCTTTTAAGCCAGCCATTCCATTTTTATTTCTCTTCATTCCCTTTCCCTCCCGAAGCACGTTTGACGCGGACGCTACCGTCTACTCGCTGATCTAATCGGAAAGAAATGTCTGGTCAAGCGCTTTGACAAGTCTAGACGTGAAGCGTTTTTTATTTTTTTCCACTGAATATTTAGACACTCATTGTTCAGCTTTCATGTTCATTTACACCTTATTTCTTCTTCCATTTTTCCTTCTGCTTGATCTCATCCCACTTTGCTTACAGTGTATCAAATACCTCTTGTGCGGAAGGATAGATTTTTTTTTTTTATTGTGCGAATCTTTATTTTGAAGAATGCTGCACTTACGTTGAATCACTGTTTTTCTGTTGATCTGTCGGTAATCACGTGTTCTAGGCCATCGTCTGATGCCTTTATGAGATTTTCCAAGTTAATTCTGTTTTTGTCATCTTTCCCCTTTTGTTCCACTTTGACTTGTCCTGTATCTCCCCACACAGTTCTCTGAGATACAGAAGCACTGAGATGAAGATGAAACATCCTCTCGAAGAAACACTGCCTTATTAGAGATTCGTAAGCATGACGGGGCCGTTACGATTCCCAATGACATGTATCATCACCTAGTTAAAGAGTCTAGGGCTTCTTGGGTGCATATTCACTGTGATTTTAATCATCAGTTTGCTGGGTTTTTCTGACCATGCTGGTAAACAGTGCATGTACTCAGTGTAAATGCTCACTTTTTTTTTTAATTCTGTAAACTACCTGATCCCAGTTTTGTTTTTCTTAAAAAAAAAGAATATGCTGTCATACGCACTGGCGCTTCAACACGTCACTGGCTCAGCATCCAATGTACGCGACGCCACTGTAACATGTTTGCTTCTGAATATCACTGATTTTCGAACAGATTGTAAAGAATCTTGAGGAGTGTTGTCACACCATTGTGTAAAACCCCAGACATTTGCTTTATCTCGACGCAGTGTTCCTAAAACGCTCTACAGTCAAATCCCTCTGCCAGACAGAACCGTGTTTATGCACAAGTTATGCACTGTTCGTGCTGTGATGGACTGGTCAGGTTAAAGTGAGCCACTTCTAATGGTCTTTGGTTCTGTCCCCCTCAAACTGCGAGCGCCATCTTACAACAACCTAGATAATCCACATCTTGCCTTTCTCCAGGCTTGCTGCAATAATGTCGACTTTTCTTTTTCCCTTCCATTTCCCCACCTCTGTAAAATAGTTTACCAACTTGACAAGCTGTAAAACTGCGTTCAGACCACCAGTCACGCTCTTTACTCACTCACATCATTCTATCATGTGCTGCTGACTTGAAGTAGGTGCAAAAGAAAATTGTTTTTGTACAGAAATATATTTTTTATGAAGAATTTGTAAAATTATTAAATATGCTGTACTTTTTTGATTAAATGTAGGTAAAATTGTTAAAAATAAATGTTTTTACTGTATAAAATGTAAATTAATGGTTTATCTACCTATAAGTATATATCTATGGTTGAAACATTTTCCAGCAAATGTCAGTATGTACGAGCTTTTATGGCATATCCCGCTCGTATGTGTTCTTTGACGTGAGAGAAAATGATGAACCTTAGAGAACTGTACTACAGATTGTTAAAAGACACATATTTTGAGAAATATTATTTCAGATAAATATTAAAGTATTTTAAAATATAGATTCACTTTTCTTTCCATTCCACTATGTGCTCTTCCAGGGAAGAACAATACAGGTAAGTAATGGCCAGGTGCTGCTAATAACGTATTTTACCAGAACTCTCCAATCTAATACAGACAAATTCAGATGGAAAAATGTATTTATTATCATAAACTATGTAATCTGGAAGTAATTAACAGTGATGTTTTTGTCATTTTTGATGTTTCTTTTGGCTCTGTTCTTGAGCACATCAGAAACTGTGAAGCTAAAGTGCACACTGCCAGCCTTAACTCAATGATACGCACGTCCATTTTGGCTCAGCTATCTAGGAATTATAGAATTACAGCCCTTTTTATACATAAACCTCTAGGGATGCACAGAAAAGAAAGCCCAAACTGAAACCAAAATTAAGACACACCTGGCTGAAAACTGAAACCAAAGTTTTTTTGTTGTTTTTTTGCTCTTGTATTTATGGGCGGCATGGTGGCACACTGGAGTCTGGGTTTGATTCCCCAGCCAGGGTTCGTTCTGTGTGGAGTCTGCGTGTTCTCCCTGTGTCTCTGTGGGTTTCCTCTGGGTGCTCTGGTTTCCTCCCACAGTCCAAAGACTGGTCTTTGGCGAATTGGAGATGCTAAATTGCCCCTAGGTGTGAATGTGTGTGTCAGTGTGCATGTCTGTGTGTCTGCCCTGTGATGGACTGGTGGCCTGTTCAGGCTGTTTCCTGCCTTCTGCCTAATGACCACTGGGATAGGCTCCACAACCCAGAAGAATAAGCAGCTTAGATAATGTGTGTGTGTGTGTGTTCTGTTTATGCTTTGGACTAAATATACTAAACATAAAAATATGATATAATAAAGAAAATACTCTTTTGTTCTTGATCAAATCTGCAAATCTAAAAACTAAAAGTATTACAGTATGTAGGCCATAGTATGTGTCTGTGAAATCCAGCATTCAACAGAAAACGGTCATCCAAGGCAATGAATCCCATAATTTTTGGATGTTTTATTGTCTTTTCAAGTCCTGTGGCTACAGATGTGGTTGTGCTAGTAGTGGATTACCTCTCTGCCTCTGTTGTTTTGCTATATTATGCATATCGAGGTGGATGTTGTTTTGTCAAGTGATGTCAAACCACTTTGAACCAAAATTTTCTTTTTTCTCTTTCAGTCGGAAAAGTGGCACCTGTGACGGTTTTTGTCCAAAATGTTTCAATGGCCAAAATTTTGCTGTATCCCTATAATTCTTCCATTTTTGTGGATGAAAAG